AAATTATGCGTGCGTAAAGGCAATTAAAGAAGGTTTTTTCCGAATTGCTTACGTCATACTCGACCAGGTGGCGTCGGACCGCATGCAGTGACGTCATTCACATAGGATTTTGTAAAGGATTCCGTATAACAAATCGCCTTGTCACTGTGTTTTAATTGTTGGCTTTATAAAGGCGCTAGAAAATTCTCTAGGAAATAATCACCGTAATTGTCGAGTCCGACAGACTGCCAACACGTATTGAAATTACCGCTTTTCCTGTCTCACTTTGAATATTTTTAATTAATCCTCCTGGTGGGTTGAATTGGAAGATTTTGCCTGAATTATAATTAAATGGACGACGGATAGAAAACCGTCTTTTCAAGTGAGACTGATGAGAATGTTGAAATATTTTAAATTGGTAGCTAAGACGTTCAAAATTAAAGACTCAATGTCCTTCAAAACGGAGGAGGCTTAGTGGCGTGTGTCCCTATATTTTGTAGACACACCTCCTAATTAGTATTCAACTTTTTCAAATGTATTCAGTCTTCTTTTCTATTCATCAAGAAATGAAAGATTAAAGCTTATTTAAATAAACTTTTACTTGAAACCTTTCAGGAACGATTAAAGAAAATTTTCTTATTAATATTTACAAACTGTCTTTTCCCTCTTTTGTTTTCTTTCATGTCTCTTTTTTATAATATTCCTCCTAATTTAACTTTTGCTGACATAGGATCAACATTTCTCTTTAATTGTGAATTTTAATAAGAGAGAGAGGAAAAGAGAGAGACAGCTAAGCAGACGGATAGAAGATAAGAATATATCAAACACTTACGCCATCTATATACGATCATTTGTAAGAAAAATAAAAAGCGGTTGGCCTACTGGTTATTAATAGAAGGCGTTTAAAAATAGAATATTCTAATATATATATATATATATATATATGTATTGTTAAGTAAAACAGATTAAATGAATAACTTATAACCATCACGATAATTAACGTAAATAAGAACCATACCAAGAGAAGTCTTAATTATCTCAAACTAGTTAATGGAAGGATTTTAAGAATTAATTAACGTTACAAGTAAATTATCCCACACAGCAAGCGTATGCGTAAGATATACAGCAAATACATATAAACAAAACATAATAATACTCAAGTTATATGCAAGTTCCTAGTCATTCATTAAGATGTAAAACATTCATTTTTACTATTATTTCAGTATGGAATTCTTATTCTATATCAACAATAGAAGAAGAAAAAAGAACTTTAGACCAAATTTTATGAATAAAACTAAATAAATGTTTAAATATGCAATGAATCTCTATTTTTTCTTTGTTGCTTAATTTATAACGAAATTTTATATCTAATAAATAACTGAAAAGGATCAATTTGAAGGTTATTTTCATATTAATAAACTAATCTACTATATCAATGTATTTACCTAAGAAATGTATGAAATAACATCTATACTAAATATATAGATATTCTCTGCATATCTCTCTTTATATATAGTATATATATACGAAGTGTTTGTTTATTGAATTTTTGCTATTATACTCAAATTTGAAAAAGTAAATAAAAATTTACTTTTCTGCTTTGGAAATTGTATTGTTATGTTGGTTCTATTAGAGACTTGGAGCTTTTATAGTATCTACTGTTAGATTTAATTTTTACGATGTTCATTCATATTTAAATGTTTTGATCTTGCATTTCTTTCAAATATATTCATATTATAATACCTTTGACTATCTACTTCACCCTTGTATTGGATTGGGGACGGAAATCTTCTAATCAACTTTTATTATAATCTTCTCATGCGTAAAAGAAGACGCTTTAAAAAACCTGTCGTCCATTTAATAATAATGAGCAGAAATTCCATTCTTAACCGTTGATACGCGATCGCTAGGCAATCCTTTTCTTCTGTAATCTTTGTGCAATGTTTTTTTTTTCTTTCTTTCTTTTTGTTATTCATCTATTGTTCCGTTAAGTTTCCCGTCATATTTCATAAGAAAATCTACTCTTTAAAGGAAAAAAAAGCTTCCTTTATTAATTGAAACATTTTAATTGAATACAATTTAAATGTCATCTATTCTTTATTTTTCCTCGCTCAGCCTCTCTCCTCCCTCTTCTAGTTGTCATAAACTTTTTACTATAAATGATTAGCTAATTGTAAAACACAAACAACTTAAACAATCCTTTTCTACTGTTTTATTGACAGTTGAATGTTTTTGAATGTTTTCTTTATCACACCTAATCAATGTTTCAAATGAAATTATCGAATAAAGGACTACTCTAAATCAAATTAGACAATCGGATGGTTAATCATAATTGAATCTATTTTACGAACAATCAACCTAAATATCCACTAAAAGAAGAACCAAAAGAAATAAAGAGTAGTATACCATTTGACAAAAGCTAAGGCAAAAACAGATTTAAAATAGTAATGGAATGAAACAAAGAGCAAAAAGAATAAAAGAAAAAACAAGTTATGTTATATATATCGTATTGATTGTTGTTATATTTTGATTTTTGATTACTTTTGTCAATAGATTTCTAACAATATCAATTAAAATTTTTATAGCAATCCATCAAAAAAAAAAAACTCCTCTTTAAAATATTCATTTGAAGTTAGGCTTAATCAAAGTATAGTGGAGAAAGTGCTAATCAAAAATATATGATGTAATAACCTCCAGTCAAAAATTGCTTAAATTATTTAAAGAAAAGCAAGGAGAGAAGATATTAAATATAAACAGTATATACAGTATATACTGTTTTTGTCATATAATCATATATCTACTCTATTCACGCTAATACATATTATACCTTTAAATCGCGTGAAATTTTTACATATTAAACGAATTCTTTAATGAAATAGTCCTTTTATTAATGACGCAGTATCTTTACAACCTTGACACAGGAGAGGAGGAAAATGTTATCAAATTAGCGTTGTATATGGTGACAATTTTCATAACATTAAAGAAAGCTAAATCTTTCAGATTCTCTTTTTTCAACTTTAGTTCGTTTGAGATTCTGAACTAATCATCAAATAATAATACCTATACTAAAACGATTAATAGAAGTTTTCTCTAAAATTCTTGTACAATAGATGGCGTTAACTAACTGCTAATTGTAAATTATTTACAATTGTACAGGAAATTATAGTTAATCTGTACCAAGAACATATTCTAAAAAAACTTCACAAGGTCAAAGTAACAAAGTTGGCTTTTCCTCTATATTTGATATATTATAAAAGCATTTGCAGTCAATTTTATAATGTACAGTAAAACCGTGTAAATCTTGTCAAATGAAGAGGAAAATGGTTTACTTTCTGCTTATTTCTATATAAATATGAAATGAAATTTTTCTTCTCTAGAGATAGTTCAATAATAAAGAATTTACTTTGATAGCTTAATAATTATACATTAGAGATAGTTGAATGATTAACTACCGATTTCGAATTATTTAGTGTAAGTTTCAAGGTTAAAAGTTAGTTGAAATTATATAAATTATGTATAGGAACTTGTAGAAGCATTTAAGTAAATGCCTAAATAACAATCAACCCAAAGAGCAGTTTCTTGAAGATCTTATTGATGTTCTATTATTTAATCATCCTATCATCTGATTTATTAAAACTATTTTTATACTCTTATTATTCATATTACACAAAATTAAGTTGCTAGCAAATGGTCTATTAAGGCAGAAGCTCATTAATATACTTATGGGTTAGTCATCTCTGAGGTTACTAATTAGTCAATTAGTCACGAGGTCTCATTAAAATCCAATGGCCAGAAAGAAGAAGAATGCTTTTTGCCTTGCAAATACAACCTCATGAGTTTAAAGAGGTCCGAAGGCATCAGTGAATATGCGCAAAAGTACTTATTTTTCTAATTGCTTTACTCAGCAGTCCTATAATACTTTAAGCTTGTCTAAGAAACGTCTACCGTGATACATTACTCTATTCGGCTCAGTGAAACTGTTACTATCATTCTTTAAATAAATAAATCAGCTTTAGTAGAATGCAAAAATTGCAGATTTCTTTCTATTTATTACTCTCTTAATTCATCGCTAATAAAATTACTAACTACAAAGTTGGTTGCCGACTGCTTCAAAGAGCATCAAAACGTTACGAAACCAAGAAAAGGATTTACTTAGGGAACATGTTTTTTTTCTTTTCTCTTTCTTCTATCAACCCTTCTTAGTCTATTATCAGATAGAAAAGAAAATAATATTAATGCTCTCAGTTAAATCAACTACAAAAATGGTATCTTTCGTATTGAAATCATTCTAATGAAAAATAGAAACAGATTAAATTACTGCAAATCTATTTCGTCCGATAGATTAACGAAGATTTTATATCTCATATTTTTAGATATTAAGATATTTGTATACAATAACCAAAGATTTACTATGTGAAAATGAAAGAAAAAATTAATCGATCCATGTATAATATATCCTCAATGGATTATTCAGTTTAATATGATTTTTCATTATATTTCGTTTTTTGTCTTTTTCTCTTCTACATTATAAATGCTATTAGCTTTTATCATTTTCTCTAAAACCTTACTTTTTACCTGTTAATATTTCCGGCTATATGCTTATTCAATATTTCTTATTTCCCATAAAGGAAGTACAACTATTGGGATTTAGACTGGTATTTCAAAAAAAAAATTAACCTGTTAGCGTAACCATAAATAGAAAACAAAAGTAGGTGTTGCAATGTTTAAAACGATATTTGAACATATAGGGACATCTAGTGACTTCTTCATGAGTTTACTGTAAAAAGAATATTCATTCATATAAAATCAGCATACACTAATATATTTACTCAAAATATCTTGAACTATCTTATATGGTTGTATGTAACACTTGAAAAAGTATTATATTTCGAATCTTTTAACTATTTATGAAGAAATTGACAGTAATTCTTTTATATTGCTAGAGAATTCAATGAATGTTCACCCACAGCGAAAACTACGTCAATAAATTAGGCCGAAATCGTATTGAATTCTCCACCGTTCAAAGGCGTGCCGTAATGGCGTCTTGGTTGTCCCTGAGTGCCTTAGTTATTAGTCTTCCATAGGCAGAAAATGGCTCGTAAGCGTGGATTGGAAAAAGAGCGTAAATTTGAGAAAATAAAGTATACATTTTCAAAATCTGATAGTTATGATGGTGACGAAGATGATCAAATAACTAATTTTGAAAATTTAATCGAGGATATCGATAGAAAGTTTAGATTTAGAAAAAATGCTAATAACATTCCGAAAAAAGTGGCGCCCTGCGAACAGAGGAAAAGACATTCTCAACTATTACTAAAGGTTCATTTTAATTATATAAAATAACATATTTATCTTCATTGTTTAATTATCTTTGATTAGTATTAGTTTTCAATTAGTTCTTTTATTACCAGAAAATAAAATATAAAAAATTGCGAAAGGGCGAGGTTTCCGGTTAGTTAAAAATGCAAATAAATCATAGCCGAAATAACTACACCCATTTTCCTAAAAGAGATATTCAACTTTCTGATCTCTTTATTCAAATAAATGTAACCTTCTTATTAATTAATAAAATATACTCTATGACGTAATTCTATTTTCTAAGTATACGATACTTCATCAAACATTAACAGAATAGAAAGAAAATGCAAAGATGACATCATCTGTTCAAATATTCAATTAAAATATTTCCTATTCACATTGTTGAAACAGTTTTATTCATTGAATAAAGAAAAACAAACATAAAAGGCTGTTAATTAATTATTAATCAATTAATATATACAATAATTAAAAGGATAAATTAAACAAGTAGTGAATATTTGGTTGGAATTTGAATTTTAAATAATTTTAAGGATGCTTTGTCAGTGTTTTTTCAACTTAATGTAATCATTTCAAGCTTAGGTGTGAACTAGTTAACTGAAAAAAATAATAACAGCTGCTTTAAAATCTCTTTTTTTTACTTTAATTAATCAATAACATTTATATTTGGAGAGATTTCTTTCATACGATGTTGAAATTTATTGTTTGTATATCTCATTCTTTAAGAAATATCTTCTTCCTGCTTTTTCGTTTCTATATTAGTCATTTAACGTTTTATTTTTATTTTAGGATAAAGAGACTAAAATGGATCGATTTACCAAGAATTTTCGAGATAGACCTACTGAACTCCCACCCCTTCCACCTCATAATGGAAGCCTAAAGGAGACTTGTTTCGATAGGTCTAAACTACCACCACCTCCTCCCCCACCACCTCCTTGTCCTCCCAATCCGTCTACTTCAGCTGTTTTTAACAGTCCGTCTCAACCACGACTATCACAAGAGATTGCTGTATTTCAAAGGGATTCATTCTCAGATGACGAATTCGAAGAGGACGAGGTCGTTATGTGTTTTGATGAAGAGGAAGGAGATTTAAAAGTTTTTGAAGAATTCCCTGGAGAGGATTACTCCAAGTACCTCGCAGACGAAGAGATATCGACAGAAAATGAGATCAAGGACAAAAAGAAAAAAAGAAAAAAGAAGAGGAGATTAAAATTAGGTAGTTTGGGTCAAAAGAAGAAGGTTATTCCCCCACCCCCTTCAAAGGAAGAAATTGAAAGATGTCATACCGATTCAGAAGTTACAAGAACTCGAAGATTTAAACAAAGAATAACTCAACTAGTAGCCTGGTCCCTTACTGATAAAAAACAAGAAGCTAGACACAAGTTATCACTTCAAAAATTTACTTTTGCCGATAGTAAAGCTGGACAAACCGACGATTCAGACGATGAAAATCGTCGACATAGCGGAAAATGGTGGCATAAAGAGACTCTTGCGGCTGAATCTCTAGAAAATCACCCTGAGGTATTACTAAAAGAGAGAAAAGAAAACGAGGTTCAAAGAATTAGACCAAAATTACCTGCTCCTCCTCCCCCTCCAATGAGAGATGTGGCGCAAAACAACTTTGAATCGAAAAGGAGGCATACCCTATTAAACGAAGAACTAAATCATATTCCACAAAAGAATGCGAAAGATACGCTTGTACGACGTTTAGTAAAGAAATTTCGCAAAAGTTTACTGGAAAAGGAAGCGAATTTAACAATAAATCCTCTAAATAATCTTTCACCAAGCGAATATGGTGATATTGCCTTATAAACACAATATACGATATATACTCTAATAGAACAAGACAGATTACATTTAATCGTTTGTAGTTTATACAGCTGAGTGTAATATCTTGCTATTTGCAGGAATATGTGAGACTATGCCGAAATACCATTTGACTTTTGTTAACATTTCAACAATTTACAATTTAACTTTTATATTATATTTTTGATACTATAAAGCGTTGTTGTGTTGGAGAATGAGGAGGAAGAGGAGAAGAAGAGAAGCGGGAGGAAGAAGGAAACGATAACGAATAAAAGTTGGAGGAAGACAAGAATCTCTTGTTTGATTGTTTTTCTTTCACATAAAGAAAGAAAGGGTTGCTCAACAAAAAATCCACTAATTAAATTATTTCTATACGAAAGAGTTCCTGTATTTTTCTTTTGTGTTTGTTTATTTGAAGGTTTTTAAATAGCAATTTGTTAAACATATGATTTAGAATTAGATAAATGAATTCTTGCTTTGATCTTAATACAATATCTAATTAAAAGAAATAATAATTGTCTTAATAATTATTTACTTATTTAAAGTATATATTCTCTCTTTTCAATCTCAATTTATAATAAAAACATTCTTCTCTCTTTGCTTCCAAAAGCTAAACAGAAACTTCAATACTCTTTTGCTCAGTTCAATGTTAAAAGAAATATAAAAAGATCCCTTCAATGACTTTTTATTCAAACAAATATAAATATTACAAAATTAAACGTGTGTTTCAATTTTTATGTCGCACACTGTCATATCTTGACTATAGTTAATTAAATTAACTTGTATAGCTTGACAATGCTTGTTATCACAGTTACATATATATGCACAATATGTACTATTGCCAAAATTTAGGTCACAACCTTTAAATAGACCATTAATTGATGGTTCAATTTGATTGATGGCCGGGTAAATAACATAAATTTGACCATCTAATTCATTCGATATCTCTGAACAGCTTAAATTTTCTCCGTAGATTTTTACATTAGCTTTTTTCTCTTCTCCTCCCGCCGTTGGCCAAGGATGCCTTGCGTAATAACCTCGTTTATTTAAAACAATACAAGTATCAACTTTTCCATCCATTAAAATTACATTTGGATCTTTTAAACGATCATCGACGTGATACTCAAAAAGATACTCCTTGAAGCATGATGCATAATCGATTCTGGTTGTCTTAGGTAAAAGTGAGCAATCATTGTATTGGTCACAATGTTCATTTGACAATCCCACAGCAACGTAATTATCTAGTTCATCTGTGCAATGTTGAAAATCATCCAAGGGTAGTTGGTCGTCTATATCATCATGGCATTTGTCTCTGTAGCAAGTTAGATCTCTGTATCCATTTCTTAAATAAGATATTGAACCATCTTCTTCTTCTAAAGATTGACAATCCACTTTTAAGAAGCAGTTATCTTCTTCGCTAAAAGTAAAAACGAAACCATTGCATCTTTCGGTCGAGAGACATTTTTGGGCGCAAAAATTTATATCAATTGCATCAATTTCCTCAATATTACTGCCAGAACATGCTACATGCAATTTTGTCCTCCTGAATCCTGCTAATTCATACTTGGAACCATAACATCCGTCGTTTATAAAGAAACAGCCGCCATTATCCTTACAGATGGTTTCGGTTACAGTTTTCGGACCTAAAATACATTTGAATTAACCAAAGAGGAAAAAGATAGAGATTTTATAGTAATGCCTCTTTTACCGATTTGATTACTGGGACTTCTAGAGACATGATAACACTCATCCTGAAAGAAAGTCTCTTCCGTCCATTGGGTTTGATATGCAAGCTTAAGAAGACAGAGTAGTAGAATTGTACAAATCATCTTATATCAAAAGACAGCGATAGAATGAAGCCATCGATCATTCGCCTACTCTTATACTTTCTTTCTCATTTTCCTGCCTTTACCCCCTCCCTCGAAGCTGTTTTACAAACAAAATAGGAAATTCAATAAATGATAGAAATCACTTGGACAAAGAAAACGAAAGAAAACTCATATAAATCATTGTAAAATCGAATATGGTTTGTATCTATAAATCGTAAACTCAATGTTTTGAATTTATTGAACAAAACTTTTAAACATTATCTTTATTCAATAAAGAAAATTTGAACGATATAAAAAATCCAATTATTGAATATTATTTCAACAATTGTTATGTTAATATTTTTCGAGGAAACATTTTTCTTCCCCTTTCCTTCTCTCTCTCTCTCTCCCACTATCTATGTATTATCTCTTTTGCTTCTTATTTTATTATCCTCTATATAATAATGAGGATGATGACGGAGGAAGAAACAAAAGCGTAGAACAATTAGTTGCTTAATAGCTAAAACATTTTTCTCCCCTAGTTTCTCTTTAAACAGAGCCGGATAAAGATAATAAATTAATGCTCTTTAGCACTGAGGAGATTACTATTATAGATAAAGATATATGATGTAAGAATCGAATGGTTTGAATATAACTATTTAGTGATCTCTTTTAGATTTACTAGTTTAGAAATTATTAATTACACTGGGATTATTATGGATTAAGATAATCTATATATTTGTCAAAGAGAAAGAGGTCTGAACTAGTTTCTAGTTGTATTGTTTTTATCGTATATGTTGTTAATCGATAGCACATCGATCTAATAGTTTGCGAGTACATGTGAAGGTTATCAACATTTATAAAAGAAAATTATCAATATGTGCGTACATAAACTATTCTATGAAACAAGGTGTGTTAGTAATCTTAATCTCGTTCGATTTTATATAATATCACGTGAAAATTCGTTATTTTACACACGTATTATATACATTTTAATCAGTTCAGTTCATTATCAACTATTATCAAGATTCTGTATAAAGAATGTAAAATAAGTTATCGTATATGTAAGCCCGGCTAGCTCAGTCGGTAGAGCATGAGACTCTTAATCTCAGGGTCGTGGGTTCGAGCCCCACGTTGGGCGGCTTATTTTTTTTTCTCGCTTTTACTATAATGGATAGAATACGATAGTTAAAACCGTTCTTTTATAATAGTACAACTATCCAAATAAGCTGGATAATCTATAAAGATTTTTATACAGTACATAGGTTGTTCAGTAGCGCCATCTGTATGTAACATTAGATTTTAAAAGAAGCCGAAGGCGGTAAGATGGCTTCATTAAAAAACTTATATAAAAGATTATATAGCACAGTGTAAACTTATCGAATGTATTAAATATTCCAAGTTTTATATATGAATTTTCAGTTACATGTCAGATATTGTATTTAATTTGCATAGACTATATATACTGTATAATTAGAACATAGAATTTACTGTAAACATAACGGCTGAATCTATTATTTGTATCTAGGAAGCTTTTTAAGTCTCTGGCACACTCTTTCAGTAAAATGTTTGACAAATTCCGAATTTAAATCGTCAAAAGTTTCCCTTCTAAACGTCATTTCCTGTTTTCCTTCAGCAATTTTACTAACTAAATCCGTAATTTTCTTTCCGACATAGATTACAGTTAAATTAGTTCCGCTAGCCCTTAGTCTCTGTGCACCTCGAATAGTTTTTGGTTCCTCAACTGTCGTTAAGCCATCAGTTATTAAAACGGCTAGATTGGGTATACCGGGTCTATCGGCATTTCTAATAAGGAAGACATTCTTTCGTGTAACAGTAAATGCTTCAACGATACTTGTTTCCTCTCTTTCTTTGGCATTCGCTTTGTTCTTTTCCCGAGAGACGTACGGAATATTATTAACAACTTTTGAGAATTTCGATGAATCGCTCTATAAAAGAAATAATTACTATTTGCTAATGAATAAACATATGAATAAAGTATTCATTAGTTGCTAAACCGTTAGATATAGTCGTATCCTAGCACGATTGGAGAAGGTTATTAAAGCCGGTCTTGTAATATCGTGTTCCATTCCTAATTTCTTAATAACGTCATTAACAAATTGGATAGATTTATTAAAGTTCTTTTCCCCAACTTCCTTTTCGGAATCAACTATAAAGCCTATATCCAATTTATGTGGGCATCCCGTAATATTGACTAGGAACAAAGAGAAAATATGAATATATTTAATAAAACTACTAATGCTGGTAATACTTTTATGCCAAGGTGGTATTTCGCAATGTCTTCCTCTATAGCCTGGTATACACCTACACGTAAATGTAAAATCTCCATCAATACATAATCCTTCATTTTTACAAGGATTATGTTTACACTGATTTGTAAAATCCAACTGTTCAACGTTCTCTCTCGCTAAAATATTACAATTCATTAATTTATTAATTTATTAATTAGTACAATATGAATTTTCTTACATGAACATATTTTTTTCTTTAGGCCTACGTAAATAGATCTTAAATCGTCAAATTTATTTACATTAAATATCCTTTGTTCATCCTCTACAATCTTCTTGAGTTCGTAATTATCGGCCATGGAAATACCTACTCCAAAAATAATGATTCTTTCTCTCTTCAGTTTATTCGCCTCTCCTATGGTTTTAATGCTATCGTAGTTTGAAAGTCCTTCGATAATAAGGACGACAATATTCGGAATACCAGGACGATCACCGGATTTTGATAAGAATACAGATTCACGTAAAATTCTAAAGGCGGAAGCAATATTCGTCCGACCGGGTGTGTATTTAGCTGACATGACAGCCTTTGAAAGGGAAGAGATGGTTGAATGGCGTTCCAAATTAAACACTAATTTTGCATTATTACTGTAAAAATAAGAAAAAAAGCTCTATACGCTGTATATATTAGTCTTATATTAGTGTATCTGCTATATATATATATATATATATATAAATGTATTCCTTTTTTTGACGTTGTGTTTGTGTGCCTGTTTCTTTATTAATTTAATGGACTATTTAGAGAATCAAAATGGTATTTACATACCTAAACGTTACTAGGGCAAAGCGATTGTTGCCGTATCTTATGCCCATTGATCGTATCATATATTCCACAAAGATTAACAATTTATTGAAATTTCCTCTTGACACACTTCCACTGCTATCAATTACGAATGCTACATCAACCGATTCACTACATTCTCCATCTTGATAGGAGTGAAAATAATAACAATAGCTAATTAGTGCCTTATGAAAATATACTGAAAATATGTTAACTATTTTCATTAGGCTTACCGAATGCTGAAGGCCTAATATCCATAGTATTAACATTTTTCATTTCGCCTGGATGACAAACCCTATTTAAGACTCTACTCGTACTTTTCAATAGCCTCCTAAAATTTCGCACCATAAATAAATGAGCTGGTTGCCCTGCTATGCTCAGCAAATCCCTTCTTCTTAACCTCTTCCCTACTCCAATAACAAAGAATTTCGCCCCCACCCGCTTAGCCTTTTCTACTTCTTTTATGGTGTTTTGCGGCCTAACATTCCACATGGTTCCAGTAAGAAAGATGCAAACATCTGGAACAGATGGTCTATCCCCATTTTTCGGATTAAAAACTTTTTCAGTCATCACTCGGAAAGCGTCAGCAGCGTGAGATTCACTTGGGACGTATGGAACCCTGTCTATAGCCGATAATATATCATCACGTGAGCGATAGGTAGAAAAATTGAAATGAATTGTTGAAAAGCTATTGTAAGTGATAAGCGCAGCTCTTGTTTTACCAGATGCAAACTCGAATTTTTTGATAATCTCCTTAGTAAAGTGTAAAAGCAGTTTAAAGCGTCTCTTTTTAAGCAGACTCGATGAATCGACAATGAAGGCAACGTCTATTGCCATATGACAATCTGCAAATTGACAGTTTACATAACTCAAAATAAACATGAAAATAAATTAGAAAACTAGATGCTAACTCCTTTCGCAATTTTTCCCAGAAAATCCATCAGGGCATTGACATTTATATGAGTTTGTTCCAGAAACGCACATGCCATCGTTTTTGCATGGATTATTAACGCACATATCAGATTCTTTTACAAAATAAGAGAGCTAATTAGACTAAAATCAACCTTGTAAAATGTAATGCACGTATTTTAGTAATAGTCAAATCTTTACCTTCACAAATGGCTTGATTAATATTTTCCGAAATATTAAGTAATTCGTCAAAATTTCCTATTAGATAGGTGTGCCTTTGAGTATCTTCGCTTACAACTGCTTTTATTTCGATCTCGGGAGATAAACCCACGCCAAGACCAAATATTCTAACACCGGAATCCTTACATTCTTCTGCTTGCCGGATAGTCATCCACTTTCTAATATTGGATACACCATCGGATATTAAGACAATGAAATTAGGTGCGCTTGGTCTATCTCCTTTGTTAAGGACGAACGCTTCGTTACAAATAACTTCAAAACCTTTAGCTACGTGACTTCCGCCGTACCTATATGGTATTCTTTGAGATATATTTTCCAATTCAGAACTCTTGTTAAATTCATTCAAGTAGTATTCTATTCTTGCATCATTAGAGTAGGTTGCAATTCCTATTCTTGTATGATTTTGGCTAACTTGCATATCTGATGTAATTTTTACGATGAATTTTAGTATTTTATAAAAATTATCTCTTCCAACTGAGCCCGAAGAATCAACAAGAAAAATTATATCTGCTCTCGAGTTACAGCCCTTTTCACAATTTTTTCCTTGAAAACCATCTTTGCATATGCACGTATACTTGTTAATTCCATCCAGGCACTTTATAGCATTTTTACAGGGAGAGGACAAACATTGATCCTCTTTTTCGCAGAGGGCACTCAATAACGAATGTGTTACGTGCTCTAAATGTACCAGGGATTCTTTTTCCGTGTTTATTTGATTGTAAATATCGGGATGAAAGGGTTCAAAAGGTTTCCAATCGTCATGTTCGACTTTTCCAACTCCAAAAGTGAAGAATTTTACAATAGTTCCATCTGAAATAGAAATATTAATACATTTTTAAAGATATTATCAGATATGGATAAATAGATATTTGAAAACATGAGTAAGAGGGAATGAGAGTAAGAAACAAAGATACTAAGAGAAGAAATAATAAATGCATGTTTACTTTTAGTTTCCATATTAAATTTATCCATTCTTGTTCCACCAGTTAATAGAAAAGCAAAATTTGCAATATCTTTTCTGTTGACAGTCTCCTTCGAAAATTCATTTAATGCTAATCTCATGGCTCCAGCTGTGTATGGATAACCTCCCCTAAAAGTTACGTTAACTCTGAGCAGTTCCTCTAATTGTCTCTGTGAATTATTCGATAATGACAATAACAATTTGGCTTCTGAATCGTAACTTATTAAACCAATACGACTCTGTCCTCTATTAAATTGTTTAATTAAATCAATTGCAAATTGTTTAGCTTTTTTTAATAAATATCTTCCGATAAAAGCTGATTGGTCGATGATAAACATAATATCCGATTTGCTGTTGCATTCTAAAAGTCATAAATAATAACTATATCCTGTATAAGTTGCAATATAAATAGTTAAATAAAAAAAAAATTTCTTACGTTGTTCACAGTCTACTCCAGAAAAAGCTGGAGGACACTTGCAAGTATATGAATAAATACCATCTTTACATTCTCCGTTATTTAAACAAGGATTTGGGTTGCATTGATCAACGTCTAAAGAGGAATATAAAGTGATGTATATTATAAATATGACAAATCAAACAGATGTTTTTTTCTTCTCTTCCAACGAAACTCATCTTACCTTCCAGCAAATAATGAAGTAGATCTCTGCGTATCTTGAATAAATCTTCAAAAGTTTCTGCAGTAAAGATTCCCTTTAATTTCTCCGTTGCCAGAGGAATAAATATATCCTTCTTCTTTACTGGAACACCTATTGGTATAACTGATATATCTTCATTCGAACAATGCTTCGCCTATAATTAATAAAGAAGATATTAGTTTAGAAACAGAAAAGGATGTTTTAAACTAAGATGTTTCAAAAATGTATTCTTCCTCCCTCTCTTACTTCTAATGCGGTATTCTTTGTTCCAATATTTGATAATCCGTCCGAGATAATAACCAAAATATTTCTAGCGTCTTTTCTATCACCGTAGCTTTCATGAAACATCTCCTCTCTAGCTATTCTCAAAGCTTCCGATGTAAATGTATAACCAAAACTATCAAAATACAACTAAACTTTTCTAGTCTCTTGAAAATATGAAAATTGCATTACCTGTATCCAAATTGCTCAATGCCTGTTAGTATATCTGATGTTGTATTAAACTTATTTAAATGAAATTCAATTATGACATCACTTCCATATTTAAGTAAGCCAATTCTATATGAATAATAATGAGATATTACAAGGCATTCTTAGAATATTATTAGACAAAAGAGGGACAATTCCTAGAAACTAATTGTACCTAAAGTTGCAAGAAACTATGTCAATCTCTTCTATAACACTTTTGACGAATCGTTTTAATTTGAAAAAACTCTCTTCTCCAATAGAACCAGAAGAATCTAATATGAACACTAAATCTGCTGCAGAATTGCAGGCTGTTTTCGAAAGAGAAAAGAGAACATTAAGAAAGTAGAATAAGTATTATTTACAATCAATAAATCTATTTTTAAAGTATCTTTACTATATTGACACATCTTTCCAGTAAATTTCTTTTTGCATATACACTGGAAATAGTTTAACGAATCGACGCAAGTTCCTCCGTTTAAACATTTCTGATATTTACAAGCGTTCTTATCTATTAAATTAGAAAAGATCGTAAAGGGGAGAACCACCACAAATGAAGGTTAATGAAATAAAGTTTTATTACCTGCTTGAAAATATTTCACCAATGGTATTACTAACTTCTGCAATTGGTTAAACCCTTTAATAATTTTTAAATTTGAAGAATGAGGCTTTGATGCCAGATCAGTTAAACCGTGAATAAGTTGATTTTCGTTTTGACCGTTTATAATTCCAATGCATATTACGTTAATTAAAGAGTCGTGTACATTTCTAGCTTCTTCCCATATTGATTTGGAGTTTGAAATACCATCAGTTATAATAACAGCTATATTTTGTACTTTCGGTCTATCTCCAACAGAAGTTTGAAATAAATCATTTCTTAAAACCTTTAAAGCGTCTAAAATATTTGATTTAAATCCAAACTGATATTGTACTTTTCTGATTCTTTTAACAATATCAATCTTTCTTTCGCTATCGTTCAAACGTAGCCAAACTTTAACTTTTTTACCAAACGTTAGTAAAGATATTCTATAAGTTTTATCATCGACATCCAATCGGTTTATAATTTTGATAACAAATCTTTTAATTTTACCGAAATTCCATTTACCAATACTACCGCTAGAATCTATTAGAAATACAATATCTCCACCAGAGAATGGTTTGTGTACATTATTATCCGGTAGAGTTGGTTGAACGGGTTGAAAATTGCATATGTTTGCAAGTATCTTTTGCCTCTCAGCGTGTAGATGTGAATATTTAGAAACGTATAATAGATTATTACGAATAGGTGTTGAAACAGTTTTGTTTAGTATTGCATTTTTAATTGATTCAACGCCAACACCAATAGCCATTATCTTTATTCCGGACTTTTTTGTATTTTCGGCTTGTTTATAAATCTCTTGAACACTTGTTGTCCATCTACCATCAGTTATTAATAAAAGAATATTTTCAGCGTTTCTTCTGTCACCTTTAGAATAGCTATTTTTAGGAGAAGTAAAATGCTTTTTATATATTTGAAATAGGATGATTTATCTTTTACCGACTGGAAAACGTTGTTTGTAACATTTTCCAATGCTGCTGTAACATTTGATATTCCGTATATATATTGTATGTACTTTAAAGCTTGTAAAGCTGCATTGTTCGAATTAAATTTATTCAAATAGAAATGAATAGTAGATTTTGTACTAAAGGTCGTTAAAGAGACTCTTGCTTGGCCTATTGCGTAAGATAGGTAAGTAGAAATGATTAGCTATTATGTATTGTATATGATCTTAGAACCGTAATCTATGTCCAATTCTTGAATAATGCTGCTGGTAAACTGTAAAATAAGATGAAAATGTTTAACTCCAATACTAGATGAAGAATCAACAAGAATGGCCAAATCAATTATTTTCGTACAATCTAGACAAGGAAAATAAAAAACAATTCATTTTATGGGCTTTTTACTGATCTCTACAAAAGTTTACCCTTTTTGTAAACGGATGATTGATTATGCAAAGATAACAGGTGGGCTTGCAATAAAATACCTAAAAAATACACAAACTAAAGATTAGACTTTGGCAAATACAACAAACTAAGTACATCGTAAAAATGCAGGAGAGATAAAAAAAATAGAAGAAGATAGCGTTATCTTCTTTGGTATTATTATTATTATTATATATAGTTATATATAAATATAGAATAAACATAAAGAAAACAGGATTCTATTTGTAAACTATTTATACTTACTATTACAAAATTGTTCAAAAATTTTTCTGCTATCTCTTATCAATATTTCGTAGTTTTCCACCAAAACCAAATATCTCCTATGTGGAGGAGAAGATACGTAACGTAACTCTTCAATTGCTCTATCATTTCCCCGTAGTTTTATCCCTAGAATGAAAATTTGAAGACCGTTTTTTCGGGCTCTCTCAGCCTTAAAAACTGTTCTTTCGGCGTTGATATCCGATGAACTATCAGTGATAATTAAAGCAACATTCGGTGCGTAGTCGCGATCTCCGTGTGCTTCTTTAAAAACTTGGGTATTTAAGAGATGAAGTGCGCTAGCCAAATTATTCGCCCCACCTCGAAACTTTCTCTTTCTCAGGAATGAATTTATTTGCGATATTGATGTTAAAGGCGATTTCAATGAAAAGTGAATATTTGCCTTAGTAGCATATGTAACAAAAGCTAACTTTGTCTGATTTCTTAAATTAATAGTTTTAAAGAAAGAATGAAAGAAATATTGAAGATTTAAGATATCTCTTTCCTTAACGCTGCTCGATGTATCTAGAACTACAGCGATATCCAAATCACAATCGCAATCTAAAGGAATTTTAAGAAAATCTAAGGTAATCTAGGTTAAGATAATACAGCTTTTGTTTATATATACATACATATATACATATATATATATATATATATATATATATATATGTATATGATACACGTTACTTACAAAATGGAGCATCTTCTGGTATCTGTACTTCTGTTTCTGTTTGAATTATTCAAAATATTAATATTTAGTTAATATTTTGACTTTTTCAATTATTAATAAATAACTGAACAACGTCTGTTTTATCTCTAAATTATACTAATATCTGCTCGTATTAATGGGCATTTTTCATTCATTTTATTAACTTTTGCGTACTTTTCCCACAACAACTCTTAATTGATCAATTAACACATATTTTTCCTGGTTTTATTATTATAAACAAATTTTTAATATATTTAAATAGCTCGTTAGATATCTCTTTTCATTTATATATAGAAAAGGAAAAAGAGAAAGGAGGAAAAAGTTTCAGCAACCAAGAAAAAACGAAATGAAAATAACCTTTCTATTTAGAATAAAAGAAAAATAAAGGAATCTGCTCTAATTTTCAATAGAAAAAAATGAAGAAAATTTAATTGTTTTTACTGGAAAACTTTTATCTTTCTTATCATTTTTTATTCTCTTCTTTTATTTTAAAAGAATTAAACAAATTCATTAGTTTTATTAAATTAACCAAAATGTTTAAAGATTAAATAAACTTACTTGTAACTTGAAGAAAAAATAAGATAGCAAAGATATAATTTCCGTAAAATCTAAACATTTTATGAAAAGGAACTATATATTTTCTTCTCCAGCATTACAGAACACATTACAGTGTCTGACAACTGTTATAGTTCAAAATAGGCCTACAACCTCTTTGCAGTTGCTAATGCATTGGAAAAATATTTAGCCAACGTGTCTAACTATAAGCAACATTAGAGTAGGTTGTTATTAAAAGCAATTGTTATTTACGAACATATATAATAATTAAATTGATAAGAAAAAGATGTAAGTATGAATATTAAAAAATTTAAACAATTACGTATAATCATATATACTAATATATATATATATTGACTGTATGTACACATAGATATACTAATTAGTTATTTGGGTCTTTTCATCTTATTTTCTTTTTCGAAACGAACTAATGTAGAAAATACTATTTTGTATGTTTAAAAAACAACATTTCAAAAAACCTATACGTAAACACCCCATAGTAATCTCTATATTTCTCATCTTGTCTATTAGTTTATTTTGACGTTAAAGAAAGGAAAATGGTTTTGAATATTTAGAAAATCATCAATCCTAGTGGTAATTTGCTTCTTCAAAAGATCCTTTACAATGCTTATATTGTATATGCCCCGACTTTTTTTTAACTCTATATCTAAAAAAAAACGAAAATGAAACCAATATAGAAAAATTTATGTATAAATAAGAGCATCAATGGAAGTATATTCTTTCTTTAGTATAATTATTTATATTCATCTTTTCTCACTTTTATAAAGATACGTTTTTTAATCAAACTGAAAAAGACATTTAGTTTAAACCTTCCACCAATGTAAGGATAAGAAAGAAGGGTACAGACCCCTTTCAGTTATATTTTATCTTTTTTCTTTCATTGTAATTGGCATATTTAAATCAGGTACGATGAAAATAGATCTCATATTTGTCAAGGTGTCATTGAAAACATTTTTTTTCCCATTTTCCTTACGTGTCTCAGTACGTCATGAAAATGAGCATTATACAGACAAATTGCCTTGACAAAATTTAAGAGGATTTTCATTTTAATACACTTTGAAGAAAGCTAAGTGAAAGAGAAAATGAAAATTTTATATTTAATAATTTATACTGTTTATGTTAATCTTTGAAGACAAAATTTTCTCTGCAAGCTCTTAAATTCATTCAAAATATGTTACATTCAAATATAATTCAATATTAGTCACGATAAGGACAATAGAAACAAATGAAACAACTACAACATTTTGGTTGGATGTATTTATCGTTTGAGAAAGCTTTGAATATAGATAACAAACAACTTATGAAATAGTTTTGTTGATATTTTTTTTAAAAAAACAAAAGATTAATTATATTTTCTAAATCTATTTTTAGTTCATTTTCCCAGCTAATTCGTATATATATGCAGTGCATGTACAATATATAAACATATACATGTATACATCTATATCATGTTTATTAAAAGAGTCTCCAGAAAACTAGAATTTAGCAAATGAAATATTTATATTATTTTATATTAAAAAGAATTTTGTGTTCTCTATATTTATTCATTATAAACTTGATAAAAAGTAATTTATATTTTTTACACTACTCGTGAGAATTGTATAGATTATTTAGCTTTAATAATTTTACTCTTGTATAAATTCAGATTATCACTCAGGAAATAATTCTGCACTTGGAGAGGAGCGTTTGACCTTGAAAAATACTTGGAATATCACGTTATACCAAAAAGCTCGTAGTGTTTTATTTCAAAAACTATTGCTTAGCAGTAAACATAATGATATTAAATCTAAAGGAAACGTTGTTTAATGTTATATAATAATTTATATACATAAACATACAACCATATAGTGCTATATTAGTTTACCAACTAAAATCCTTTCGCCATATTTCATATACACAGTATAAAGATTACGATTTTAAACGCTTTACTTTCTAGTATAACTGATTTTTTAACTTGTAAGATGTATTCAAAAATCATTAAAAATGTTATTTTTAAGTAAACAATCAAGGTTAAATCTATAAGAAGTGAATACATAAGATAGATAATTGTATGTATCTGATTGGTTGAAAGTAACGGAAATATGAAGTAGAATATGAAGCATTATGCGCTGAGCGTCTCACTTAGACGGAATTACTGCTTACAAAGGTAAGGAAAAAATACAGGATGTTTTATAGCAAGATTACATAAGATTTATCATATAAAACATTCACAATAAGAATAAAAATCACTTTTTCTCTACTTTTCAATCACCTAGGTTGTTTCAAACAAGTTGACGAAATGGGAATTAAACTGTTCTTTTGGATGTCTCCCATCATTCTTTTCTCCTACCTTGGTAAAGTTGACTCAAGAAGAACTTTAAAACTTGGATTTATCACTCCAAATAGCGGTCCTCTAAGTTATGGAACTACTGCAGCAGCAACAACTATGGCAATTGAGAAAGCTAAGAAAGACGGCTACCTTCCAGATACAGATGTCAGGTAAAAATAAGTAATTAATGAAATTTCCTTTAAAATTGGAAAAAAAAGAGAAAGAAAATACAAAAGAAACCGATAAAGTTAAAAAAGACTTTAGTGATAGAACGTTAATACAAAGTTTCTCCCGTAGCTTTCAATTACCAGAGTCCAACTCCAAGTGACATTACATAATAGCATCTGTACGACAGTATTTTGATAAGTAATATTTATATACATCTTCTATTGTCAAATACAAACAAAAAACAAGAGACACTAAAGTTTTTTATTTCCTTTAAAAGTCTACTTAAAAAAAGTCGCTTCGTCAGATTTTTAATACTAATATTAGTAGTATATTATTTATAGAGCATCTATTAGAGCGATTTTGTTGCTGTATTCGCATTTTTCATAGAATTTCAAAATTTTCATAAACAGCGCTAATTTCGTAATCCAATTGACTTAATTAAATTTCTTATACTTATACAATTACTTTTTTAAAAGGCTAATATGGCGTAATGGAGCTTGTAGTGGTAAACAAGCTCTTGGTGTAACTGTTACTTTATGGAGGGAGGAGGATGTGGATGGATATATTGGTTTGCCATGTTCAATTGGTAAATTTTTGAATCATAAACATAAATTTAAAAAATGAATAATTCTTATCAATTATTATGATAACAATAGATAAAGAAATAGTTATCTAATATTACTAGTAGTTTTAATTAATAAGTTACCATTTCACAGTATATACACAATACATGTTTATATTAAGTGTTACAATAAGATTGAATGAAAGAGGATATGACTATTAACGAAAATCAAGGAGGAAAGAGTGAATGGAAGAAAAGTATTAGCTATATTTGTCTATAATCATACTTAAAATGTAATAGTCTATATAATTTTAATATTACTTTGCTAATGAAGGATAGAACATGAGTAAATGTTGAAAAAAATTAGTATCAAAGATTTGTTTTAGCATATCTGATATTTTCTTTAAGGTTATCTCGTCTCATTTTAAATATATGCTTAATTATAAGACAATCCAAAATACATTGCTGTTTGATATTATATACCTAAAGTAAAATAAATGTAGGCAAAGGAAAAATTACATAGGCATATATTTAATTACAAGCAACCAGTTTTTTCCCATTAATTTTTAGTATACTTTGAAATACTTCTTCATTTTTTGTTTTTAAAATGAACGTATTCAATATCCTTCAGCCGCTATAAATGCAGGAAAGGTTATCTCATTTTGGAATTTACCTCATTTTACCCATGAATCACCAGATCCAGAATTGGCTCATAAACAGACATATACAACACTGATACGAATGCTTAGCCCTTTTAACAAACTGGCTTTAGCCCTTTTGAAATTTATAGAAAATATGGGATGGAGCAGAGTAGCCATGGTAACAACTAGTCCTGCTCTTACGCATTGTGATTTCGCAAGCAGATCTATTGAAAAACTATTTCTCGACTCGAATATAACTTTAATTGATTGGTTAAAAAGGTCAAGTATGCCCGATAGATTTACCATCTTTAAGTGGTTAGACAGGATAAAAGAGAGAGCGAGAAGTAAGTTAATAATTAACATTGATAATAAAAAATATATTGAACTAAGATTAATGATTATTCTTCTTCCCAAGTTATTATTATATGTACGGATGAGGTTCATTTACGAGATTTTATGCTACAAGCTGAAGAAAAGAAGATGACTGACGGTGATTACGTCTTCATTGAACCTACGCTTCTGCCATATGAAAACTACAAGAACCGCTGGCAACAAAAAGATGGTAATGATGAAAGAGCATTCACAGCTTTTCAGACACTTCTTCAAGTTTGTTTAATACAATTTCAAAGAGTAGGAAGCGATTAAAACTTTTGATTACGCTCTATTATTAGATGGCTCTTGGTTTTGTTAATACCGAGGAAGCGGAAAAATTTAGAGAAGAACTACCAAAGAAAATGGCCGAACCACCTTGGAATTATACTAAGACTTTGGAGAATAAAGAAAAGGTCAGATCAAAGACTTAAGTCTAAGATATAAAAAAGATTATAATTAGTACTTTTACAACAAGTACAACTTATATTCTATGATCTAATTCTTTTAAAATAACTTTGAAACTATTCCAATAAAGTCATCAAAGAAACTTAATTAATTTATTAGTGTTTTCTTGGTATGCTAATGAATGAATGGAATTTCAATGAATATTTTCTTCAAGCCAAATCCCTTTGTTTCAGGGTTCTTTATTTTCATTGTATCTTCATGATACACTCTACCTTTACTGCATTGCTGTCGATAGAGTTCTTAAACTCGGTGGTGATCCTAGAAATGGAACATTTATTTTTGATCAGGCAAAAAACATTACGTTCAAAGGTTAATACAGAAAAAATATAATCTAATGAATAGGACTTTTTATGTTTTTTCATAAAATCTTAGGAATTTCTGGCGATGTTGTGTTGGACGAAATTGGGGATAGAATAGGAGACTATTGGATATGGCAATTGAGGAAAAAGCGCGATGAATATGATCTTTGGGCAAAAATTTCTGTCTCCAAAAAGGATAAATCAAAAGTAAAGTATACTATTAAAATATTAATGCAATAAAAGATCCTTTGCATTTGAAGGTTATTGAATACGAAGCGATTAGGCATTGGGGAGCTAAATTTGGCTATGAAATTCCATTGGATACTCCTAAATGTGGATTTTTTAATGAACTTTGTCCAAAAGAAGGATCAGGCCTAAATATCGCAACTGTAATTGCGATCGTTGCCTCAATTGTACTAATAGGAGCAGGTTCAGCAGTTGTTTACGTCTTCTACAGGTCAGTTAATTAAAATTCGAAATAAAATCACTTGTTCTTACATTATATAAATCATCCATAATGAAAAAATAGACGGAAAAAATTCGAAAATGAAATTGATTTAATGCTGTGGAAAATTAAATACGAAGATGTACATTTTCCTTCAAAGAGCCTTGGTAGTATACGAGTAAGAATCTTATATAATTATATTATAATTTATTTCGTATAAACTATTTTTATTTTTAGACTCTGGGTCAAATGTCTGCGAGTGCTGGAAGTGAAACTAATTCAATTAACACTCTTAATAACTATAATAGGACTTCATCAATAAAAGTTGGCAATTATAAAGGAACCTTGGCTAAAGTTACATATTTAAGATCTGAAACTATTGTACTTTCAAGATACGATCACATCGAATTGAAAAATGTTACTTGAATACTTTTAACCTCTTCGAATCATATATTATGTCACTTTTATGTTTTAGATGAGAGAATTAAATCACGATAATGTTAATCCATTTATCGGAGCTTGTATTGATGCGCCAAATATTTGCTATTTAACTAAATACTGTTCAAAAGGTAGTCTCGAAGTAAGTAGACGTTTAAGAATATTAACATGTATTCCATTTTCGTTATATTAATAATAGGACGTTATTTCCAACGAGAATATTAAATTGGATTCGATGTTTAAAAGTTCCCTAACTTTTGATTTAATAAACGTAAGTGAATTAAAAGACACTTTCAATTTTTAAAGTAACACTTTATTAATTATACAATTAAAAGGGTCTGGACTATATTCATCATTCATCTCTAAAATCGCACGGAACCTTGAAAAGTTCAAATTGTTTAATTGATGGAAGATGGATTCTTAAAATATCTGATTACGGTTTAAGTTGGTTTAAGAAAGTCCCTGAAAATGAATTTGATATTTATAAAGGTTATTGAATTTTGAAATAATATTTTCAATAGCAATAATTAGAAATTTCCTTGTCAACTTTCTCATAACAGATCAACTGTGGACTGCACCAGAAATTCTCAGAATGATACCAATGCCAATAAAAGGTACTCAAAAAGGAGATATTTACAGTTTTGCTATCATTCTCCAGGAGTTATATTACGGATGCTCTCCATTTCGTAGTAACTGTGATTCCATTCAGGTCCCAAAAGGTTAAATACTATATAATTATTAGAATACAGTAGAACATTAATATCTCTAAATCACCTATATATATATATATATATAGACTTGGTTGGTAGAGTGAGAAACGGGGAGACACCACCTTTCAGACCGATTTGTCCACACGATCCGAAAATAGATGTGAATATTATAAACTTAATAAAGGATTGTTGGTCGGAAGAGCCAGCTAGTCGCCCAGACACTTTACTGCTTAAGAACAGGTTTAATCTCCTCAACAAAGGAAAGTGAGTTACTATAATAATATAACGCTCGTAAAAATAATGGTTTGGCTAACGTTAACTATTGCGCTTATCATTTTAATAAAGGCAACATAACATTATGGATAATATGTTAAGAATGATGGAGAAATACGCAACGAACCTAGAAGGTTTGGTTGAACAAAGAACAAAAGAATTGGTTGAAGAAAAGAAAAAAACTGATTTACTCCTATACAGAATGCTTCCGTCGTATGTCATTCTGTTGATTAATAATGATAATTTAATAATAATACTAAATATGAAACAATAATTAGTTTAATATTGTTTTAGAACTGTAGCGGATAATTTAAAAATGGGTGTCGTCGTTCAGCCCGAACTATTCAAGGAAGTTAGCGTTTATTTTAGCGATATCGTTTCATTTACGAAAATGTGTTCGGAGAGTACTCCTCTTGAGGTAATAAGTTTCTTGAACGATTTATGGACTCTGTTCGACGACATTACAAGTAAATATGACGTCTATAAGGTAAACATGCAAATAAATTTTTATTATGTGGGATATTATTAACAAAGTTCTTTACAAATGGTAATTTATTAATCAATCAATACGAAAATAAAGGTTGAAACGATAGGAGATGCGTATATGTGTGCCAGCGGAATACCGGTTCCAATTGGAATAAAGCACGCAAGCGAAATTGCTGTGATGGCTTTACACATCTTGAAAGGTGTTAGAGAGTTTACCATAAAACATAAACCACAAGAACAATTAAAAATCCGCATAGGTATTCATTCAGGACCAGTTGTTGCAGGTACTATTAACCCTATTATTCATACTTTTTAAGTTTTACGGCATTAACAAATTTTACAGGAGTTATAGGCCTAACAATGCCCAGATATTGTTTATTTGGTGATACAGTCAATACAGCTTCCAGGATGGAATCAACTGGAGAAGGTTTATTTTTTTATTTTCTTCATTATTAGTTTTAACTTTATCTTGAATATTTTTCCAGCTCAAAAAATTCATTTAAGTCACGAAGCCTACCTTGCAATTCAATCTTCGTCTTCATCATTTGAATTTAGTAGGCGAGGAGAAACTGAAATAAAGGTTAATATCTTTGAATAATTCTCTACCTAATGGATTTCAACTTTTCTATTTTAATATTATACTTTAGGGTAAAGGATTAGTGACAACTTTCTGGTTGGATGGAAATAATGAAGCGCATAAGATAGCCGGTAAAAGAAACGAATATTTATAGAATGAAGAAAATGTTAATCTTAAAAATTCACTTATATATTAAGATGTATAACTTGTTTAATCACTGTATTTTGTCGATTGTTAACAATGGAGTATATTTAAGTAAACAACAAAAGCACGATATGTACTGTTATGTGAGAACTTTTCACTTTCCTTCGTATAGTTGAGATAAAGAGACGGAAGTCTTTATTCTATCTCTCTTTTATCAATAAATAGTTCATCGATTTATAACACAATAAATCCTAGTTAATTCCAGATTTAAGTTAACTTTGTCGAGTTATATCTTTTTTATTTCAATGATAATGTCTACCAAGCAATTTTACATGGGATTTTACATAGATTATTAGGTATTTCTTTTATGTATGACATATTCAAGTATTCATTGCTTATTAAATATCCTTAGCCCCTATACACTAATCCTACAACCTCCTTTAAATTTATTTCTATGTTAGAAATAATACTGACTGCAGTTATACTTTTCCCTCGATTTTTACTGTTATTCCTTCGTCGGCACTTGGATTCTTGAAGAGTTTTCCTTTCTTCTGGCAATTTCTAAAGGTGAACTCTATAGTGTACCTTAATTTACATGTTTTAATGAGGGGAAGACTTAGGACTGCTATCAATTGTTTCTCTGGAGCGGAGGAACACTTTATATCAATAGTGATCTGCATGATTTGCAGTTTATGAATTTAGATCCAGGCCAGATATTTTGTAGGCTCCTAATTATTGAGGGTATATGCACCCTCTCATTGCCATAATAGACAATTAGAAGAGTTCTAGAGAGGGTAAAAAGCCTTTACTCCTAAAATTCATAAAGACTAATTTAATGAAATCTGAATCGGCTCCTTGTTTATTTCATTTCAAATAGACAGTCAGGATGTATTTATTTATTAATATATTTAATATTCTAAGAATAGGAATAATTGACGTTGACGTTGACGTTGACTAAATTCTTTGCTTTTAGGATTGATCGTGATGATGGGTAGGAATAAGAGAAAATGAGGAAAGGAGGGAAACTCTAACTTTTATAATGGGAAAAGTGAATTTTGCTATTGATAAGGTATGTTTATTCGTTGTTACAGGGATTATTATAAAAGGGTTGAACTACAGATAGAGACACTTTTATTATAATATAATTTAAAATGTAGTTTATAGTGTCGTATAGTTATAGCAGGAAAAAAGTCTTTGTATCCCATGTCTTGTTTGATTAACCATCGCAAAAATACCATACTCATCTGACTGATAATCAGGAAACAGTCTCTTTCACAAAGATTTAAAACGTGATAAGATGGCATTATATGAATTGAATATATTGTACTTTATGTTACTTGCACATTAGTAAATCACTCTTTTCTCCATAAATTCTCATAAAGTATAATTAGTTCATCTAACGGAAGATCTAACTTGTTACCACTAGCCTATCTTTCCATGAGCCAGATATGCTAAAAGCTCCTTCATAATATAGCATTCTGCTACCTTTCTCAGCATGTTGGGTATTAAGAATAAATAGCAAGAAAATGATTCGTCCAAATTTTCGAACTTATCATGATTCATTTCATTGGGCTTATCGGTTATGATATTTGGACTTTGAGAGTTTATACACCGTAAGAAGCTATTTTGGTACTATTACTCCATCTAGTAGTCTTCAGAGATAGCCAAAGGAAGAGTTAACAAAAATCACTTTAGCAACTAGGTGCGCCACTGTCAAAATATTTTTACTTAACTAATAGTTCTCTTAAATGAATGAGCCTGACCGGTATTTCTATTCCAGACAAATACAGTTTTTATACAAACCGTCATTTAACTCAATACAAAGAACTTACACTAATCAAGAATTATGAAAATTTTAGTATTTTTCGCTTTGTTGGTTGCATGCCTCAAAGCTAAAAAATTTCTTTTATTAACGAATCAGATGCCATCCCATACGATGATGGTATGGAGTATAGGATCAGAATTAGCCGAAGAAGGACATGACGTAAGTTTTTAGTATTATTACTATTATTCCGTGAACGCTCTATCTATCTCCAAAAGTCTTTGTAAATGATTAAAGTTTCGTCGTTACATAAATTTAAAGTTTTATTAAAACTTTATTAATATCTCTGTTATTTAACTTATTGTATATTTATTTATACAGGTTGTTGCAATAACCAAAAAAGACTTTGAAGCGAACAAATTAAAGCATTTCGAAAAGAATATTAAGGTTAAGAAAAAGAAACATGACAATATATCTATTTTAATTAAAGAGTATCTACCGATTTATTTAGACTTGGCAATTTGAACCAATTAAAGGTCCTTTCGCTAATGAACGTGAAGCTGAAAAAAAGTTTTTTGACTTTCTTTTTCAAGAAGTTTTAGCTGGAAAAAGACCACCAATAAACCCAAATATTGTTCAGGGTTTATACAATGAAACTATAGCTATTGTTGAAAATAAAGAATTAATGAACAAGATAAGAGATTATAAATTTGATGGTGCAATTTTGGATGGATTTGTCCTCGCTAGATTTTTTGCTGTTATTCCTTATCATTTTGGAATTCCTATTTTTACTGTTACAGACATGTTAATGGATCCAGCAATACAAATAGCTTCGCTACCATCTCACATTCCTCATTTACTTACTCCCTTTACAGAAAGAATGTCCTTTACTGAAAGATTATTAAATTTTGTCTCAGTTTCTGTAATATGTAATCCAACTACTCGAAAAATGGTAATTCCTCAGATGCCTACAGATTATCTATTCAAGAAATTTGTTAGAGATGATAAGATTAAACACTGGGATGATTTAATAGCAAAATCGGAATTATTTATTATAACTCGAAATCATATGCTTGAATATCCTGCACCGACTTGGCCAAATACTATTACAACACATAGTTTAACTGTCAGACCCTTTAAACCTTTAACTGAAAAATTTGAAAAGATGGTATTAAAACATCCAGATAAAAAACTTGTTTTTGTTAGTTTTGGATCACATGGAGATTTGATACCTTCTTCATTTTCAATGAAATTGCTCGAAGCATTTGGTTCCTTCAATGATGTTCATTTCATTTGGTCATATCGCTTACTAGAAAGTGATGCTGAAAAAGTTCCATCCAATGTAGATATCGTTCCGTGGGCACCTCAAAACGATTTACTCGGTCACGATAGAGTATCAGCATTTATCACTCATGGTGGTCAAAATGGACAATCCGAGAGTGTTTATCACGGAAAACCAATGCTATGCATACCATTATTCGCCGAACAACCTCATAATGCTGTTCGAATTGCTTATCGAAAATATGGTAAATATCTATTCCCCCATGAACTTACAACAGAGAAATTACAATTATTGTTAAGAGAAGTTCTAAATAACGATGTATACGCTAAAAATGTGAGAAGAGCCAGCGAAATTATAAAATCCCAGCTTGTTCCGGATATAAAAAGAGTTACACACGAAATATTAACTATTACTGAACACGGTAGTTCCCATCTTAAGAGTTATGGACAGTCTATGCCATTTTATCAATACTTTTCATTAGATATTATATCTTTTATATTCTTTGTTATTTTAATTGTGTTATCTTTCATTTCATTTGTTCTTTGTTACGCTTTTAGAAAACTAAAACGCTATTGTTTTTCAACCAATAAAGAAAAGGTTCAATGATTGAAAATTAAATTAAAAATACAAAATTATGGAATCATTTAATAGAAATGAGATGGATATTGATTGTAAAATATTATCTTCAACAATTATATAATAGAAAGCATCTGAATTATTTTTGACTATTGCTACTTTAATTTTGCAGTTGTAACCTTAATAATTTATTGCTATCAATTCGTATGACGAAAAAAGTCATAATCAGCAGCAATAAATAGATAGTTGAACACAAACTATATTCACTAAAAGAATGTTTATTGTTCAAATTTTTTTGAACATTTCTTAACAGAGATGAAAGCAAATATCAGTTATCTTTTCGATTTATTTCTCAATCCATAAATGTTTACCTTAAATAAAAGAAAGAAAGAACAAATTGTTGATTAAAAATAAATCAATAGATATGGACTAAAAAGAGAACTATTCAATAAGTTTGCATATATTATTCCCAACTGAACGATAGGCTTTTTTAATATTCTATTGCGGTTTGAATATGACAAGTAGTTTTATTACTGTAAGAAATTCTTTTCAATTTTAGTAATAATGATTTAATTCTTTAAATCTTACATAAAATCAGCTAAAGAGTGTTGGGTTTCACTTAATAATATCATTTTTTGGAATAATGAAGCCCTATTTATACAGTATACAACTGTAGACTTGTGAACTATTAAACAAGTATGAGTCATTTTTTTCAGAACAAATCGAACACAAACAATGTCTCTTTGATTGAGTTTCTAACACTTGTCGTTTTTTTTACAAATACGCCATCTACCCGATTTGGTCTAAGTGTAAGTAAATTATAGCGAAAATAATCATAAAGTAGAGGGCGACATTGAAAATTTTGAAAACTCAAAAAATTTTCATTCTCTCTGTAGTAGAAAATATTTCAAACATTGAATACTAAGACTACCACCACAATTTAGTCTAACTTATGTGTATAAACCACTGTGAGCGATATACACACATTTCTAACTGTCCGGCGAAGGTTAAATAGATTTCGGTTTAAACCAAAAAGAAAATATGAAAATTGCAATACTTTTTGTAATGATAATATCATGCTTCGAAGCTAAAAGATTTCTTTTGCTTACGAATCAAATGCCATCTCACGCTATGATGGTTTGGAGTATTGGATCTGTTTTGGGTGTAGAAGGACATGATGTAACTTTTTATTATTCTTATTATTAATAGACGTAGTATCCTTATTCTATTATTCTAATTCTATAGGTCTAACACCATCATTTATATTTATTCAGGTTGTTGCAATAACAAAAACAAATTTTGAAAGAAATAAGTTAAAGCATTTTGAAAAGAATATTAAGGTAAATAAAGAATTGTCTTAATTCAACATCTTACGATTATTTTTACAATTAGGTATGGGAATATGAACCAATTGAAAGCTATTTCGATAAAACAGGCGGAATGAAGGAACTTGTTATTAAGGAAGCTTTAGAAAGAACCATAGCTGGAAAACAACCAAAATTGAGACCCGATATGCTTGAATACATATACAATGAAACTGTAGCTATGGTAGATAACATAGAATTAATGAACAAAATCAGAGATTATAAATTTGATGGAGCAATTTTAGATGGATTCTTTATAGCTAGATTTTTTGCTATCATTCCTCATCACTTTCGAATTCCTATTTTTACTGTTACAGACTCTTTAACAGATCCTGTCATTCAGCCAGTCTCACTACCTTCTTACACTCCTAGTTTATTTTTGCCCTGTAGTGAACAAATGTCTTTTACTGAGAGACTATTGAACTTCGCTTTAACTGTTCTACTACGTACTCAAATTATGCGAAATATGATGTTTCCTCAGATCCCTACCGACAACCTTTTCAAAAAATATGTTGCAGATGACAAGATTAAACACTGGGATGATTTAGTGAAAGAATCAGAACTATTTATTGTATCTCGAAATCATATGCTTGAATACCCTGCACCGATTTGGCCTAATACTCTTCTGGCTCACAGTTTAACTGTCAGATCCCCAAAACCTTTAACTGAAAAATTTGAAAAAATGGTATTAAAACATCCAGATAAAAAACTTGTTTTTGTTAGTTTTGGGTCACATGGAGATTTGATACCTTCTTCATTTTCAATGAAATTGCTCGAAGTATTTGGTTCCTTCAATGATGTTCATTTCATTTGGTCATATCGCTTACTAGAAAGTGATGCTGAAAAAGTTCCATCCAATGTAGATATCGTTCCGTGGGCACCTCAAAACGATTTACTCGGTCATGATAGAGTATCAGCATTTATCACTCATGGTGGTCAAAATGGACAATCCGAGAGTGTTTATCACGGAAAACCAATGCTATGCATACCATTATTCGCCGAACAACCTCATAATGCTGTTCGAATTGCTTATCGAAAATATGGTAAATATCTATTCCCCCATGAACTTACAACAGAGAAATTACAATTATTGTTAAGAGAAGTTCTAAATAATGATGTATACGCTAAAAATGTGAGAAGAGCCAGCGAAATTATAAAATCCCAGCTTGTTCCGGATATAAAAAGAGTTACACACGAAATATTAACTATTACTGAACACGGTAGTTCCCATCTTAAGAGTTATGGACAGTCTATGCAATTTTATCAATACTTTTCGTTAGATATTATATCTTTTATATTCTTTGTTATTTTAATTGTGTTATCTTTCATTTCATTTGTTCTTTGTTACGCTTTTAGAAAACTGAAACGCTATTGTTTTTCAACCAATAAGGAAAAGGTTCAATAGTTTCATCTCCAGATAATTAATTGCTATGCAAATGTGTTATATTAGAAATATTGTTGAAAATATAATAGCTTTATTAAAACAGAAAGTGTTTATTTATTATATATTTATTAAAATTGTGAACTTTGAAGGCTTTTATTCAAATATAGTTTTGTAAAATAAACTTCATTTAGGTCCTTAATAGGTTGATTTAAGCCTCTAACTATATATATTATATTTAAATTTACTCCATAGTCAAATACAGATATAGTATAAAATAACTGTTCAAGTCACAAGAAATTTTTGCTAAATACCAATAGCATTTAACTTCTGTTGTTACAAAACCTTTATTTTAAAGTAAGAAACTAAAAGGCTTTTGTCTGTAGCTGTTACAGATAACAAACAGATATATTAACGTTTCTTTCTAGAAAGCCTAATATTTTTACAAATATTATTAACATGACTCATTCTTTCAGGACATATGGGTGAGACATAGTTCACTCTTGAACTTTGTTTCTAACGGACAAAGGTTTTATACTAAAACAACATCTCTTGGTTATCAGAAGAATTAAAGGAAAGAATCAAAAAAATATAGAATTTAAAACTGGGTGCAGCATTGTTCCAAAAATGTGATTTATTTTCAAAACATCACTCTATTAATGTTTCATCTTACATAGACATCGTTTCATGGGTGCAACAAAAGGATTTACGCGGAAATGATAGAATGTCAGTATTTATCACTCGTGGAGAAAGCAATAGATAATTCGAGAGTGTTTATCATGGAAAACCAATGTTATGCATACTCTTATTAGCCCAATATCTTTATAAAGCCATTCGAATTGCCTATCGGAAGCATGTTAAATATCTTTTCCTCATGGAACTTCCAAAGGAGAAATTACACAGTTTGTTAAGTTCTAAATAATGATATATTTATTAGAAAATGTGAGAAGATAAATGAAGCATGAAATAGTAACTATTACTGAACATGGTAGTTCCCATCTTAAGAGTTATGGATAGTATATGCAATTTTATAAATATTCTTCAATAGTTATATTAATATTTATAATTTGGGTATCAATATCCGCTGTAACCATCTTGTTGTTAGCATTGCATTTTGCTTATAACCAAAATTAAATACTGTTTTATTTCAGACAAAGAAGAAGGTTGAATGATTGATTTATTTTGTTTTTAGTATCTTAAACATTGTAATGTTAATCTTTTTATTAAATGTTGTTGTACAACTTGTTTCACATAACAGACATTAATAAACTACATGTCTTTTGTATACATTGAGAAAGTATAATCTTTATGTTTATATTATCTTATCTTTATAAAAGTGTTACTGTATTAAGTTTATTATAATCACTATTGAAAAACTGCTTTTCACTGTGAAATATATAAATTCATATCTTTATATTATCTCTATACTTTTTAAATTTAAAATTTCTGGAAACTCTAAATAATTGACTCATTCTTTCAGGACATATCGGTGAGACTCAGGTTACCCTCGTATTTATTCTCTGACGGACAAAGTTTTGCACACTAACACGCCATCTCTTGGTCATCTGAAGAATTTACAGAAATAGTTAACAAAATTACATTTTGAAACTGGGTGCAGCACTGTCGCAAAATTGTGACCTATCTTCGAAGTGAACATTCCCTTCATTGAAACAAGACTTGACAAGGTGGCGCTAAAGTCAAATTTCAAATATATAAATATATGTATATATAAAGTGGAAAATAAATTCAAATTAGTCTGAAAGGAAACTAATAAAGAGCTTCTGCATTTAAAAGAATTATGAAAGTTGTAATATATTTCGTCTTAATGATAGCTTGCCTCGAAGCTAAAAAGTTTTTATTGCTAACAAATCAAATACCCTCGCATACTATGCTGGTTTGGAGTATTGGATCAAGCTTAGCTGAAGAAGGACATGATGTTAGTTTTATTTTTCCTATTATTGCGATACTTAGCAATCTAATCATAGAGATATTATATTTTAATCTTTTTTATAAAGGTTATTGCCTTAACTAAAACAAACTTTGAAACGAAAAAGTTAAAACATTTTGAAAAGAACATCAAGGTAAATAATCATCTATATTTTTAATATAATCGCTAATAATACCAATATATTTAGACTTGGCAATATCAACCAATTGAAAGCTATTTTGACCAATTTCGCGGAATGGAAAAACAGCTTTTGCAGTCGGGAATTAAACGAGCGTTGAAAGGACAACCGCCAGAGATGAGGGCAGACATGATTGAATATTTGTACAATGAGACTATAGCTATTGTTGAAAACAAAGAATTAATGAACAAGATAAGAGATTATAAATTTGATGGTGCAATTTTGGATGGATTTCTCCTCGCTAGATTTTTCGTAATCATTCCTTATCATTTTGGAATTCCTATTTTCACTGTTACTGAATCACAAATAGATCCCGTGTTTCAACCAATTTCGCTACCTTCCTACATTCCTCATTTGTTGTCTCCGTTTACAGAAATAATGTCTTTTACTGAAAGATTATCGAACTTTTTTACATATATTGTACTATTCAATCCCACCCTTCGAAATTTGATAATTCCTCAGATGCCTACAGATTATCTGTTCAAGAAATTTGTTAGAGACGATAAGATTAAACATTGGGATGATTTAATAGCAAAGTCGGAATTGTTTATTATAACTCGAAATCACATGCTTGAATATGCTGCACCGACTTGGCCAAATGCTGTTGTTGTGCACAGTATAACTGTAAGACCTTCTAAGCCTTTGTCAGAAAATTTCGAAAAACTAGTATCCAAACATCCAGATAAGAAAATTGTATATGTTAGTTTTGGATCTCATGGTGATTTATTACCCGTTTCGATTTCATTACAATTACTCGAGGCCTTTAGGTCTATGGATGACATTCATTTTATTTGGTCATATCGTTTTCCGGAAAATGAAAGTATTAATTTTCCATCTAATGTAGATATTGTTCCGTGGGCACCACAAAACGATTTACTCGGTCACGATAGAGTATCAGTATTTATCACTCATGGAGGAAACAATGGACAATCCGAGAGTGTCTATCACGGAAAACCAATGCTATGTATTCCCTTATTTGCAGAACAACCTCATAATGCTGTTCGAATTGCCTATCGAAAATATGGCAAATATCTTTTCCTCCATCATTTTTCAAAAGAGAAATTACAATTTTTGCTAAGAGAAGTTCTAAATAACAATGTATATGCTAAAAATGTGAGAAGAGCTAGCGAAATTATAAAATCCCAGCTTGTTCCGGATATTAAGAGAATTACACATGAAATAGTAACTGTTACAAAATATGGTAGTTCCCATCTTAAGAGTTATGGACAGTCTATGCCATTTTATCAATATTTTTCATTAGATATGTTAATATTTTTAGTGTGGGCCTCAATATCTGCTCTAATAGTCTTTTCATTAGTTTCCTATTACGCATATAAGAAATTGAAGAGTTTTTTTATTTCATGTATGAAGAAGAAGGTTGAATAACTATAAATTTATTGTTTATTTGTATTTTAAACATTTGCAATGTTAATCCTTTCACTAAACATCTCGTATCGTATAGAGTAGTCTTATGGAAGTCACATTAATAAGCTACATTTCTCAAAGCAATAAAAAGCTTCATATTTTGTATATAGATTTTTATGCAGTATATTTGTAAAATAAAATATTTACTCTTATAAATCCGTCTTAATATGTTTACATTATCTTATCTTTTATATTTAAAAGGCGTCACTCTTTTAAGTTTATTATAATCACTTATTATAATATATATTATAAAAGATTGTCTTCCACTCTAAAATATATACAGTATATATATCTTTTTATTATCTTTTTTTCTTTCAGTCTCTCTTTCTCGTTCTCTCCTTGTCTTTATTTGTTTGTCTCTGTGTCTTCTTGTCTGTCTCCCTCCGTTCAGCTATCTATCTTTTATCTATTTAGTCTGGTTATTTAATTTATTTCGTAAAGAATAATAGTAGACAGACGTAATTCTTAAAAAAATTAGAATTTAAAGATAAAATAGGAACCCTTAAATATACCGTGAACTTTGTAATATAAGTATAATGATATAAACTTGGTAGGGAATTTATCGCTTGACATTGGAAGGTTCTACTTCAATCTTCAATTTATGCTTCAGCCGTCAGCTAAAGTGAAATCTTGCCTTTTCTGTTTCTTTGATTTGGGTTTTTAACATAGTGAAATGTTTTTTTCATTCTCTCTACGGTACTCATCCATACAAGAGCTACTTTAAATATATGTATACAGTATATATTCTAGTTATCACTAGCAGAACAAAGGTGCATACTTGTTTATCAAAACTATACGTTTGTATTTATATTATTACATGAACCTCCATTGGTAAACTGGTAAAAGCTACCAATAGAGAGCATATTACAACCTAAACATTACTGATATATCTCAAATGTATATTAAATTTGACAGGTTTTAACGCTGTTTTGTAGAGGTTAAGAATCAATTACAATTAATTAATTAGGCTAATAATTTATATTAATACCAAAAATAATATAAACTAACATTTTTATCAATAATAGTATTTATTAATTAAACTAAATGAAGTTCTTTGATCAATATTCCTTCGTTTCAAGTTGAAGGTTTTTAAGAAGAACATTCAGATCGTTGAACAAAAAAATAATGATGTATAAATTATGGAAAATAACAGTTTTCAATTTCTTTCTCCCCTTCACTTTTAAGGCGTGGCATTCGGATTCCCTGAGAAAAGATGGAGGCTATCAGCTGAACGAATATTTTGACTGGAAATGAAAAGCTAGTTGACAATGCTCTAAAAGAAAAAAAAACCATGACAATACAGACGATTTTGCAGAGTATCCTTATAACGATACTGCTGCCATTGTAAATGATAAAGTACTCATGAATAAGATAAAGAATTAGAATTTCGACTTGGCTATTGTTGATAGTTCTTTATACGCATCATTTCAACTTTCCATATGTCACTGTTTCAGGAACCTCTCTCGATCTCATGATAAAACCTGTTGTAAATGTCAGTTATTGTTATGAGTATATAAAAGAGGCTTGCAGTTCCATACCTGCTGAGAAGAAAGGTATTAGAGAAATATAGATTGAGCGAAGAGCGAAGACATAAAAGATTATGACGATATTACATTTAAAGCCAGTCCCTTTATTGTTGCTGGAAACTCTTTGCTTGAGTATCCTTTACAACTTTGACCTAATGTTTTGACTATTCATTTAACAACGCCTGAGCCGGTAAAACCTTTACCAGTGAATTAGAATATGCTGTTGACTAGATATTTGAAGAAGATAGCTTACGTTAGCTGTGCTTAAATAGGGGAATGATTACCGATCTCTATTTCTAGGAATTTCTTAGTTCCTCTGATTTAAATACTTTAAGCATTCTTTTTTTCGTCTTTCTGATTATCCAAGAGTAACAACTTTGCAATTCGGAAGATGTCGAAATTCCATCTTGGACGCCTTAAAATGACCTATTGGGAGATGATAGGATAAATATGTTTATTACACACGGTGGACATCGAAGTCAAACAGAAGCCTTCATCACGGAAAACCAATGCTATGCATACCTATTTTGGCTGAATAATCTCACAACAGTGTTCGAATAAGTTATCATAAATATGGCAATTTTTTTTTACCGATAATGAAACCAAACGCTGATAGTTTAAAAGAGTGCGATTAACGATGTCTTAGAAAATCGCGAATATAAAGAAATATCAGAAAAATCGATTAAAATATTAAAATCTAAAAGAATCTCCAATATACGAAAGACTGGAGGACTGTGAAGATCATTTATGCAGCTATTGACAATGTATACCTTTCTACCGAATCGCTTTAGTTGATGAGATGTTTTTGGCTTTCATTAACAACATTTGTTTTTACAATATATTTCATTTTGAATTGAACAGAGAGTTTTGGATTTTAGCTTATTAATATTATCTTTATTATAAGCAATAATTTCACCATACTCTGAATAAATAAATTTACAAATGCTATTTTTAGAGCGTCCAAATGTCCTTGAAATGTCTTTCTAGTCTACACTGAAATTTTCTTGGAAATATCTCTAAAGAGAGAAGTTGAATAAGGAAATCCAAAAGAATTTTATAGAATTGAATAGCTATCGCTTATATGTTGTAAAAGTGTATAAAAGATAAAACGTTTATAGCAATTTATATAGTTGAAATGAAGGATATGTTAAGAAGAAGTTAAAATGTACTTTCATATAAAGTACTATAAAATTTCTAAGACGAGCATCTAATGTATTTAGAAAAGAAAACTTTACGCGTTGGATATTAATTAGTTAAGATCTAAATTGAAATACTTTTGGCTTTAAAGACTATTAAGTTTATTGTCTTTAATGAAAAATAACTTAGCTAATAGTTGTAGGTGTTTTTTTTGTCTAAAAATGGAATTTTTTTTCTATTTATTTTTCGAGTGAAAAACACTGTTAATAAGATAGAAAATAGGAAAAATCATGTTCGAAAGAGGACATTTTTCACTCACTAAAACATTCTATAATATTGATTTAAATACAGTAAATGTAGAAAAAGTGTACTTGTACATTGTAACATTATACTGTATATAATGTATAATTAGTCAACAATATGGTCTTATTTTAGATTTTTCTATGATGCACTTGTATTTCTTTTATAACAAATTTAATATATTTTAATGAAAGATATTTGCAATTTTTTGAAGTTGACACAAACAGTGTATGTATATGTATTTTAATTTGATAATTTGATATCTATTAATAAGAACTAGACACATTTTCAGCAACTAATTAGCAAAAGTATGAGAGACAGAATGTTTTGACTTACCTGTTTAATCTTTAATCGTATTAAGTAACTTTGTGTTACTTTTATTAAAAATATAATATATAGTATAGTAAATTAACATAATTCATTTTTAACTCGTGTTATTCTTTAATTTCTTCATTCCTTTTCAAGCACCAAAGTCATCAACCTTTAGAGACTAATTTTCGTTATTCTTTTATGTTTGTTTTTTTATCAAATCATTCTTCATTCTCTATTCTATCGCTTATAGCTGTTATTATTTATGTTTACAGATTTAGTCGTTATGATTGGGGGAGATGTGGGAGAGGGAAAAAAAATACTGTTTTCTGCTGTTAAATATTACTGCAGAACATAGAAATGATCTGTACTAGAGATGTTTTTCCATCATCTTCTTTCCATATTTCTCTTAAAGTAATAGTAAATAGTCGAACAAAAACTGTTGTTATTATTATATGCTGTACAGTTTATAGATATATATATATTTGTCTTTGATAATAACTAAACATACGCTTTTTTAAAAGACAAAACTACTACCCTTGGCTTAATCTTCGTAAACATTGTTGCAATAGATTGACAGTAAGATTATTTAAAAAATTTGCCCTTCTATTTGCTTCTAATTTACTTATTTCTCTCGTTGCCGTTAGAGCTAGTAAATGGGTTTTTTGTAAAACAATCCACTTTTCGGCGAATTCGTCCGTTTGAACTGCCATCTGATCTGTTGGTCCCCAGAGCATGACACAGAGTAAAATATGAGCCGTTCTATAGTCTTTTTCTTTGAGAGCATCTTTAAGGGCTTTCGGTCGGGCAGAAGATGGTATAAGACGCTCAAAAAGGTCTATAATTTCTGAAGAATCTTTCGGATTATCTGAAGGTATGACTATGGCATATTTCTGACCAGATATTGCAGAAACAAGGATGTTTGCATAATCCAATCTCGGCTCTAAACCGAAACTCTTCAGGCAAATGGCCCCGGACAATACTTGTTCCATAAGCTTAGCACACTCCCTACCATACTCGGAAGGATCAACATCAATGTACAATGCATAAACGACATCTCTGATTGTTTGAACGTTTTCGCAGTTTAAAACTGATATATAGGTAGAAACATCTTTTTCTAATGGATTATCTAAAAATTCCAAAGGAAGCTGATCTTTAGGTAGGTTCGACTTGAAACTCTTTTCCGGATTTAAGACATGAGGATGCTTATTGTGACATGTTGTTAGTTGGGTCTTTGACACCTATTTTCGCACGTTTTAAAATGTAGAAATATTCTAAATTAAGGAAAAAAAAAAGACAACTAACCATTAACACTACAGAATCATTTCCGAGTAAAGGTTTAGCTTTCATGAAAACTATATCATCCATAGTTAAAATAGCATTATCCTCAACGAAATAATCCGTATAAGATTCAGGAAAATGAGACTTTAACTTTCTAACAAACTCAATTTTGCATAAACTACGAATGGCTTTGCTCTGAATTTCAATAACGTCCGTCGAAAAATTAGTAGTTGCAACATTCACTTCTGGTACGCAATCTCTTATAGAAAATGGCATGGATATGTAAGAAGATATGCCCGTTTTTGGAGGGGGACAATCTGGATTCATTTCTAAACAGCTCGAAGGTTCTAGATAGGCTGACGAGGGTCTCATATAGCAATTCGATTGATCAATATCTTCGTAAGGCAGTTGAAAGGAATTTAACTCTTCCCCAACAGTTTCGTAAACATCTTCGGATGGTGGTAGGAGAGGCGGAGCTTCTTGTACTGGAGGTGAAGGTAAGGCTCTATCGGCAAACTTTCTAGTCTTTGGAAAAGTGTCTAACAATTCTGTTACTCTATGCGATCTCATTTCTGAAAAAGAATACAAATTGACTTAAAATAGTTGCGATAAAAAACATTTCTTCAACATTTCTTTTTATAAAACAACAGAAAAAAATAGAAAATAGAAAAAAAAGACTAAAGCAATTAGTCAGTTCTTCTCACCAGTTTCTACTGCTGAAAAATTATGTAAGAACCAGGATTTTCGTTGATCTTTTTGGCTATATCCAACATTTTCACATGCATGGACTACAACGATAGGAAGAGAAAAAAAATGAAAGAGTAGAATAAGGGAAAGATGGGAGAAATTAACAGTTTCATATACAAAATATAAACTTAAAATATTTCCTTTTAACTCACCAGAGCCTGCTAAATCTAAATCGAGTTTTACACCTTCGGTTACAGTTCTTCTAGAATTTCTTGGCTCTGTTCTAGATCGGGTATTCCTAACAACACTTTCAGCTTCCTTCCAATCGGTTATTTTTAGAGATGGACCTCTGTTTCTTTCTCTTTGTCTTGCTATCCTCGCTGCAGAACTTCTGGGTAAAGTTGCGTGAATAGACGATGAAATTACACCACTGTCAGGAGGCAATGGGGGCGGAGAACTAGGTCTTTTCAAATCACTAGACGATCTTCTTGTACCAGGTGGGGGTGGCGGTGGAGCCTCATTCATTCTCACTCTAGGTTTGGTCCCTCGTCCAACTGAAACTTCCGAGCGAGGTCTCGGTTTTCTTGGAGCTTGCATTAAAGGTGCATCGTCAGGGCTTTTAGGAGAAATGCTTGATCTAGGTGAAGGTTGCGGAGCTGTGTCGACTGTCAGTGCCATAGTGGTTGTCTCTGGTACTATTGAAATAGATTTCTTTTTTGTCTGTCGGATACAAACAGTTGTTTAGAATTTGATAGAAAATATAAATACAGCGTTGATTGTCAATAATTATTAAGAAAACACTAGAATATATCGGTGAAATCTGTCTACAAAATACACGAAATAATAGGTTTTTCGCTTCAATAATTATACCTCATCTTCCATGACAAGTCTAGCAACTACTTATACGGCTTTTATTATGTTACAAATAGGATGAAAGTACTTTAAAAAGAAAGGTAGCTGTAAGGAAAAACCTATTTGCTAAAACAAGATCATCCTCAAAGCTCCCACCTAAACCACATTTTTTATTACCTTTGGAGATTTCATAAGAGAGTCGGATGCTAATGGAACTTCTTCCAATATTTGGTCCATCAAGGAAAGTTCCTCTTCTTTATAACTGTCGTCTAAAGTCGGTATGTCGGAAGAACTACTAGTGCTATTTACGGTGCTACTCCTACCCGAATCGGTTTCAGAAGGTTTCTTACACAAAATAATAGGTGAAGAGTTTGCTGATTTCGATGGCAAAAAATCGTCTTGTTTTAAAGTAAATTGAGCTTTTCTCAAAAGAGGAGAACTAGGCTTTGTCATTATAACGTCAGACTTCTCTGGAATTTTCTTCTCAATTTCTTCACCTTTGTCGCTTCCTCTCCTAAAAAGTCTTTTAAAAAAAGAATTTCCTCCACTCTGTTTCTTTTGTCTAGAATCAGGTGAAGAGCTTCTATCGGAGAATCTCTCATCGAATGTCTTCCAGACACGAACTTCTTCAGCTATTGCTTTCTTCTTGGCTTCAAAATGGGCTTTCTTGTTTAGTTCGAATGAACTTTCGCCTGTATCAACATCTTCGTATAAATGATAATTGTCTGCTGGATCTTCTTCTTTAGGTGCCGCATTCTGAATAGGTATTGGACATCCAGAGAGTCCTCTCCTATCAATATCGTACTTATGATAATAGTGAGGTGAAGGAGCGCCAACACTATCCCTTGGAACGTCTTCTGCTAACACTCGAGGCGGTGGACTTTTCCTACCACTTGACACTTTACGAAACCTATTTTTGAAGAAGAATTCGACATTTTGATAATAAGAAAATTTAATACAGAAAATTTGTCATTTTCCGTATTTTCGTCAATAAATTCACCTGCTCGGCTTATACATTTCCTCCACTTCGTCTTCCGGAGGCAGAGAGCCCTGGGGTAGGGTAGTTGAGTTTCTCCTAGTATTTTTTACAGTTTCTATTGCAAGTTGATCATCTGAAGAGATGGCTGCCCTTAAATCATCAGATGTATCTTCGTCTTCTGGAATTCCCTCTATCCCAATATTTTCTGTAGAGCCTACACCACCATCTGTACTTATAACAACAGCATCTTCTGCGAATCCAACGTGTCTAAAAGAAAAAACAAGAAAGAGGATATAAACAAACGCATGTTAAAACTAATTAATATTTTACGAATTAACTATTTAATACAAAGTTAATGCCCTCCTTGGGGTAATACTCACTTTCCCTCGATGCTAGCCGAACTTCTTAAAGTGGGCCTAAAGCTAGAAGTTGCCGCATGATCAACGGTTGCTGCTCTTTGAAAAATTTGTCTTTTATTCCTTCTTTCATCTTCTGTACAGAATGATGACAATTGCGACGTTCGAACAGGTGAGTCAGAATCATGGACAGACTGGGTTCTTTTACAATTCGCGCATAAATCCTTTTTAAAAGCATGCGGTGTAAAATCGTCACAAGGGGATCCTGCCGCATCATCCGCCATTTTTCTGAAAAAACAGTAGAAGAGAAATCGTTAATCAGGAGTATAATTTTATTTTTACAGATACTTAATTAGAAATGAACCCATAAGATAACTTTTAAGGTAATCCATACTGAAACCGTTTAAGTAAGCTACTGATTTGACTAGATTACCATTCTTTTAGGCCAAATTTTAATATTTATTATAAAATTGATGAATTGCATACTATTAATAGCAAAATATCATACGATTATATCCGTTTCAATAGATTATCAATCTCTTTTTTAACATAAGCTATAATACCCAGTTTATTCTGCCTATTCACCTTTCGTAGAAAGTTTTTTTTAATGGATAACTAATTTATATCGGAAAAGATTTTATAAAGGAATCCTTTTTACTGCAATTTCATTAATGAAATTTCATTTTCACATTAAAATTTGAGGAATCAGTTGGAAGTAAGTTTTTAAGAGTGTGGGTGGTACAATAAAAAAAACAGGGTAAATTAAATTTTCCCAGAGAACAACTGGCTTCTTTCTCCAAATGAAGCCGTAACTATGAGTAAAGAGAGCATCGATTGTAGGTAGTACAAGCAAAAACCCCAAAGAAAGAGCTCAATTTTGTAAAGGAATCGCTGAAAGAAAATTTTACCTAGAGACTGCTGGTAAGTTACGCACTGAGTATAAAAATAGAAGCAAACCCAAGTGCGAAACCCACAATTTATAATGGATGGCGCATGTAATACAAGTAATATTTGAAATTGAAGATTTCGGGGCCATAGGGAAAAAAAACACTAGTATTGTTTGAAGAGAGAAATACCAAATAGCACGAAAGTCAAATATAATAGATAACTTTTTAGGTAAACTTTTAGAATTTTACGACCAGAGTCAAATAAAAAAAAAGGTTCTCCTCTAAAATTCTTTGTAGAAACAAAAACTAATTCCTATATCTTGAAGCTTATTAGAAGAAAGGCTCCGAATTAGTAATATAATTTACGACGCCTCGACTTCTCTTAGCATCAGTTAGACTTTCGACATTATCTCCTTATTAAATAAGACATGAGCCATCTGTGTAAAGAACTTTAGTTTTTCTCTTAAAAAATTTATATATAAATTTACCTAAATGTTGTATACATTGTATAGTTAATCTCTCTTAAAGTAAAAAAAAACGCATAGGAAAGGTCATATTGATGTTTTATGTTTATGGAGGAATTTTTTAAGTTGAGAGATGAAAAAAATACTATTTCATTTATTGACATTTGTTGCTAACTCTTATAAATTAATCAATCAATCAACAAAAATATTTTATATTCTCTCTGTCTATATACAGTATATACTAATACTGTATATATATATTCAACATGTTAGAGGAAACAATTCCCATCCATCCCTTTTTGTAATAGTTTTGATAGCATAGATGTGATTACAGTAATAAAGGCTGTAAGCTTTGCCTTTTCAACAGTGCGGTTTATTTAATAGAAACATCAGTTTTCATAAAGAATCATACACTCAATAAGATAATTAGATGAAAAGTTTTTATTGATAAGGGTTAAAAGTTATCTTTGTTTACACTGACCTGATGAATATCGTACGTTGATGTGGAAATACAAGATTGGATGAAAAAAATCGAAAGAGAAAAGCTGAGAGAAAACAGAGAGAAGCCGCAGAGATTAAGGCAAAGGATTAGTAGAATATGACATTTGTGATTCTCTTTTTTTCAATTCTCTTCTAATGATTACGAATAAAAAAGATAAAGATAAAAGAAGAATTACTAATTCTCTTACACTAAAAACGCTAAAGTGGAAAAACATCAAAGTAAATATAGCATATCGGTTCTGTACCTATTTACTGTTAATCTAAAGCGAGGTAGACATTGATCAAGTATCTCGCTAGCAGAATTCAAACAGTCAAAAAAAAAAGAACGATATATAGCTATTCATGAAATATATTCCACAACAGAACTTCTTTATAATTTAATAAGAAAATTGAAATCAAAGGAAAAAGAAGTTTATTGATAAAGAAATTAAGGAAAAGTATTTCTTGGGCAACAGGCACGTGATAGTTTACAGATGCGTATTAAGTAAGGATTAGTGATGGGCGTTACCTCAGGCTTGATAGGATGAAATTTCTCTTAGGAGAAAAGAGTGATCAGCTATTTCCTGTCTACTTCTCTCTTTGTTTTACTTGATGAACGCTCTTCTCCTGGTTCTCAATATTCATTTAAAGAAATATTCAACAAATCGACTATCAACGCCATCTGGCGATGGGACAAATGGCTAGAAATAATTTGATGCTAACTAATATATGCTCAATGCGATTCACCACAGGCTGTTAAATTAATAGCAAAGTTGTCTAATTTTCTAATAGTCGAAACCAATAAGCAAGAATTTATGCTAATCAACAACAGAATAAAAAACCTAGGAGGAAAAAATCCGTATTAAAGGACATTAACCGCGTAATAAGCTTTGGAATTCATTAAGTACAAGGGAATACGGTAGACGAATGCTATTGGTGACAAGGGAAAAATGAATATTTTGCAGTACAGAGAGGTTTATATATATGAACCTAATATTCTACATAGGCTTAACATTGTTTTACATCAATTAAAATAACAAACTACTACACAAAGCTACAAGATATCACACCTTATTCATATAACTTATTAATAATTCAAGAGTTTGTGAACCTTCTTTTGTATACATGTAAGAATTTTTAGCTGACAGTGTCGAAAATCAATTCATCCTCTTAGGAATTTAGTTAACACGTATATAATTCATTGATTGCCACGTCTCCTTTAACCAACCAAAGTTTGCTGTAATTGATTTTTTGACTTGAAAATATTCTTTTCTAAACATCCAAAAATACTTTAAATTGAAGGTTTCTCTCTTTCTCTCTTTTTTTCTCCCTCTTTCTATCTCTTTCTTCATTATAACTGTATCTTTTATATTTCAATAGGAGCGTTTGGATGGCAAGATATCGATTTTTTTCGCTGCCCTGCTTATTATGGATAATTTGTATTCCTAAATGGAAACGTACCGACCAACTTCCATGTTGCACGGAGAATTACTAATAGATGGATATTCTCCTTTAACTATATACTTTGCGTTTCTCTAAAAAGATTACAAATTAAGTGAACCATACGTATAGTTCTGTTTGTTTATAAAGTAAACATCGGTAAATAGGCTCCATTCCTGGTTACAATTTACTATTGTATAATTATGGATGAGTACTTAACGCCGTATGGAAGAATTATAAGTTGAGCTTTCTTTATAAGAGAGAGAAAAAAAAGCCAGAAATATAAAATGTCCACTGGTCAATCACAGCACATGATTAGAAGTCGTAAAAGTTTAGCTGATTCTTCGACGGTCTTTTTTAATTAAATTACACAGACGAAACCAGTTTTTAATTAGTAAACTGCAAACTGTACCAGTTTTTCATTTTTTCCGAAATGAAAAATGTGGGAAATATGATTGATTGGGAATTTGTCACCTAGATAATAACAGATCATTTATCTATCTTCATATGATAAATGTCTATTTTCTCTTACTATACTTGCTATTATAAAAAAATTTTTGTATACAATAACAGTGACAAATCGTAAAAAAGGAGAAAATATAAAAAAGAGTGCTATTTATAGATTTGGCGACTTAAGCATGTATTCTTTTATATATAAAAATGAGAGAGAGTGTTAAAAAAGAACTTCTAAAATGAAAAGGAAAATGGATTTTCAACAATAATCAGAAATATAGGCGAACATGTTGATCCTTTCATACAATGAGGGGATCAATGCAGTTTTAAAAACTCGTCGAATGGAAATGAAATTAGTTGCTAGAAAGTCTTGAAAAAATATTTATTCTTCTGCAAAATTTTCCACAAATGTTTGCTTGGAAAATAGTTTTAAAAATAAATTATATAGGAAAAAAGTCAATAAATTTTTCATTTTCATTCAAAGTAAGATATAAGAGCTACTCAACTTCGTAAATGACCGCTTCCAATTGACAATCGATAATTAGGAGGGTAGGAGGGAAAAGGGAATAATCTATAATGACTCTTATTTTACATAATATTTCTCTTTCATCTTCACTAATATTAACGAATGAAAGGGAAGGAATGCAAAGTTAGAGCAGGGTTAAACAAGGAAAGAAAGAGAGAAAAAAAGAGTTTGAGTTGAGGAAACGTGATCTCCGATAGTTAATCTCTAAATTCTTTTCGTTGTATTCATTTTGTCAGTTAAACTTTCATTAATAAATAAAGAAATTCAATACATTTCAACAATAAATAGGCCTTTAGCTTTCTTCTTTTAAAATTAAAACCTTTCCTCTTAATAAAAAACTACATGCAAGTATATACAAGATAGGGAATCTCTCTTTATGAAAAAGGACAAGAACAGAGTAAATCAAATTGGAATTTACTATCTTCATCAATAAATTAGTCTGTTTGGCGTTTTGTCAACAAAATAACACCTACGCCTCAAGTTAGAACGCTTTATTACAATTTGTAACATGAATAAGCTAATTGAACTACATTGTATGTTAATATCCTTAATAAAGACAACTATTTACATACAAATACAAATATAAATACTACATATATGTGCTTGTAATTAAATTTAAGATAGCCGTACTTGGTAAAGAAACTGCAATTAACCTCTCCATACACTTTTGTAAACTTTATATATAGAAAGTAGTTGGTTTAGTAGTTTAAATAAACAAGACACCAGACGCTTTCCAGATATCAATTTTGTAAATTTGATCCCATAGTCTGGATCAAGTCATTCTTTTATTTCCTCTATTAATTAAGACAATATAATATTCAGGTGGAAAAGAGCTTAGGCTGAGGAGGCTAAGTCTCTTTCTTAGAGGGGGTTGGGAAGAAAAAGCATCAAAAAAGCACTGGTAAAGGGAAATTAACTTCTCAAAAAGCAAGCTACATTTTAGCTAATAGGTCGGAGCCTCTGGCCCTTTTGAAATATATAAAGAATGGGGCTATTGTAACTTTTTTTACAATGCTCCTCCCTAGCATTTAACCAGTACAATCTGTTCTTTCAGCTTTAGCTCTCTAACCCGAAACAATCAGCTTTATTAGTATTAATTAAAGTGTAATATTAACCATAAATATATATATTTCCCTGACTAATATACGCAATTTACCGAATAATATTTCACTATATGTACGGGCCTCTACTTCCACTTTTCCGTAATCAATTAACCGATAACGAGTAAATTTGTTTATATTTGTAGTTTCGTATAAAAAAAGAGGGTAGCGTTTCAGACGCCTTTTCGTATACCGGAACGAGAGCGATATTTAGAGAAAAGAAGGGTGAGAAGATAAGGGGTTAATGCTAAGGAATGATCGTAAAATCAGCATTTAAACACAAATAAAATGCACTAATAGTAGAATTTCACGAAAGTAATAATAAATCATTTATTAAATAAGCAAAAGAATGGGATAGTATAGCAAAAAAAGTGATATTTTCTACCGTTCTCCTTCACTATCATAAAATGACGCTTGGTGTTTTTTTTTCTATTTCGATTATTACTAAGTAACAATACTGAATATTTTATATATATTTTATTTATATTTTAATAAACTATTTGAACTTGTTGTATACTAAAAAATATATAGAAATCAATAATTAGAGAGGGTTTTTTCTAGTATTTTTTTATAGTACTCTCCCATAGGGCTACATCTTGTGACATCCTTTGTTTTAAAGACCACCTCTTTTTTTTCAATATTATATTGATTATGGTACGAAAAAGATAAAATAGTATACACGGATGATGAGCATGCACTTGGAATATTCCTTTATGTTTAGCTATTAAAGTATAATTAATGAAATTAAAACGTTAATCATCATTTGAAAAGGCGGCACAATATACTCTCCGTAACATGTACAAATGTCTACAGGTAGGCATAAATATATGTATACATAGGCTTATTAGTACTCTAACACATATATGTACACCTATATTTATACATATGTACAAATGTATACATACTTCTACAGAAGAAACAACCGAAAAAAAACCGTCATAAACACTGATAGTTTGTGGTTACTCACTTTTTTTTTAATAGAAATTTTAAGGCGGATTCTTTTATTTCCTTCTAAGTCGAACCTAAATTTTTCATTCGGTCTATGGCTTTAATTGATTTCTTTCATATAATCCTTTGAAAACTGAAATTTACAGTGCAAACTTTGCAGTTAGACTGCAATCAGAAAAACAGCGCATGCGCACAAAAATTTTACAATGCCATCTATCGGTTATCGAGAATAAAAAAACTCGTTGATTTTCATTACAGACATTTGCAGTAGCTGGTGTGCACTGCAAAAAAATCGATGACTGCATAATTTATTCGAGGGAAAGTAACGTGTTGTACGTTAGAAAACGAGACGTTATTTTTATTCAAGATGGTGAGCTTCGGTGTTACATAAATTTTAGAAGAAGAGTTTTTTGCCATTGAATATATCGATTTTGGAGTAAAATTTAAACAGGTGTGTATAAACTATATCATGTTTGATATTTATGGACGTTGATTACGCAGAAAAATACAATTTACAAACGTTGACATAGGCCAAATATGGCTTATAAGCTCGCTTTCATATACATTATATTGTGATGATGACAGTAGTCCTTTATTGTCTTCTGTTAAAATCAGTCTAACTTGACAAACAGTTCTACGTAAAATATGCCATTTAGCTCGGTTAATTTTTGTATATAACAATAATCGTCAATTTAATAATTAGGTCAAAATCTTAGTCATCTGCAAGCAATGCACTTATGGTAGCTTAGTGAAAAGGGGCTTTACTATATTTACCTGAAAAGTTGCGAAATTGTGAATGATAAAAGTAGATATACAAACAAACAATTACAACTATTCAAGGGAAATATTTCTCTCTTTTTATTAATGTAATATTGTTTTAAATAGGAAAAATACTTAATAACACTTTTATCATCTTAGAACGCGGTTTAAGATTACCAAGTTTTATTTAAGGCTTATTAATAAATTTGTTGATTTACCGTAATGTTACAGTATTTCAAAGATCTCTTGCTGTTTATCTTAGATATTCACCTACATTGGATCCCTCCCTATCTCTCTCTCTCGCCCCCAACTCCGCTCTATCTTTGATAGAGGAATTATCTTAATGGTCATTCTTTGCCATTTTTGCATAATGTTTAAGTAATTTTCCTCATTCCTCTACTATCCATCGTGAATAAATGCGTTTGTCAATATGCATTTATATCGTTTTACACACAGAGTAAATGCATGAAAGACATCCTATATACAGTACTATGTATATAGTATATACAGTATACATTTATAAATACGATTTAAATATTATATGTATTCTTTACATGCAATGTAGAAGTTAAAAATATCGTCTTCCTGTTCAAAGGAATCCGTAAATATCCTATTCCACTAGATAACCTTTCACCAACCCTTTCAACCATTTTCTAATTGTTTTATTTCAAGAGTATCATCCATTTTTAAAATGTCATTTGGGAATTATTAAAAAGATCTCTCTCGCTCTCTTTAATGGGCTCTTTTTTTATACAAACCCTGAATTATATTGTCAATATTAATTAGTGAATAAATCATCTACCACCCCTCATTCTTCGTTCCCCCTCCCCACCTTCCTTCTTTCTATTCTATTTCAGTTTATAAACACACTGCATATACAATAAAACTATCTGCTTTAGAAGGAGAAATATTATTCTTAGACCCATTTCTAATATTCTCCACTACCTTATCAATGTCATCATTATCCCATTACAGTTATTATATTTGTTAGCTTGTCGACGCTTCATCACTTTTGACAAAGAAAGCATTTGAATTGAACTAATTATAGCATTCGCTACAGGCTCTAACTCTCTTGAATGATTATGGAATCTAAAATATTTTCTAGATAAAAGATCTCTCACCTCTTCTTCTCTCTCTCTCTCTCTCTCTCCCCCCTCTCTCTCCTTCACTCACTCACCCACTCACTCACTCACTAGCTCTTTCTCTTCCCCTCAGCTAAATAGGCCTCTAATTCAACAAGTATTTTTTTTCACAGCAATACCTTTGTTCCTAAAAATAAATTGTTAACAAAATGACCAAACTCTCGAAATATTTTTAATTTTTTTGTTCAGTATATATAGTAGGTCTCGTACAAGTTATTTGTATATTTTTCCTTTATGTTTCTCCGTAAATTGCTTCCATATCGCAAAGGGGTTATTTTAATAAAAAAAGCTGAAAATGTGCAAAAAAGATGTTGAATATTTCGGCTGAAGAGAGAACAACTTGAGATAAAACTTACTAATTCCTTTTAACGCTTTCATTTCAGAGTCGAAAAAAAATGGAAGTCGACGTACTGGAGGATGATTTTGACATGAATGAAAATACTCAAAGGACGAAAATTGGTCCAATCAAAAACCAGGTAAATCAATTAATTAAATAGGCAGTATTAGTATATAAAAACATATACTGTATGCATTTATTGTATATACAGTATAATTTTGTATACTTTATACGCAGTATAATAAAGAAATAACTCTGAAAGTTTACTTCAATTCCTACATAAAAACAACTGCAAATAGTTTATAATAAAATATGAAAAAAAAAAGAAATTAGGCTAAGATTTAAATGAAAAAACCATGTGAGTAATGCAACAGATGCTATTTAAAATGATTTTTGGTTAAAGTATCTATTATAATAAAAATATTAGGGTTTCCATATATTAGTTTTCAAATAATTAACTAATTTCAATAATTATCAGTATGCCTCTTTAATAGCTTTTTACGTAGCCATTCATTTCCTTAAGATTAGTACAAGATTAGATATCTTCAAGTGAAGTTATTACCAATCACATATTTAACCCATTTGAATCGTTCCTTTCTACGTTTTAAACAAGCTGTTGCTGATATTTTGCAGTTTTCGATATTTTTTCAAAGTGGATCCTTCAATTTTCGTTTTTCGTTTTTTATATAATGAAACTACATTATATACTTATGATAACATTTGTAATTACTTAGAAGGAATCCCATGGCTTATATTTAGCATATACTTTATTAAAATTATCTGGATACTTCACGAATTTCGAAGGTTAAAGGTAATACAATTTAATATAAGTGCCCTCAGGTTTGATTTTTTTCTTGATTGAATTTTCGTTCAATGCTTGAACGACGGGTGTCCTAATATCAAGGTGAAAAGGTTAAGGAATTCTTCATTTTTAAAACCCCGTTTTCCTCTTATTTAAGGTGCTAATGTCCAAGTGACCTACATGTACCAACTGTAAATAGAACCTTGCAGGAGGTTTCTCATTATATTTTTCCATCTCGATATTTTGCCCAAGCACATCAAATAAAAAATTGCTTCATTTTCCGTAATAGAATGTAAATATTTCTACCGGAATAGGCTTAATAAATCTGATAAACAGGATAAATTACCAGACCTAAGCAGTTACAACTATTTTATATTTAGTACGAAAAGAGATGTATAATCGTGTAATAGAACTTGATTATTAGCTATTATTTTATATATATATATATATATATACAGTATTTACAGTATATACTGTATTAGGTGACAGTTCATTCTGTATATTTTTGATTAGTCATTTGATAAATGAATAAATTATAGTTTAAATAGCAGAAAGAGGATTAATTAATCAATAAAATAAAAATAAATATAATCAGACTGTGTCTCTGGATTAAAAAAAGAGAGGAATTATTGCTTTTTGTTATCATTTATTTTCTGGTACTTCCTGGCTATCTGCCTGTGTCTATCTTTTCATGTCTTTCTCTTTGCCAGTATACAGTATATATATATATATATACATATATTTGCTAATATATACAAAACAAAAAAGAGAAACTAGTGAATTATGTTTTATTTATATCAGCTTCAATTAATGGTTACGTTTTTATTTGTTATTCATGAATTACTTGATTAATTCATTGTTTAATATATAAGAATTGAACTACTAATACTGTTTAGGCCTGGTAAATACCAAAAAAAAGACAACATACGAGATACTTTTTCGTTTATATTGTTTTTTTGTCATGCTTTATTTTAATTCTTTTAATATAATGTCTATTAATAAAGTTTTATGCTTTATCTTTAGCGATCGTCATCGATCTCGCCTGATCAACGGACTAAAGAACTCTTTTCACCTGAAGACGCTATTAACAACGACTTCTTCTACGACGACGAATTAGTCCTGAAGGAGAGCGTTTGTTCTGAATTCTCTGTCGATTTAAATAGGCCACTTTTCACGCCGAGAAGCAGCATTCATGAAGAGGTAATTTCCTTCATTACTTGCCAATTGTATCCGTCAACTGTAAACTTTTCATAACATATAAATATATATATATATATATATATATTATAGATAATGGAAGAAACCAACGAAGAGGTCAACAGTTTTCATTTGGATATAGCTGCTTGCAACGAGCATAGATATTATCTTTCTTTTGCCCAAAATGTCCAGAAGCTCGAAACTTCAGATCCTCCTTCTTTAAGGTCTAGTACGGCAGATAGTATGCAGAATTGGGCTGGAAAAAGTTACGCTAATGAGGTAGCTAACGAAGCCACATGGCCGGAAATAATGAAAGCTTCCGATTGTTCGGGCAATAATAATACTAGACCGAAGGAGGAAAAAGTTTTAACTACTTGGAAAACCATTGGTAAACAACAAGAAGAGGCTACTAGAAGTAAATCTTTGGGTAAATTTTGCTTTTTATTCTATTTATATTCTCTGAAACGTATATAGTTTCTTCCTATTTATTTCATTCATTATTATTTTTCTAAAGGTGATCTCAACGTTCAAAGAATAAAGCCGAGTTTAAATAAAACTAAAAGCGTACAGGAACCGGAAAAAGGCGGTAAACGCCAGTCAGCCGAATCTCTTGTTGAAGCCTTCCAAAAAGTTCGCTATCAATTTCCAGATGTGGATTTAGCCCAGATAGCTAATACAGCTTGGAGCATGACACCGTCTAGTTGCGATCTTCAATGGCCAAACGAGAAAAAGGACTTTGCTGTCCAAACAACCACTAGACGAGCATTTAGCGCTTACGAACTTCCAGATTTAAATTTCCTTTACGAAGCACGTGAACCACCTGATTTAAGTTTTGCGGATGGCGAAAAATTACCTCCATTCCCTGATCTGGATTTATTAGATGAGATTCTGCAGAAAAATTTCAATGAGAACAAAAGTCCTAAAAAGAACGACACTAAATTTAAAAGCAAAATTCCAACTCCTAAGAGTACAAAAAGTAAAATACCAACTAGAACATCTTCGAAAGAACCGCTAAAGAAGACGGCCACCGTTAGTTCTAGTTCATCGGGAATAGGTTCTTCGGTGAGAAATGTTATATCTGACACAAGTACAAGCGATTCAGATGTTTGTGCTGGTAAAACTAAAAAACTATTGAGCCCTAAAAGGCGGGCGCAGAATAATATGAAGAAAATGGAGAATTTAGGCCTATCTCCTAATAAAGAGAAAGTCGAGAAGAGGGAAGGAAAGCGAAAAGCTAGACCAGCATCCGATCCGTGCTTGGGAGAAAAACTAGAAGAGGATATGAAAAGAGGAAGAAATCCAAGTGACGACGACGATAAAAATAGCAAAAAGAGTGTATCATTTAGCGAAAATATCAGCTATTTATCACCACAAAGACGAAGAGGAAGTTGTCCTGGAAAAACAGATTTCCAAGCAGAAGGTAACAGTTTCTTTTTTCTATTGATTGTTTTTCAAATACTAATTTGGTCTATTAACTTCACAGAATATCTTCAAGTTACAATAGAATCCTCAATAACGAGCCAAGAAGCCGAACTTATAGAGAAGAGAAAACTTCTCTTACGAGTTATCGATTCCGCAAATATAATTAAACGCCATTTGGCTGGTGCAAGGGATAGCGAACTGCAAGCCCGACTCGCAAATACAGCCGTTACACCTTTAGTTGGCCATCTTTTACTAGAGCATTTATGCCCAGCAATATGTAATCTTGTTCAAGATGGTCTAAGATCTAAAGCACCTTCCCTCTTCGGTTATATGAATAACAACATATGGAAATTTGTCGAGGATTCCGCAAATACTGGTTTGTTTTTTTAAGCAAACTTCCCTATTTTCGAGATTTTATCTACAATTTTTCTTTTCAGGTCCAACAACTCGGGTACTATATGAAGCAATCCAGGATTTGAATAGCCTCAGCTTCTTAACAACGCCAATAATGAAATTTAATGCCTTCATTTTCGCCCTTTTAAAGTAGATAATCTAAATAAGATGATTTTCAAAGAGAACTTTTATTAACTCTCTTATCCATTTTCTTTTTTCTCTTTTACAGTCACAAAGCCCTAGATTTTTGGTTATCACACGTTATAAGTGAAGAAAAGTTCCTTTCTCGACATCATCTACCAAATTCGAGTCTAAGATTAGCTTCCGGCCCTCACTTAGGACCGCTGAGTTTGGATATGACAGACAGCCTTGTTCCCCTGTGTCATATTCAATGGCAATTACAGTATTCATTCGAATACGATCAAATGGAAAGGTCAGAACAGCTTCGTCTCGCCGATAGTGTTCTGCTAAAGCATATGTCACGTGCACATGCCCACGAACACGCACAAAGAGCCCTTCAGAGTGAACATGCCCGTCTAGTCATGATGGATATCACAAAATCCAAGACTCTGGAACAAAGCCATTCTGATTCCGAGATGAGACAATCTACATCGTATTTGAAGAAAGCCGGAGAATTATTGTATAAACTTCTTCCACCAAAAACTGGTAAAGACCAAAAAATTGACATACAAGACGAGAGTATTGTGGAAAAAGTTCAAGACGCTTTAGAGGAACAAAAACCGGAAACAGTTAAAACGAAGAAAAGACATAGTTGGAGTAGTTTAGCTCCAGCTTTAGTACAGCTTTTCGATAAATTACTAATAGACACTTCAAAACAACCAGGAGAACCTTTACAGAACCGAATGACATCGTCGAGAAGTGAAAGTGATTTAAGGGGGAATTTTCCAGAAAGAATGTATAGAAGTCGTTCTGAACAGATATAGAGATACTAATATTAATAAAAATTAATAATTTCATTCCTTTCTTAAGTTGAAAGTATCATTCTATAATAAGAATAATAAAAGAATAAAAGAAAAGTGAAGAGATTCCACATTCTTGATTTATTTCAAAAGAAGAAAAGGAAGAAATCTCAATGAGAAAAATAGCTAAATTTCTAAAGAAAAAAACAAAAATCGGAGGAAATTTTGACGATAAAATAAAAAGGAAGAAGAAGATAAAGGAAAAGCAAAAGAAATTTTAATCTTTTTGGGATTCTTTTCCTTATTTTTCTTATTTTTTCCCTGTCTTTCTTTAAATCGTCTTTTCCACACTTTTCTTTATATATTCTGTTTTCTTTTTTATTGGGTTTTGCTATTACCTCTTGTGTTTTTAATTACGTTTTCTTTCGGATCGCAAACTCATAAACTGATTTATTCGTGTTAAAATTGTGTGAAATGAGAAAAACAAGAGAAATAAGAGAGAGAATTTTTCTGGAATTAATCGTTTTATTTCTTTCGTAGTGAGTCAAAAATAATATGCACTGAATGTTGCGTATTGTTGTAAAAGTCAAGAGATAACAAACAGAAAATGAATTATTTTAAATAAAAACCATTTTAAACATTTAGATTTTGTGTTTTCAATTTATTTCCTTCAATGGCAATTGAGAATATTCAAGGAAACTTACTCTCTGATTCAAACATTTCCACTCTTTTATGGTCATTTTTTTTATTATAGGTTGAGTAGGTTTTTTTGGTAGTTGTTGAATAAAAGAAGCTAATTTCTGTATACAATACATAAATTATTCTGGCCTAAATAGTTTAGAATTGTGCTGAATAAGTTTAATAAGAGCATCAATATAGTTGACACGATAAAAATTGCCACTATTAAGTTACTATAGAGTGAGAAATAACGATATTTTTTAAGGATCAGCACAATTTCATATGTCTGAAAGCGTTTCTTTCAAACTACTTGTTTGAGGCTTCTTTGTGCTTTCTTCTCCCTCTTCCTGCGGCTTCTCTTCTTTCAGTAAATGTAAACTATATACTATACAATAATTCTCAACCATCAATATCTATATTAATCTCATGTCACGCAAGGAAATAGCCGTATGCTCAATTGTTGTTCTACATAAATAAAATCGCCAAGATATCCTGTATTTCCGTATCAGTAAAATTTGCCCTGTCAGGAGCTATTTCATCAACATCAAACAGTCTGAGGTTTTCTTAAGAGTCTTATTAATTCTAGTTCATTATTCACTTACTTGGTTAGTAGAGAGTATTGAATTTCTTTCGTTAACTTTCTCGGGTTTTTGAATGAATTCTTACAATAAAACACCTTTATCGCAGTCTTTATTGAAGTTTTAATAGTAATAATTAAAAGCAAAATATAATAAAATTTATACTTATAAATAACACATCATTCTTTAGTAATGTCATCTTTTAAAAAAGTATTTCTTAAGGTATATCTAAACAAATCCTGAATATCTAATTTTCGTATTAGCTTATTCATTAATGAGGTATTTTATATGGAATATATACTATATATAGACATAATTATATATACTGTATATCTATGGATCAAAAAGATAATAGTAGAAAGACACGCAAGAAATTAAACTGTAAGCAGACTATAAATCATTAACAAATCAAGTGATTATAAATTAAAAATAGAAGCAATGTTTTCTGATTTGTGATACAGAAATAGTTTTACTCTTATTGACTTAATAGTAATAGTATTCATCTTCTGGATTACTTCTTCTGTAAGGCTCATTACGTGACGAATAGGACGATCTGTCGTTACTTTTATCATTTGACCTTGGTATACTATCTTGAGACTGTTCATAGGCAGAAATTAATATTTAAGGCTTTTATATCTGTAATTAAATTACCCGTTTGTGTTGTAGTTTTGGTCTTTGAAGATTAAGCTATTAACAATATGCAAATTAGAAAGAGTAATTAAATAAAGATCACTAATCAAGGATTCATTCCAGCTTACCTTTGAACTTGTATCAATACTTTCTAATCCTGATGTAAACGTCGTAAAACTAGGATCTGACAATCTATCATTCTGATAGCCCTACAATGACAATTAAGTTACTAAATAAAATTAAGCAGGAACTTTTTGCTTTCGGACCTGATTAAAAGTTCCAAGTCTGGGTGCAATGGCTTCTTCCAATTCTCTTAGAATGGGTTGAGCTTGATTTGAAAGGTTATTTCCGTACAAATTATCAGTTGTAGTTTTCCTATAAAAACATAAAGAGAATTTTCTTGGTATTTGATCGATTATAGATTAAAATTTATATATATATATATATATATACTATGTATATATATATACTGTGGAGGAGAAGCAGTCTCATTCAAATTTGTTGGCTTATTTCGAATTAAGCAAATGAGAGCAATTATCAATGTAAGAATAATAGTACCACCAATACCACCTATCAAACCAAAGAATAATCCATAAGATACACAATTTGATGATATTTTTATATAGTTATCTTTGCATCTATCATAAGAACAAATTAATTAACGATTTAGGCATCGAATACTAATTTGTAAAATTTGCCTACCTAGATGGATCATTAATAGTTTTCTCTGTCGTCATCTCTGTAGACTCTCCAATTGTGGAATAAATAGATGATAATGTTGAAATTTCTTTATCGGTGGTCGATTCTAAACTACTAGTAGTTTGTATTGAAATACTAGTAGTTGTTTCAGGAATTTTCTGACTGGAGGAGTATTCAGTTGTTGAAATTGAGTTTGATAAAGTTGACTGATTATTTACCATTTTATAATCTATAGAAAAAGTATACAAATGTAGTATGACAAGTTTAATTAAAATTGAATACTGTTGCTATATTTTTGTTTTTTTTAAAAAAAAACTTTGTATACCAAAAACTAAATTACTAAATTGTAGAAGGTAATCTTTTTTCTCAACTTCTCTACCATGTTGAATATAGGCGCAGCTTACTGAATAATCAAGATTAGCAAAGCTACTAGTTTCTATCGATATGCTTGACCTATAGAAGAGAAAAATCATAAATATGGTATGAATAGAATTTAACAAACTGTGTATTAATATAAATTTATTAAAACTTATTATTACGTCAGATTAAAGGGAAAATATAGTATTTCTATTCCATCCGAACCGTTCTTATTGGAAGTAACAGAACCAATTTCTCGTTCATTTATATACCACGAATATTTCGATAATATATTCGAATTATTGTAAAAATTGCATTGCAGTTTTACTTTATCAACATCGTATTTCTCAAGAATCAAATCTTCAATCAGCACTGAATTTGATAATTCACCACCTACACATTATTCAAATAGTTATTGTTAGATTAAAAATAGATACTATATTTTAAAAGAATTATAAATATTTAACTAGTTGTTACCGTTAGAAAGTGAAGAAATCGTAAGGAATTTAAGAGAAAGTATTGAAAATAGATGAAAACTAAATTGAAAAAAAGCCTTCATGCTTCTGAATCATAAGAGAAATGATACGAATCCTAGAAGCTTATGTTTATTGCGGTAGCCATTTTTTTTGTATGCTTATAAAACAATAATAAATTTTAGTCATAAACATTTTTGCTATAGATAATTAAGTTAAAGCATTCTATATTACTTTGATTATATAACAATGATACTTTACGCATATATAGATCCTTGAAAGAGAGGGAGAGAGGCGCACACTCACAAAGGGAGAGAGAGACACTCTACCAGATAATCTATTTGATAAATTATATTAAAAATGGGAAATTCGATAAAATCAATTCTCTCTCTTTCTCTCTCTTTCTGTATGAATAATATTTTTGGTAATAAATTACGTTTATAGATTTTTTTAACTACGTTTTGTATTCTTATCATATTATCACAATTGATAAGAAATTTTGAAAACTATAATTTTTATATAGGTGTACGTGATCTAGTTTCTATCAATATAATAATTATATACTTGATAGGTAGTATATTCTGTTCAAGATAAAAAATAAGTGCACACGATTCAAACCATAACTGTTTTTAAATTACAGGCATTTTTTTAATACCTTAATACAGTTTTAAAACGAAAGTACATAATCTGTTCATTTCTGAGTGAATAATTCTGTTTCTCTTTCCTTAATCTTTTTTATCTTCTGGGCTTGAATACGATTTTTTATATAAAATGTATAAAAAATAGATTTTGAGGTAATAAAACTATTAATATTCTCATAGAGGAGGAAGTAAAATAGGTATATTTTGTCATGTTAAATATATACAACTATGCACTTGCATATAACTATAAATAGAGTATATTTGTATAAATATAGTATATACAGCATTATATATTTATATATTTAACCCATAAGTACAAATTCTTTAAATTGTTTAGATTAGTATCCTAAGTATAGTGAGTAATGATATCCAATAAATGAATCTATTTATTCAGCATTTTTGACGTCAAATCAAAAAGAAAAGTTAAAAAAGAAATATTAATAATAATTGTATTTGTATGAAATTTTTCCAAATATAAATAGAAAAGATGTTAAACGATTTCTTCCAAGATCTATCTGATAATTCGTTTAAACTCTATTAACAATTTTATCATAGATTTAATACGATAAAATAAAGAATTATCTTTAATCGAATAGTTTAGACTCTTTAATTATTCCAATCTTTGCTGTATCTCTGTCTTGATATATTTCTACCACTTCCAGTTCTTATTGGTCTTCTTTCAAGAGATTTGGGAGACGACTGAAAAGATAAATATATATATGTATATATGTAATATGTTTTAAATTGTAATTATCTATCGATTTACATCGTATCTGGGTCTTATTTGAGGTCTAGCTATGCCCGATTGCTATAAAAAATAAAAGAAAACAGAAGAGTAAATTAAATTTTGATTTAATATCCAATGATTTAACTCCTATTAACTTACTCTACTACTGACGTATTCGTCTAGTCCTATCCAACTATCGCTGTCATCATCTTTTCTCTTATCCGGGGTAAAACCCTTCGAGTGCAAAGGAAATTTGTTTAAGAGTATAAACTAATATTAAAAGTATCAATTAACCTTATTTGTTCGTCCTTCGTTAAGATCATCTCTATTTCGGTTTGATGGTTCTCCAGTGTAAACCTAAATTTTTCGTTGGTAAATAATACAACTAGAAACTAATGAAAATTGTTTAGAAAACTTACCCTTTCCAAGCTATCTTGACGTCTACCTCTTCCTCTATCATCTATTTCGTCATAGTCTCTTTTATCATATCTATCAGCCTGAGAATAGTTTAACAATACGTAACTTTCGTTCTTTCTTTTATAAGATTTTAAATACAAACTCTTCTTCTATCCAACTCGCCCTGCCTTCTTCTCTCTTCTAATGGTATTGGTACAATTGGATACTATTTTAAAGAGAAGAATATTATAAAATTTTAATAAAATAATATGTTTATAATAAGAAATTTTCTTATTTTTACAACCAAAATAGGAGTTTCCTTCCTTTTGTTTTCGTCTTCATTGTCACCACCAAAATCATCATATCTCTTACTTCTAGGTACCTCCTACAAAATAAAACAATAAGAATATACGTATCGTATTATTTCTTTTGCAAAGCATATACTGTACAAATACAGTTTATACTAAGCAGAAACAAAAAAGTAATATCATATTTACTTCTGTTCGAGTCTCTTTAACCTCTTCTCTTCTCTTTTCTCTTAACTTGATAATTAATTATTTTAAGGATATCAATCAAAATTGCTAACATTTTAATATAACATACCTTAGCTCCTGAAGTTTCTGGCTCTTCATTTTTTGGTTTAGCAACGGGCTCTTGCCTCCTTTAATTATGGAGTTCAGGGATTATTATATTACATAATTATATTGTAATAACTTACTGCCTAGTTTCACTTGATTCGATATTCTCGTAACTTTATTTTTTAATTTAAATCATAAATAGTCTTATTGAAATATTCTTGACAATTAAAAAAATTAATCTTCTAACCTTCTAATAATTTCTGGTTCTTTTCTCTTCTTTCTTACGCAAATAACAACTATAACAATAATCAATATAAGAAATATTGCTCCTAAACAACCTCCAAGTATTCCATAGAAAACAGCAGGTTTGACGCATTTACTGCCGACTTTTACGTAGGAAGTTATACATCTAAATGAATAATTATGCAATTGGATTAAATGAGTATCTAGTAATATTTTTGAAATAACTTTAAAGAAAAGAACCAAATAAACAAACCCGCATTTAGCTTCTCTTTCACGAATATAACAGACTTGATTATTTTCGGTCTTACAGGCGTTATTTAAGCATAAATTTTCGCAAGTAACATTCGTTCCATAGTCAACGCATTTATCATAATTCTGATTACAAGTTTTGCTGATTTCGGCAATGGCACAGGAATTACTTTTCAATTGATTAATTTCTGATAGCGCTGAAATAAATATAATGCCATCATATACATAAGTATATGTATAAATTAAAAGGGTTTTTTTTCTTACATTGTTCAAGATTTTTTTTAATATCTTCTGAATTTGTTGGTTCTTTGCCTTCAACTTTTATTTTTGCTACTCCATTTATTATACCCTCTCTTTCTCTTTGAAAATTTTCAAAAAAATAAGAAGAATTTTGCTTCATGACATTTACTTTTGCTTTTATTGATACTGCAAAGTTCTTTCCTTGATTACTTTTTAGACTGAAATCGAACAACTAACAGTTTTCTCAATCGTCAAAAACAAAAAATGTCTTACAATAAATTACGTGGACATTTTGGAGTATTAAAATAAAAATACTTTTTGAAATTTGTGAATGTTTTAGTAACCTGAAAATAAATTAATTAATAGATCACATTTCTAAAAATTGTAATAACAAACTTCATTCTTCAAAAAATTTTCCTTCTCTAAATTGCATGTTACGTCATAAACCATGTTCCAGCTAATGTCTTTTAAAAGGGTATCTAAAAATATTTTATACTTATACTGTTAATGAACTAGAACATATGTGCAACTAGAGATAAAAATTTAATAAATATGTAAAAAATACCAGGGCTAAGATCATCACCACCTATTTGTAACAAGAGAATTTTAATTATTACGTATAATAGAGATTATTTTAATTTTATTACTGTTTTCATTAACTGCAAATACGTCAGTTTCACCTTGAAATTGAAAGAAATAAGATTTAGATTAGTTTAGGATAGATATAAGTAAAATATAATTTATATATATTTATCGGTCTATTGTACATACCTAGAGCAAATATATTAGCACTTCTTTCTTCAATTGGCGTTTGAGGATGATAAAAGTTAGGATATTTACAAGAAACTTTGTATTCTCCAATATGTAAATGAGAGATATCGACGTTTAAGGTTGATCTTAATTTTTACAAAAGAAGAAATTTTTAAAAGAAACAAACTAATGGTAAAAAAGGCAAGGTATCTGTTTACCTTTTATTTAAGCTATTGAACTTAATATCATGGATATTATGTTTTGAATTTCTATTGACTTCTCCAATAAGTTCATCATTTAGAAACCATTTATAATTTGATATGTAATCATTGTCTACCCAATTAGAAAATTGACAGTGAAACGTTTGATGTTTAAGACTTTCAGGTGTTATTGAATAATATGTTTTAGGTCCCGATACTATTACGCATTCAAATTGACTATTTTCATCCTCTAATTAAAAAAATTAGTAATTACAATATATACAGCTTTGCTATAGCTGTTAACTTACCACACACATTCTTTGAGTAGCAAGATATTTCCGTTAGAAACACAGAAAGTAGAGAAATAAAAATTAAATATCCTTTCATATTAATCGTGACATAAGATAATGAATATTTCCTAAAAAGTGCTGTTCCTTTTATATTGTGCTTTTTATATTTTATAGATAAGTTATCTACTATCAAATTAAGACATGCGCAGAATGACTATTTCTAATATGAAATTGATTTATTAGAGAAAAGAAACAAAGCGTTTTTTAATAAAAAATGATTCGAAAAAGGAAATAAAAATTTGGCAAAAGTTGATTCTTTGAGATAAAAGAGTAAAGATTTCTATTAATTATTATTATTATTATTATATATGAAATAGATATTAAATGCTAAGGTATTGTAATATATTTCATAGTTGTATCAGATTCATTGAACAATAAATTACTTCGGGAAACAAGAATTACTAATAGTAATATCTTTTAATTAATCGCCAAAATAGGATAAAGATAGCGTTAAAAGTAGGAAATGAAGAAATTAGAACTATCTATATGTATAAAAATAATCGTTTGAAAAATGTATAGTAAAATAGATAAAGAAAAGAAAACTACTCTTAAACTTTGCAGAAAGAAAAGAAAATCAATGTTTGATATTGCTTATCTTCAACTTAGTAGTTAAATTACTCCTATGTACTGATAGCTGGCTGATAAGAAATATATATATATATATATACAGTATATATACTGTATATATGCTACATTTATTCAATGTGAAACCTACGAAGAACAGATTTATACCAAGTTCGACTCTTTGAAGAATAAGTTAAAAGATAATCACAGTTTTTCCATAAAGTATTATACTAATATCTATACAAGTTTTAATTTGTAATCACCTTGAATTCTACTCATATCTCGAAATTATAACATGCTGATGTTGCGAATTATTTCACTCAAAAAGTAAAATGATACCTCTTTTATCATTTTAACTTGTGGGCAGAAAATTGTTAATTCTAAACATTTCGTTTGTGTTTTTTTCGAATGGACACCAAAAGTTTGTTAAAGAATATTAAATCTATATCTTGATACTTCAATAAGATTTACTCAGTATAGACTTTCTTTTACTGACCTTCAATCTTTTGACAAAACCACCTAGCAAGTCATCTGTGAAAGAATTGTTTCCTTTCTTTTTCGTTTATATAAATCACTCTATTGACTTTTGCATTTATAAACAAGAATTGTTAGATTTGTGGTATTTTTTATGATATCTTTATAACTTTGAAATAATAAAGAAATAATTAAACGTTTACACAGCTATAGGAATAAAGTAAACCTAAAAGTAAATAGTAACAAAATAGTTTTCTATAGGCTTAATTGAATAATGAAATAATTTATTGTTTTGATGAATAATTTTCTGATTTGACTGCTATGAAAATGTACAGATGTTAAATACCTGGAAAACAGTCATTTTTACATCTTATCACCTTGCATATGTTGTTCTTAGACACATCTGTCCAACTTTTATCATTGGTTTCATTAGCATATCTTTGATATCTCGAATTTACGCCATTCATTTACGATTATGAAGGAGCTTAGTTTGTAATATTTTACTTCCTTGTATGGTATGTATCGCAGTTAATATTTTAAATAATCTTACAAGAGTTTCAAAGTTTTATTTTCTTGAATATTTAAGAATGGCTAATGTTATCAGAGAGATAACTCTCTATGTATATATTATTTACTTTTAAACTACTATATTCAGCAGAAAATATTCACTGCAATATAGATATTCATACATTAGAGTAGTGGGATAATTATATTTTACTAGGACTAAAAGTGATGAGGGTTTAACTAGAAAAAAAAAGATTAGAAAAATGACAATATAAAGAAACTGACGTCATTAAATATGAAATCCTTAAGAGGTTAAAAATAGATGCTTACTTTGATAATAGAAATTATGCTTATGTGTAGTTAATTCAAAAGTTTGTGATTGGGATTGACTTCTGAACCACTTGACTGATAGCAGTAATGAAGAATCGATTTAAAACTTTTTACTTCCGCTTTGATCAATTCAAATCTTTACAATGGTAGGCATAAGATAGCAGTAAAATAAAAGAGATTTTCTTGGAGAGTATATAGTAGAAATAGATAAAGAGAGGAAACTAATTTTTTATTTGAAAAAGGAGAAAATCAATTTTTGGTATTGTTTTGTTATCTTCGCTTTGGTAGTCTAACTACTCCTACCGATAAAAAACTGATAATCATATATATTCATATTAAATCTTTTTTACTCAGCGCAATTCTTATTTGATTAATTCAACGATACACTGACTCTCTGAGGAATCAATTTTTTACTTTTATGGTCAACCGATTAGTTAAATAAATGCTTCGTAACTAGAATATAACAATAAAAATGGACAGGAAAAAGAAAAGAAGGATAGAATATGAAAGGACTTTATTTTTTCTAGCTGGAATATTTATAGGATTTTACATACCCAGCTTTGTCATTCACAAAGGATTTTGTTATGAGGAAGGTCATTTAATAGAAGAAGAATCTCTTGGCGAGGATCTACAACCGCGAATTAATTTATATGTTGGAGTAATGACTTCCGAGAAATATATTACTTCTAGAGCAGTCTTTGTGAATAATACTTGGGGAAAACCCTTATATAATCATCTTGACTTTTACACTTCATCTGAATTAGTTAATGTGAAAAAAGTCAAATTAGAAGGCGTCGATGATTCAGAATATCCACCTCAAAAAAAATCTTTTAGGATGTTAAAATATTGGTGTGAAAACTACTTAGACAAATACGATTGGTTTCTCCGAGCAGACGACGATAGTTACATCAATATGGAAAAACTTAAATCATGGTTAGTAACCATTGATAGTAGAAGAGCTTTCATGATCGGTCATCCTGGTCAGGGCAAAGCGGAGAAGAAAGGTAAAATAGGAATATCGTCAACTGATTATTACTGCATGGGTGGTCCTGGTGTTTTATTTAGTAGAGTGGCTTTAAAAAGAATATGTCCCTACATAAAGACTTGTGAGAGGTCAGTTGTGAGTCGACACGAAGATGTTGAAATTGGAAGGTGCGTTTTAGCACATGCAGGTATTGGATGCTCAAAAAGCTTTGAGGTAGTTTATTAATTTCAATTACATTTAGTTTAAATAAACTGTTATCTTATCACTTAACTATATTTCAGCTTTCAACTCTCTTCTTTTCCAACTATGCAAATAATAGTAACTATTTTAAAGCCAATCCTGAAGTTGGAAATCTTAAATCAACTTTAAAAGATTCATTAACAATGCACGCTATAAAAGATGTAAGATATGCTTACAGAATTGACTTTATCATCCTAAAGAATAAGGTTGAAAAACTGAAAAAGAAAATTTCGACAATCTACTCAGCCTTATCTGGAAAAGTTAAAGAACATCAATTTGATATCACTAAAAATAACAGTTGGAATACTATCGCTAATTTTAAGAAATTTTATCAAAATTACAAAGAAAAACCAATTGTTTATATGCAGACAACTGGAAAAATTGAAATTCTCTTCTTCTTCCAAGAAGTCTTGTATTATCTTCATAATTTAATAAAAAGATCGTACATCATTAAAAATATACCAACGGTATATCGGCATTTTTCACCCAGTAATGGTTTAACCTATGCGACTGACATTCGTTTAGAAGTTGACAAAAAGAAGAGTATTCTTCAACTGAAAGGAACAAGAAAATTCTCTTCAATTCAATCGAGAATACTAGACGTCGACGATAGTTCACCAATTACAATTGTCATACCATTATTCAATAAGAAAGAAGCATTCGATAGATTTTTAAAAATGTGGATATCACAAGCTATGGATAGAAACGTTCATTTGCTATTTACCATTTCAAAGGCAGATAAACATCTAAATATAATAACCAATACTATAAATAGATTCTCTGCAAGTTTACCATACGGTATGTCAATTAGCTATATAGTTAAAGATGGTGACTTTTCAAGAGGTCCAATTTTAAATTACGGATCACAAGCTGTACCTGATCATCATATTATGTGTTTTTTGGATGTAGATTTAAAATTAACAAAAAGTACTCTTAGAAGAATTAGAGCTTCGACAATTAAAGGAAAACAAGTATATTTTCCGATTATGTTTTCACAATTCGATTCAGATTTTAATAAGATTTACGACGGCCATAATAAGAATAACGGTTATTGGAGAGAGAGTAGTTTTGGTCAAGTGTGTTTGTATAAAACAGATTTTACAAATTCTCTAAAATTAACTGAAAGTATATACGAATGGGGAAAGGAAGACTTAGAATTTGCAGAGCAAATAATTAAAAAGAAAATTTTAACTATATTTCGCAGTCCAGATGTTGGAATCACTCATATTTTTCACTCAATACATTGCGATCGTATTATAAATGAGGAACAGAAGAAAATGTGCATTGCTGTTAAATATAGAACGTATGCTTCTCAGAACCAACTAGCTAACAAGTTTTACTCATCGATAAATTTATTAAATATAAATAACGATAACGATCAATAATTATTATCTGAGATTATTTAATCAGATGCGTACAACAAAAACAATTTAATTGGTGTCTCCTATTTATTTTTTTTTCGTTATATTTGTTTTTTTTATTGTTCTAATTTGTTTATTATATTTTTAATGATAAACCATTCTCGACACAAATCATTGTTATAAAAGAAAAAAGAAGAAGAAGAAGTAGAGAGAGAGAGAAAGAGAGAGAGAGAGAGAGAGAGAGAGAGAGTTAAGAATTAAAACTTGTATTAAAAGTGATAATATTGTAATCAAAATCGTGTTTTTAAATAGTTCTATCTCAAGAAATTATATTGTATATTTCTATTTGTTTATTGCAATTATTTTGTTATTTCCTCCCTTGGAAAAAAGATAATAAATGTCAAAATCCCAACTTAATTAAAGCAATGGCTTCTTATTCTTCAAAACATATCTACAGTAATATTTATAAAGTTTGATAATATCATATCGTCGAATGTCATTTTTTTGTTGTATCCTAAAAATACTCCAACTGTAACGGTTTATCACTTGGCGGTGATGTTGCCGTATTTGAATTTAACGCTGATCTATGATATGTAGCCGAGTCTTCGTCCCAAGCCTGAAAAGACTAATCAAAAAAGAATTAGACAAGGTTAGAATAGTCTTATAGAAACAACAAGAAAAAAAGCTGGTCTGATGACATACTTTATTCCTCTTTATTCGAAGTGGACTGTACTGATAATACTGTATAAACGTTAAAAAATGAGACAGTTTTCAAAATACTTATCTAAGAATATTGATAAGAAACCTCTTTTCGTAAATTCTCCTTATCAGCTTCTGATAAAGGCTCACCACCTACAGCACCCCTTGCTTCCTGATCAAGACTCTCATATCCCTAATAAAAGATTAACATGGTATTTAACATAGGCATTTTTGTAAGAAATTTACATGATTAGAAGTTGCTGATTTATTATTATCTTCGTCCGCCCACTCTTCTTTAGTTGCATTTTGAAATGTTGTATAATCACGGGGTTGAGACGTTGTATGTATAGAATCCCAAGACGGTGTAATGTTCGCTACACCACTGATACAGTTGTCTGTGCTATTAGGTGCAGTAGGAATGCTGGCAAAAGGATTTCTCCTAAAGATATAGAAACGATCAAGTTAATAAAGTTCATAATCAGCTTCTCTCTATTTAGATTTCCTTACGAAGCTAAATTGATATCATTTTGTTTTTTAATCTCCCGCCGAGTTCTTAAAACAATTAGTAGAGTAACAACTGTAATTAATAGAAGAACTATTATACCACCACCCACACCACCCAAAATTCCAAAAAACCATCCGTACTCTCTACATTTGTTAAATATATTCAGATAGTTGGGTTTGCATCTAAAAGATTTACATATTTGTTTTATTAGTTTGCTTTTATAGTAGACGCAAATTATTTGTTAAAACTTACGAGCATGAAACTACAGCGTCGTTATTTTTGAATAAAATTGCACAAGTTTGTCCAATTTCATTACAATACATGTTACATTTATAAATGCATTGTTCAATATAGGTATTATTATGAAATCTACAAGATTCCACCATTATGCAAATAGGGAGGCGAGCGTCACACGCATTACCAGGAATTTTCTGTAGAGCTATTATTAACGGATAATATTATGCATAAATATTTTAGACTTATTAGACGTAGAGCCAGGGACAAAGCTATAGCAATATTAAAAAGTATCATTCTGTAAGGAATTCTTAGTTTACTTCGCCAATTGTCGAGCTTGAATTGAACAGCTCGTGTACAACCCTTTCGTACGTATACAAATATTATACATAGCTTTGTCACTGACTATATACATTTGTATATGTATATTTTCTCTTTTATGCTAACTTGTTTCCAACGAGTTTTTCAACTCTGACACATTAATTACAGCTTCATTTGACAAACGTATTTGTGATATTGAATTAGCAATAGTATATCTATTGTTTTTAACTTGGTCAGTAACATAGCTATCTTTTAATAGACCGGCAGTAGCATACCAAATAACGAAGAATGTTGATGTAATAAAACTATTTGATGACTTGAAGCTAGTTAAAAATAGAATAAAGTATTGAGAATTATATAAATATTTATTTACAAATCAGTATTATTACAGATCATAAGGAAAACGTTGATTATATTATCTACCTGTTTTCAGTGCAAGCAACTGATACTTTTTTATCTTTGAATAGGGTATATCCTTTAAGTATTGTAGAAATCTAATATGTTGAAAAAAGGAAGGATTGTTGAAAACGAAAGTAGAATATTATACTATACCTCTTTTTCTAGATTATCCTTTTGTTCGCTATTACAAATTACCTTATAACTCATATTGAAAGAGATTTCATAAAATTTGTTACCTAAATTTATAGATTTTAAGGAAATACAAATAGTTTTTTTACAATTATAATATATTTTGTATTTACTTAGATCTGCTATTCTTGGTGGTATATCAGTAGAATCCGGTGAATGTGGTGGTAAAGTAATAGCCATTGTAGGACTAACAGACTCCGACACCGTTGATTCTAAATCTTAAATGTTGATAGGAAATATGTCATTTGTTCATACTCTATGTACTATTTTTGTTATTTAGGTTAATACCGTGGGTTACTTTCATAGTTGTTCCACTAGGCTGAAGGGTTGTATTGGGTATTTTAGAATGTATGGTAGAGTAGGAGGTAGTCCAGTTAAATTGGCTTACAGAATTGGTTGTAACTTTAGTTGTACCACTTCCATTAACTGTATGATTACCTTCAATAAATGTAAAGATATTTTGCTACTAATCAACATTTAAAAAGATATATGAACGTAATTATGAACGAAATTAAGAGAAAAGTGATAAACAAACCTTCATCGTTCATAAAATCTAATAATAGATCGGAATCTAATTAAAGTGAAAAATCTATATGCTTGTTTGAAAATAAATAGTATCCAACCTGAGTATATATGAAGGAATAATCTAGCGTCTGTCTCTTCTGTTATCCTGCTATTTTCTCGCTTTGCACAAATTACTTTAGCGTGATAAACAATCTCAGGAGTCGTTTCATTGAGTAATAGATGAAAAAGGAGTGTCGATCTTCAAGTGATAGAAAATTAGTCACAAATTGCAATTAGGTATATATATATTTAAATGTTGAATTATGCCAATTATACTAATAGCTTTAAACATAATCACACCTTTTGTTTCGTTTATCATACGTTATTTGAACGAAATCTTTGCGCTTTTTCTCTTCATTAACTCTTCCTACATCTTGATTGTAGTTATCAATGTACCACCTGTAATTTGATATACTTGACTCCTGAAGAGAACTTTTAAATTGGCAAGTAAAGATGTAGTTCTTCTGCAATTCTTGTCGCTTTTCTTTAATAAGTATAATGGAATCCGGTCCTCTTTCAATACCACATTCGTTAGATTTTCCTGAAAATTATCTCTAATTTATGCAATGGAACAGCATAGTATTAATTTCGTATTAAATACCACAATGGTTGTTAATATCTGATTTGCATAGAGACGTTAAAGTGATCCATATAATTGAATAAAAAAAGTTCATATTATAAAATAGCGTGAGCGAAAATAAGCGTAAAGTGTGAATAAAGTATAGAAAAAAAAAATTAGTAATATTATATTTTCAGGTGTGGTTTTAGATAACTTTAACATGTTATCTTGGGTGTATGCGGTAGTCTTAAGAGAAAAAGATAAGATAATCGATAAGAATTATTAACGTATAGCAAATTTACGATATCCTGTACTGTATATGCAATACGAAAAATGGCTTAAACTATTGATTTATCAAAATTTTTGTAAACTTCTTTTAGAAAATTTTCACCATTGATACGTTTTAATTCTTATCTTAGATAATCAATTGAATTCCCTTGTAAATTATTGATACGTATAACAGCTAGGATGATAAAATTTTAATACACTTTATATCAGTACCGACAGATGGCGATCCGATAGAAGTTACTTGGAAATTTTCCCTAAAAATATATCAAAGGCTACAATCATATTAAAAATTGTGCAATAGCCTTACCAAGATATACAACAATCATTCTTTTATTCAATAGTTTACAGACATATTAGTATATTTGCTATTGGAATTCGGAAAGTTGTTACTTGCCTATCACATTCGTGCGCCTATAGAAGAAAAGAAGAAGCTATGATACTTAGAGAATATCGTTGAAAATTTACTTTAGAGAGAATATATTATAACTCTATAAACTTGCCGCGAAAACATAGATTGCCGATAAAAAAAATATCATATAATATTTATATATATTTAATTTTTGAAGCTAGAAGAGTTCTATAAATTGAAGAAAAGACAGAGAGAGAGAGAGAGAGAAAGAAAGAGAAGAAATATGCAAAGGAAATAACTAAATTAAGATGGCTGAATATTAATAATAATTAGTAATAAGGTTTAAGCAGATAAGAAAGAACGATGTTCATGCAAATTTACACAGCAGAATGGCTAGGACTTTACTAGGCTAGGTCTTTTACTTTTAAATATAAGCTAGATGAATCCTTTCTTTGTTTTAAACTATACAAAAGAAAAAACTCTATGCAAAATCAAGAATTTTTCGTCGGTACTGTATTGTGATTGATTTTTTTGCTTTACACAGTTAGGGTATTAAGCAACTTTTACCTTTATATTATTTGCATATCGTAGGTTAGATATAAATCAATTGCTACAGTGGTAAAACCTTTTAAAAAGTATTTGGTCTAGAATGTTGATCTGCCTTTCAGTCATTTTTAACACTGTCGCTTTGGTCTCACATTTAAGATTTATGGCTAAGTAGAACACATTCAATAGCAAGAACAATGGAATTATAGAATACAAAATTGTGCTGGCTTAATTCAAAGTAGACAGCACAAAAAATCAAGAAAATTTGGTAAAACTGCTTTGTACTTATATAGATAAAACAGTCTAGTGTAAAAGAAAGTTTTATGCAAATACAAGTTGAATGAAGAGAAGAGGAAGAATAGCCCTGCTTAAAAAACCAGTTCTAAATAGGAAACAATTTAAGGGAATATTATGAAAAATACAATTCATGATACAAAACTTTGTATTATTGAGTCATAATAAGTTTACATATATTGATCATCTGCTCTTTTCTTTCCGTAGATGATAATAGCTGAAATAAAATAATCTCGAATAGATAGATATATGATATATGGCATTCGGCTATCATGATTTCAATTGAAAATTGAACACCTCCTAACTATGTCATGGTAAGAAAAGAATTCTCTTTTGTAGAAAGAGAAAAGGGGCTTCTTTTAGGTATTCTACACTGTTTAGCTTGGCAGGAGTTCAAAACAGTTTTTGCAGCCTGGGCAGGGAAGGGTTACGCCTATCACTGTCGACACTTTAATACTCACTGTCACTAATGTCATATTATTGGATAATCTTGTGAAAATAGAAACAATAATGTAAGTTGCTACTATAGGTATGAAAAATAGAATAAGAATACTTTGCTAGCATACCTTTCTTTCTCGCAGGAAAATAAAAATATATAGAGGTTTAACTATATCCTCTATTTTATCTATTTTCTTCCTTCTCCATTTCACACGAAAAAGGCATGTGTTTCCGTCAAATAAATTTACCTTAACTGGGTTAAGTAATGAGTTTGCTAGTGGAAAGAGTTTAGACCGAAAAGTGTTACTATGTATACCAGACGGCGGTTTGGCTAATTCATTAAGAGCATTGGTTTCTTGTAAAGTATTATCAACTATACTTAATAGAAGTTTAGCAACTATTGATAATTGGCCAACGAAAAAATGCCCATTAAACACATTTATTCAGTTGAATTCCGTTGAATATTTTCCCGAATCCTATATAAATCAAATCAACTCTACTACAATAACCGTTAATTATAGGATGACACCTTATCATGTATCAAATATAATGAAAATTCAAAATGATATGTTGATTATTAAAAGCTTCTTTTTATTCATAAATCAAAGGAGTCTTAAAAAACTTAAAGGAACTGTTGGATATATCAAATATTTGAAGAATTTACGAACAGCCTCACTATTTAGACATGTTTCTAGAGAATTGTTTCAGCCGACGTTGAAATTACAAACTCTTATTAATTACCATAGAGCAATCCTTAAGTCTTATCGCTGGATTACTTGCTTACAAATAAGAACAGGATGGGGTGAAGCGGATCATCCTAGAAAATTCTCAGAAAGCTGTATAAAAGAAGGTCTACTACCAGATATGGAGAGGGAGTCTAGAAATAGGAGTTCTGTATTATTTATCACAATGGACGACGATGAATTGGCGAGTTATATAAAGAAAACGTTTAAAGATAATTTTTATGTTCTATCAGGAAAAAATTATCATTTTCGTGATGAAAATGCAAAATGTACCGATCTTGAAAAGGTTTTTATTGAATTTTTTCTTATGGAATACTGCAATAAGGCCTATATAACTTTACACTCAACTTTTGGATTATATAGTTTATTAAGAAGTATCGAAGATAAGGAAATTATATATTTGTCCTGCTCAATCTCATTGTTAAACTATAGACGATCATCTTTACACAAAGTATATCTTATTTAACTTTTAGGTATAGTAACTTTGCAACGACTTAAATATTTGTTACCTGTTTGTCCATTGTCTTTATATTGTTCTACTTTTTTCTGAAATGTAACCTTAGCCTTCTATTGATTACTATTTATCTTCACAGTTATATTGGTTATACAATGTATATATATATATATATATATATATAGTATATACTGTAGATAATCTGTACTTGTACTATACATATGTATATAAACGTTGTACGTACGTATTGTAAATCGCTTGCGTAGTATTGTAAAACAATACTAATTTGTTAATTTAATAACGTTATAGTTATAAATTTAGACAGAATCAGATATTTTTCTAAGGTGCATCTTTAGACAATTCTAGACAATTTTAGTGTACTTAGTAATAGGATTATTAAAGAAACAGACACAGACACACAGACACACACACACACACACACACATACACACATACATACATATTTATATAAAGTATATATACAGTATATATACCCATAAAAAGGTATAGCTTGTTATAAATTGATTTTAGAACTTCAAAAGTAGAATTTCTCTCTTTCTGTCTCCCTCCCTCTCTCTCTCTCTTATTTACTTAATATATATATAAAGTAAAATGCACTGAGTTTTTTAATTAAAATAAGTATAAAAAATGTACTATATATATTATACGAAAGAGAGCACACATATATATAATATATACAGTATATATAAATTTATATATCTATATACATATCTATGCTTTTTTGTCCATAGTATACACTGTTGATATGTAATTTTTAACACTATTTATAGAGATATGTTTTATTTGATAAATAGGACTATATTAAAATTTTCACAGATGAAATTCAAAAAATATAATGATAAACAACAATTAAAAATTTTCATTCGATCAATAAAAACAGAAATATAATTTCTCTGAGATAGAAACGAATAATGAAATTTTAAATTCAATTTTTACATTCGCATTGAAGAAATAGCATCAAATATAAATTTTTGCATTGTTGTAAAGACTAAAGACATACCGATTAATTTTATTTTATGTCAGTTAATGTTCACATTTAAATTTAAATTTGTACATAAAGAGAGAGAGAGAGAGAGAGAGAGAGAGAGAGAGAGACTGAATGATAGATAGAGGGGGAGATAAGTATACTGTATATAATTTATATATCTATATTTTTATATATAGAAAGTCTGCAGATAGAAGATATTTAAATTAACAATAGTATCATAATTGTTGGAAAATCACTAAAAAAATGCTAAAAAGGATTAGTTAAACCATTAATTAGAATATGCAAATGAGAGTTTACAAGAATTTCTAAATTGTAACTAAATATCTTATACTAATCAATTCTTAATTTTACTATCCGCATAGAAGTGTAGATATTCCGCCTTAACCTTAAAAGTTATTAAAATAATTGATAATATATTTTGAAAACGTAGTCTGTTCGCTTTCTGCCGCATGTGCTGCCAGCGAGAGCTATTCTACATTAGATATATTCAGTTAGCTTCGAATCGTTGTATCAACTGTTTTAATTTTGATACATTTATACTACATAAATATATATACATATAATATATATATACATATATATATATATAAATACATGAATATATACAGTATACTTCTGTATTTTTATGTATACACATATATCTATATATCTATATATATATAAAGTTTATAGTTTCTTTAGTGGATTTAATTATATTTAATTTTTGAAGCTATAGGAGCTATATACATTTAAGGAGAGACAGATAGATAAATAGAGAGAGAGAGAGAGAGAGAGTGAGGGAGAGAGTGAGGGAGAGGGAGAGAGAGGAGGAGAGAGGGGGAGAAACAGAGAGGTGGGGAGTGAGATAGATAAACTGACAGAGAAACAGACATACGGAGAGAGAGAGAAAGAGAAAGAAAAAAAACAAATGTGCAAAGGAAATAGCTAAATTAAGATGGCTGAATAGATTAGTTAGGGAACTTATCACTTTTATCTAAACGGAGCTTTTTAAGGAGACTGAGAATATTAATCTGCCTAGATTTTCTATTTAAAAAAATAACGAAGAAAACAGTGTTAATTTCCTATTCGGTTAGTGAATTATTATAATATACTTGATATATAATCATCCATGATAAGTTTAAATGTTGGATTACGTTAATTTATACGTTAAATAAGATGTTAGACAATATGGCGACATGCTAATGTCTGAGAGATATGGTCGGCGACTATATATGTATATGTATTTATATCTTATATATAAATTTATATATATAGATTCTTTAAAATCTCCTTATATTTTCTTGTTTTTTGAAATTTTATATAGGATTGATTTAATGATCTAAACAATCGTAGGTATTATATTATAATGCTCAGCAGATACCTTTATTGTTAACATAATGCTTGCCAGCGAATGCAGTCGCGTGCAATACTTATCTATGTTTACTATTTGTAGTGCTAGTATATATATATATATATATATAGTACAGTATATAGTGATGTATAAAATGCTTTTTGCAGCTTGAAAATGAGATTAAGGTCGTTTAGGAGTGGTAGTTTTATCCTTAAATTTGGTACATTCTTATTATTCATCGAGCTATTCTATGTCATTCATTTAATAATCTCAAATATTGTTTGGACCGATATGGACGGTAATATTCTCTTCTTGATGTTAAATAAAGAACACAGAATCGATCGATTTTTAAAGTCGTATGAAGGAGATTGCGAAATTTCGCTTAGGAAACAGAATTTGCGAAAAAATACTACGCTATGCGATTGTCTACCATCTGTGACAGGTAATGTTTTACAATATCTATACATCTGGTTCAAAATTTAACATAGCTCTAAAAATTATAGAACATAAAATCACCATAAATACAGCTCGCACCCCAACATGGAATGAAATTGCTAATAAATATAATAAGACTTTATCTTCTAAGGGGGAATATAAACCAAACGATTGTGAACCTCTCCAATCAGTCGCTATCATAATTCCCTATATGAAACGTGATAGTCATTTAAAAATACTAATAAATCATCTTCATTTCATACTACCCCGGCAAAAAATTCATTATAGGATTTTTGTTATTGAACAAAATAGCCCTTCCATTTTTAACAAAGCTGCAATTATGAATATTGGATTTGTTGAAGCAGGAAAGCTATTCAATTTTACTTGTTCCATATTCCACGATGTTGATATGCTAGCTGAAGATGGTAGGAATATGTATAATTGCCTTTATTCGCCAAGGCATATCGGTAGCCATGTAAACAAGTATGGCTATAGACTTTTCTATAATGAACTTATTGGAGGTGCATTAGCAATAACGCCCAAACATTTTCGACGTGTTAACGGATATTCCACATCATTTTACGGCTGGGGAGGAGAAGATGATGATATGAAAAATAGGTATCACTCTTTTTCCTAATCTAAGAAATTAGACTATTAATTAATATTTTAAGTAATTTAAAATGTTTGTTATTAAAGATTAGACGCTTTCGTAGAATTTTTGTGTTTAACTGATTTTGTTTTCGTTCTATTATAATTAAAGATTGTCTGCTCAAAGTCTTAAGATAACAAGATTTCCCAAGGAAATATCCAGATTTACAATGCTTAAGCACGAACAAGACAAGCACAATCCGACAAACAAGTTCCGGTAAAAATTTATAATTATGATTATAACGCATGAATTATTAATTTAGTATTAATTAATATTTTATTTAATAACGTAATCCAGACGTAGCGCAGTCGACACTAGGAAATTAGTGTACGAAAAGGATGGACTGAATTCATTAAACTATTCAATAGTTGAAACACGAGAGAGATCTTTATTTACTCTAATAAAGGCTAATTTGTGTAAGTTATACTATTATCAACAGTTTAGAATAATTTCTTTACTAATACTATAGTAGGCTTATATTATATATGAATGTATAAGAAAAAATAATTTAATAACCCTATATTGCTTGTAAATAATTAAAACACATCTATAGATGGCTTTATTATTTCTAATTGTAACTAATATAACAATTTATTATCTATTTTTAGACATATCTCAACACAATCAATTTAATAAGATTAAGGGTAGTTGTAAAGAAACAAGATATTTTCTTACCAAATCCATATCTACGGACTCAATTGAAGATTGCTCAATACTATGCTATAACGATCAAAGATGTTTATCGTTTGATTTTTATGCTAATTATTGTCGAAAGCATTTCAAACCATGCGTAATTGAGGACTCAAACAAAGAGAATCGTTATGTGTATGATAAGAAAGAAAAAAGTAAATATTTAAAGTATTTCATCTATGAACAAATAGACACGTTTACGTGTGTACAAAATAGAATGGAAACATTCGGTCTATAAAATAGACTTTACTCTTTTCAGTATCTTCTATTCAAGTTGCCTTCAATATGAAATTAGGGATTTGTAAATCAAAGACTATGGGTTTTACCGAATACTCTTTACACGAATGTGCTCGCCTCTGCCAAAATGATTTAAAATGCCATGCATTTTCTTATAATTTCAATCCTGATAGCGATCAACCCCTCTGCCAAAGGAAGAGTAAACAATGCTCCGATTTACAATCTTCTTCAGACTTTTATACATTCTCTCGAAAATCGTTTGTCAAGTATTATTTAGATAGTGATAAAATCTATTACATCACTCAGGGTGATTGTTATGGCAATGATCTCATTCCAGCGTTTATCTCGTATTCTGTTGACTACTGCGCAAGTAATTTTTCTATTCCATATGATACTATTTCTATTTTTGACATTTTTTATCTTTCCTCCTACAAGTTAAATGTTGGAAGAATCGTGGCTGTCTAGGATTTGTCTTCTCTAATCAGAACTGTTACCTAAAAAGAAAAGTTTGTGATTCTCAAACACGAGATATTGAATCACACTTTTTTATTAAGTTAACAAAAGGATTAACAGAAGAGTGAATAGGAATAGACAAAGACAATGATGAAAGAGTGAATAAAGAGGATAGAAAATAGAAGAGAATTAAACGTTAGTTGAGGACATTCTTCTAGGAAATTGAAATATTTAAAAAAAATATTGTTATTAAAAAAAATCATAAAGATGTTTATGTTCAATGTAATATACTTATTGGTGCATGCAGCAATTATTCAATATCTCTCAATATATCTTTTTTCCGCTTAAAATATGACGCATTACTTAATAAGATATAATAGCACGGTTTGTATTTTAATATTGAAAGTAATTCAATATTAATAATCTATTGTTAACCTTCATTTCAAAATAGATTGTCACAGTATAAACGTAACTATAAGTTAAATGAAGAATGTTGGATCGTGTGAAAAAGATAGACAGATAGACAGAGAGAGAGAGAGAGAACGAAAGAAAAAACAACAGAGAAAGCATTAGAAAGGGGAAATAGTTTATAAAATAATTTTTCAAACTGTCTAAACTATCTTTGTCACTTTTTGCTAGTCGATTTTTGTTCTTGTTTATAAAAACTAAGAGAACATTAAGAGAAGAGAAGAGAAGAGAGAGACTGATTTAGAAAAAGAGATAAAAAATTAGTTTTTTTGTTGTTTCTTTTTTTAACAGTGAACGCTTTATATCTAGAAAACTCTGCTTTAAATCTGAATGATATATGGCAGTTTGTCTACTAAGTAATCTTAGAAAAAAAAGCGAGAAAGAGAGAGAGATATATATGCTCGGATGTGAGATAAACGGTAAACAATGCAAAAGTAACTACGTAGTAAAAAACAGGCTCATGCCTGAACTCAACTATAACGTCTTACAAATTTATAATGTCTGACATGTTTACGATAATACATCTGCTATATAGAATTGTACTTATGCCGGGTATTTAATTGTTAACTGTACATCGAAGCATTAGTTGTCAAATTGAACCATGGATATGGAATATAATTAAAGCAATGACCATAATTTAAAAAGTGAAACGCTGAAAATTTTTTACTAAAAACACGCACATATGTTGAAAAAAATTCAATATCCGTATGGTGTTTGGTGCATACTTACTATATATACATACAAGTATACTTTGTACACCTTGTCTTCACTTTCAATAAATAATCAATGAATATTGAAACAAGAAAATTAGGATACTGACACGAGTACTAGAAAAATAATCTGCCTTATTACGTAATAGAAACAGGCTTTAAAAAGCCTTTAGAAGGAGATCAATAAAACAGACTTAGTTAGACAGTTTATGATAAATTTGCTAGTAAAATATTTCAATGTACTTGAACTTTGCTATCGTAGTTTTTTGCTATATTTAACAAAGAGTTAATGAAAGTTATTTGACTATATCCAATTCAGTTAATTTTCATTTCAAATGATTAACATCTAAAGAGGAACATCTGTCGCCCTCTTACGTTCAAAATATAAATAACTATATATAAGCCGAAAATTAGATAATTTGTCACTAAGAAAGATACAAATATTAAAACTAGATATTTGAAGAAAGATAACGCGAAAGATATTAATACGACCTAAGATAGTATTTTGTTTGTTTAATTGAAATCACACGGAGATAGTCAAAATTACAATTCTGCGAAGATTTACCTTTTATTGAAATTATTCTATTTTAAGAAATTCAAGTATTATTATTAATGTCACAAATTTTATTGTTCTCTTTATCAATAAAACGATATAATAGCAACATTATATAAATAATAAAATATACGTAATATAGCATTTTTATAAAATTCTAATTCGCTAATGCCTGATGCTATACTGTACACCTGGACGTAAGTAGAGAGAAAATGAGAACGATGTAGAAATAAGAATGTTAACAAAATGCTTCATAAGGAATAAGATGAACGAAATTTCTCATCGTAGAAATTTATAAGTTGTAAGATATTCAAATTGGATTGATATTTCTTTACTTCCTGTTAGATAACATATGATAATCTTTGGAATTTTCAACATTAAAGTCCACTTATCTTTAAAAAGATTTTATTATTTGGTAGGCATCAATAGTTTTTTTTATAGATAAACGCCTTTAATCTATATTCTTTCAGTGTTGTTCTTTGCTTTCAGTTGTCATATACTGTATATGTTTAATTTGTTTTTTTAATTGTTTTTATTTTGCGGCGGCGAATGATGTTTCTCCAATGTTTATGTACGCCTTTCCTATTAAATGTTACGTGTTCTGACTTTTTCACAATACTTCGATCTGGACAAATAAATCTTTTTCGTCGGCACGGGGATGTTGAATTATTAACAAATGTAAAAGCTTGACATCTTTTATCATTATAGCATTGTTTAGCACAATCAAATAAAGTATATTTAGCACTATTTGGAAAAGTACGTATCTTACATGAGCCATATTTAATGTCGAAATGCTTTTCTATTGAAAATTCTATCAAATTTTTAAAATAGAAGATGTAAATATAAAAGAAACGGAAATATAGTTTAATAACGTACCAGACTCCTTTCTTATGTAAATATTGGTGTTAGAAGTTGGATTAATGGAGCAAGTTTTATAATATAATTTACAATTCATTGATATAAGCGTGAACGTTACGCAATAAGCATTATTAAAACATGCTATTGCGCAATCTTCTATTGAGTTGGCATCTTCTATTAAATCTTTAACTGTATTGTTTGAACAAATTCCCTTTTTCTTATTAAAAAAAAAAGTTTGGGCTATATCTAAATAAATGAAAAATTTGATTAATTAAGAAGGTAAATTAATTAATAACAGTTTAATTTACTTAATTTGAGTTGTAATAATGTATAAGTTGGTTTTAAAGTAAAACTGTCAATTGAATAGTTTACGGTATTTAATCCATATTTCTTTATATCGTTTAATGACTTATGTAAAAGTAGGAAGGATTCTCTAAAACGAAAAGTAAAGGACTATAGTAGTTATAAAAGTAAACTGTTAGCAATTTACCTAAATCTATTTGGTGGATTCCATTTATCTCTTTCATGAGTTATCATTGTATATTTAGCGAGAGGTTGAGGATATCTTGTAATGTTTAATTTATTTGCTCGTAGCCTTTTAAGGAATTAAATATTTTAATTCTCAATGAGAATTAGTATAATTATTTAAATTACCTTCCTAACATATCTTTATCTTCATCTCCCCAACCGTAAAATAAAATATGAAAACCATTTATTGCTTTAAATTGTTCTTTTTTTATGGATAAAACACCACCAACGTGACATTGGCAGGGAAAAGTATAATTATACTTTTGAACTAACGCTCCTAAATGTCGTGGAGCGTCGACACAATTGTACATGTGCCTTCCATCTTCGACAAACATATCAACGTCGTGAAATATTAAACAATCAAATTTGAAGATTTTATCAATTTCAATGAATGCTGCATTCATAATTGATCCTTTATTAAAGGTTTTAGGCGAAATTTGTTCAACAACAAATATTCTATAGTGAATTTTTTGACCTTTTAATACCCTATGCAGATGATTTAAAGATAGTTTCAAGTGTTCTTCCCTATCTCTATATGGAATAATAATGGCAACGGTTTCTAACGATTGACAATTACTAGGTAAAAATTCACCGCCAGAAATTAAATTGCTAAAATAATTATTAATACTTTTCCAAGTGAGAGAATTCGTATTAATGTAAGGAGCAATTTCTTTCACTAAAAGTAATTAAAAGTATTATTTACAAGGAGTTTTTTTTAGTATGGAATTGATAATCTTTACTTGTGGAATCTGGTAAACATTCGCAAAACTTCTCCCTATCTCTTCTTAATTGCTTATTACAATTATATTTATATTCATTCAAAAATGTTTCAGTTTTATAGTTGCTCTCTAAAAGGACTGGACCTATATAAAATAAACAAATATTTCAATTGTTTATATTAATTAATTGAAAAATTAATTGAATTTTCGTTTGAATTCTATCTAATTTGCATTATTCTTGTTATCTCTAAATACTAATTGTACCCTAAAATATATATATATATATACATTTATATACATATAATGTCATAATACTATAATATACAGTTATATGACTGTAAACAGTAAAGCATTCCTCAAAAAGTATTTATATTAATGCATACACTTGATATTTTTATTAAACTGTACTTATTGAAGGATTTTCTTTTCCTCTCTTATTTATTTTTAACTTTAATAATTTACAGTCTTTCAAAACAAATACGGCTTTATCATAAATACCTTTTATCGCTATTAAATACGCTGAAAAAGATCTTTGAAGTTTGAGCTCGTAAATCTAAATATAGAAAAGAGATGATTGACTAGTATTAATATTCGAATACTATATAAACATTAATTTTATCTCTACAGTATATGTAATAATATATACAGTACCGTTGTTCTTATTTTGACTGTTATTTACAGGATATTATATTTTTTAATGCCTTAATATTTTGTGTGCATACCCTTAGCTTTCTACAACTGCCCTAAGCCTTCTTTCCACTGTCTCATATAAGAATTAAATTTCCAATTCTGAAATTTTAAAAAATTCCTCTCTGAACATCTCCCGCAGCTCATCCTTGTTTCTTGGCTTATGTGCCATTAAACATTTTTTGCATATGCCCCATATTTGCTCAATAATGTTCAGGTCTGGGCTGTTTGCTGGCCATGGATTCAGTGTTTCTACTCCCTTTCTCTCAAGGTATGCTTTTGTTCTGGCTGCTGTATGACAGCTAGCCCCATCCTGCTGGAAAATTTCCCCTGTCCTATAATTTGGGACAACATGACTGCTCAAAATTTTGACATAATCTGAAGCTGTCATGCGATTAGGCACTAAAGCTAGGCCCCTATCTCCGTTAAACTTAATATAGCCAAACACCATGATATTCCCTCCCTCAAATTTTACTGTTTTTGTGGTATATTTGGGGTCGTTCCGTTTACCTGGTGGCCTCCTAACAAACTCCCTCCTCCTGGGATGCAGCTCAACCTTTGATTCATCAGAAAAAATTACCTGCTTCACTGTTGTTAGAGAAAGAGATATAGGTATACCAGAATTATATAATACCTGATGGGCTGTCCACTTTGGGTTTGATTTAGATGCCCTGGTAATTTGCCTTTCCATCTTTGGTGTCACTTTTTTTGGTCTACCACTTCTTTGTTTATCTTTGACAGTTTTTAGCTCTTTAAATTTATTTTTTATGTTTTGTACAGTAGTTGGACTACATTTAAAAAGCTTTACCACTTTTCGAATAGACATTTCAGGTCTCTGAAGACAATTTAAGATAGAAATTCTTCTGGCTTCAGATAGCTTCACCATTTTTATTTTAAATTTGTCAACTGTTAGATTACACATGCGCACACACATAAATGACCTTAAAATCTGGTTAAAAGTGACACTACTCAATGTTCAGGGTAAATTTTTTGAACATAACTGATGCTTGTGCTTTTCCATAAATAAGCCTATCAGATTAAAGTGATCATATTTCTGAGATTTTAAATGAAAAGTATATATTTTCTTTCTATAATGATAAGAAGAATATTATTAATTGTAATAATATCCTTCATTTTCATTCTTTAAGTACGAAAAGAGAAAAAATCAAGAAAATATTATTTTTTTGAGGTGTAACAGTGACTTACCGCCGGTACTGTATATAATTCATTAATTATATTATACGAACCATTGTAATTAGGCCAATTGCTGGCAGGATACAAAATAAGATATGCAGCTGTCGTTTTCTTGGCAGTTTTATCATTGTTATATAATGAGAATTCAATAATACTAGTTGATGGATGTTGACTAAATTTCTCCCTTTTCTTTAAAAATATAACCTGCAGAAATATTTACAGGTTTTTTATAAAAACTACTAGAATGTACTTGATAGAAAATATATTTTTTATCTGATAATAAATTACTGTAACTTCTCACGGAAAAGATTCGTAAAACGAGTCTCCTTTTACATTGTTGTCTATTTCCAGTTTGCCATTTTTGTGTTTTTCCTTCTGTCTTTAAAAAAATCCGTTACTTTTCTTTCGTCTTTTTCGCTATTTAGTCTATGTTTAATGTAATTTATATACATAATGTATTTATGTAAACGCCTAAATCAACTCCATTTTCATATAAGATACAATGCACACGTTTTGACAGCAAATAGTCCAATGAAATTTAAAAAAACAATAAGCCAGAAGTGCAGAGCGAAGACTTGTGGCCATATTGTTGAAATTTTATATATAGAGATCAGCCTTGCAGCATACTTTCTTCTTGATAATATCTTGTTATTTTCGAAAATATAAAACTATTAAATGATACTTGGATACTTTACACAATAAAGAATTATCACCACAAGGCACATACGATCTAATACTTCATAGAGAGGATTTGATAGGTATCCTCCTAGTGACTTGTTCATCAATAGAAAATGTCAGACAAATGCAATGGGTACCTATGTAGATAATTTTTCAGGAGGATACTTATATCATAATACTTTATGATACAACTTGTTAGAGAATACGTACAGCATTATTAATTGAGAAATAAGATATATATCGATAAAATGGTAAAAAAGACGCCAATTAGAAAGAAACCACTATTACTTTTTCGAATAGTTTTTTGAAACACGTTCTTTAAGTGTTCAATTAGCAATTTATTGTTCAATTACAACTTGCTTTATAATTAAATCTGCAAATAACTGTTATATAAGATTACTTGGAATAACATAAATATTTTAATATTTAAGTATTAAAATATAATTATTACAAAATACGATAATTACTTTATTACAAGTAAACCAAAGTAGAAACATTCATTATTCTTTTCCTAGTCTATTTAACTTCTTTAAATTAACTGGTTTTGAATTAGCAGCTTTAATTGATTAGATAAAAACTGGAACCATGTTGCTAAATGATTAACATACTTATAAATATTCATTCATTCATTAACATATATTTATTATTACTATTGTAAAGTAAATTCAGTCAGTAAAATGTATTATCAATATTTTGAAAATATAAGAGTTTTATAATTACTATTAAATGAAATATTTATGAAATATGCAAGTTTTAACAAGGAGATAACAATTATCAATGTAACAGCTATTAAATATCCCATTAAACGTCATGTCTTTTTTTATAAATAGACATTTATTGCTGACTGTTCTTGATGAAAAGCCTAAAAAATTTTCACAAAATCTATTAAACAATACAAAGTTAAATACTGCTTAGTATTTACTCAGAAATAAAAGAACTTTATACATTTCAATATATTATATACTATACTATATTAATATTACATAAGATTATTATATTATATTGTCTATTAGACTTAATTCTTGACTTTCACTTCAGATTTTGGCAACGGTGTTGATTTATTTACTTTTGGATTTGAAGTAAAACATTTTTCTTTAAATTTTTCATCAACTACGCAATTTAATTTCTTCTTTATATAGACTTTACAATTTTTATTTTTCCTTCTTTTGGAGCATGGTGTAAGTTTTCCTAAACAAGGTCTCTGAGATTTAGGATTATACGAAAATGATTTGCAAACTTTGGTTCTCAAGCATAATTTTGCGCAATCGTATAGTGTGTAGGCGGAGTTTTTGAATACATTTCTTGAGAGACATTCCCCTTCTTCCTCTGTGAAGTATTGATGGAGAGGGTAGGCTAAATAGATGAAATATAGAAGAGTAAAGTAATCACATTCTATGTAATTAAACATAAAAAGTTAATAAACCTACCGGCCTCTTTACGATAATAAAAAACTTCTGGACTAATGCTATCCTCTGTGCATGTTTCATGATAAGTATTGCATACTGACTCGAGATAAGTGAATGATGTACATAAAGCGTCATGATAGCATTGCAATGAACAATCCTCTAACGAAGTAAGATTGGATAAAGTTAAAATGGGAGTAGCCTCATTGCAATATCCGTTGAACTGAGTAAACAGCTGATGGGCGGCAATTTCTATTTTTAACAAATGCATTTATTACTGAGCAAATCTTTCAATTTTTCTTGATTTACCTAAATTAACTTGAAAAAGGGTATAACTAATTTCAAACAGAATATTCTGGAGCGAATAATGTGTTGTCGTAAGACCTATTTTCTTTGAATAACCTCGACTAGGAGTATAAAAGTCAAGAATTGATTTCCTATTTAAGAATCAAATCGTCAATATCATAAATATCAAGGAAGTAAAATTTGATTAGTTAATTAATTCATACCTGAAGGGATTAACCGGATTTGTTTTATCAGACTTATGCTTTAGCATTGTAAAAGCTGAGAGTGGATGCTTAAATCGAGTAATTCTCATTCTAGAAGCTACGATCCTAAAAAAAAGGTACAGATTTATATAAATTAGTATATACTGTATGTAAGACAGAATTAAATAAGATTAAATCTATTAGAGGGTATTAATACCTCTTTTGCATATCGTCGTCTTCGTCTCCCCATCCATAAAATAACGTATTATAGCCATTTAGATGTTCAAAGTGACTTTTAGATATAGCAAATACACCGCCAACATGAGCTAACCACCTATTTATATAATGAAATTTGTTCACGTATGGTCCAATATGTCTAGGTGTCTTTATGCAATTATACATATGACGACCGTCTTCCATAAGCATATCAACATCGTGGAATATGACGCAGTCAAATTGGAATAATTTCTGCATTTCCAAGTATCCAGCGTTCATTAGAGCACCCTTGTTAAAGTCTCGAGGAGATATTTGTTCAGCAATAAATATTCTATAATGAATTTGTTGACCAGTAAGAATTTTATGTAAATGATGAACGAGAATCTTCAAATGCGAATCTCTCGCTCTATATGGTATAATAATGGCGACTCTTTGAAAAGAGACACAATTATTCGGTATCCACTCTCCTCCATATAAAATCCCTAATTTTTTTTCATGTATATTGTGTATTGCACTCCAATTTTGAAATTGAACATTGTAATCCAAATAAGCTCTTTTTACTATAGAATAGAAAGGAGCTAAGATTAGAAACACTACTAATATATATCTAAAAGAGACTATCAATAAACTTCTTTAACCAGTTTACTTACAAGCTGTTTTTGGGACACATGCACAGTATTTTCCAGTTGATAATTTGCTTTTTTTTAACTCATTTCTACATATTTCATTATACTTTTGTACCATTAATGAAATAGCAGATTCCTTTTTTTGCGGCCAATGCTCGTCTATACAAAGGTAAAAAAAATGTCATGAACTTCATAAATAGATTCCGATCGTATTGTTCTTACCAAGGAGGATTTCATGTCTTTCTTCAACTGTGGAAACAGTTATAATTGTCTTGTTTACTGACTGAAAAATTATTTATAATAGAAATAGTAGCTGTTTATAAAAAGTAGTAGTCTTAAAACAAACTGATATGAAGAACAGGGTAGAGAAGATAAATGAGATGATGAAGAGTAATTTAACTTTAGTCTTTATCATATTTAATCTCTAAGCAATTGTAAGCAATGATGTATTCGTTGTCTTCGTAAAGGTTTTGTACAGACGATCGTTTCCATTCATTTATCTTTATTCTAAATTGATTTCCATTGAATTTTTTTACCATAAAACTAATTAAATGAGAAAAAAAAATAAAAAAGCATGTTTAAATAAACAATGTATGTTCTTCTTCTAACGTTTCCTTTAAACTACTGTATAGATAAACATTATACCGTTTCTACCTCTACATTGTACCATATCACTTGGCAAATCTTAACACAAGTGTTACAATAATCAAAGTTTCTATTGTAATACAATAAAAGTAACAATACTATTCTTTGCCAAAAAAAAAATTAAACATTATTTAGTCGGAATTCAAACTTTTATCCAGCAAATATTAGTTTAATTTTTATAATAAATGAATATTATATTTGTAATAATGAAAAAACAATTAGAACAGTCTTTGGTAAAGACAGAACAAATTTACCTGTTAGAAATGCTTGTTTAAATCTGAAAAATGCCAGTGTTTTGAAGCTACAAGTTTGTCATATTAATATTTACCTTCTTAGATCTAGTCAATACCTAATTATGATATCTTTAATGATAACTAATCGATGTGAGAAAAAAAACTGTAGCCAACTTTTCAATGCTTCGCTTGCGCTACTCCTTTGTGACTAAAGGGCGCAGTCTTAAATAGTATTGAACCGCTTCGTATAGGGCATAGTTATAATATGGAAAACTTAAAAGCGGATAAAGTCTATTAAAAAGCTCAATTGTAAAAAGATAATGGGAATACTTTAGAATACAGTATGAAAAGGAGAAGTTAGTCATAATGCTAACGAAAATCAAACATATTTATATAGAAGGATAGTAATGCTTCGAAAGAATACTTTTAAAGAGTCACTTATAAATGTATATATAACTAACGAAAGCTTTCGTTCCAAGTTCAACATATATATTTTTTTAAAGCTTATACGTCTCCCTTTAACATGATAGAAGAAGAGCAATAGCATATACGTTATATATCACATTATATATATTTATACTGCATATATTATTCATATACATTTACTCAATCATCCCTATTTTAAATAACTATTGAAATTGGGTATATTAAAGTATACAAACATTTAATCAAGGCAATGCTCTTTTTGTAATGATTATATATTATACATATTATGTAGTAAGACGAGAATAATAGAGTATTTAAATTAGTCCAAGCATATAAACACAGATTGACAAATTTTAAAAAACAAAATATCATTGTTTTGCCTGATTAAATGTTATCACTTTCACAGTCTAATTAATATTTTATGTTCACGCATGCGTATATTAAAATATGCAGTAAAAAGTGCTAAATTAATTAAATTGATGATACATTTCAAACTCTTCCATAAATTTTTTCTTAGCGATTTCATAGCACAGTCTATATTGATTCTGCAAGAGGAAACGGCGAGTTATTTAAAAGATATTTTTTCATAATTACAGTAAAGTATAAAGTTAATAATTTGTACCAGAATTTAGTTGTATATATACTGTATATATATATAACATACCTGATTTCTAATAAATTCTCTCCTGTAATTTCTTAGATATTTTACTGTCGAGAATAGAGCAACTTCTGACAGTAACTTCATTCTTTCTATTAAACAATAAGCAGTACAAAATACTCCAGTGCGATCAACTCCATTTTTACAATGAACTATTATGGTGTTGCCACTCTCTCTCTCGGACGATCTATTCCAATTTTCAACTAGACTTACAAGCTTTTTTGATAAAAATTAATATAAAGTAATTAAATAAAGAGAAAATATTAAATATAACTTACTGTCAATAAACTGGTAGCTTTCTCTTGAATATCCAATGACCAAGTTTTTAACTGATATTGTTTAATCGTCCTAGTTTCGTTACCCTTGAAGTGTAATTTCGTTTAAAGCAATATATTATTAAGCATAGGCCTTGTATTATCTATAATCACCTTTCGTATGGATATTTCTCTTTGTACTATATTTTCAGCAATATTCTTTTTGGATGCTAGGATTATAACAAATTCATTTAATTTATGCTCCTCTTCCTCATTTTTAGGCCAATAAGGTTTCATCTTAATAAATGAAATTGGAATTAGAACAAGAACGATGCAAACATCTAATAAAAAAAATTTACATCTGAAGTAATATCGTTAAGAGCAACAATTGTCGAGGATCTTTCCTTAAACACCATATTCCAAAAGTCATTTTCAGTATTTTGTAGTGGATGTTGTGTTGAAATAAATGCTATTTTAGTCTCAAAACTCTGAAAGGAATAATAGGAATACAATATTTAGAATTTAAGCCTTTTTCCTGGGAGAACAAACGTTTATATAGACTGCATTGATGTAATTTTCTTCTGTATCTGTCAGGTATACTCTATACGCCGAAGCTGTTGAAAGACAATAATCATACAATGGTAGACTCAATACTATACTGTATATAAATAGAATACCTGGTAATAAGGCTTTATCTCTATTTTTCACAAGATTTTTTTCGTCTGTAGTAACGTCGTCATAAGAAGACTGAATTGTAAAATTTAAAGAATTTAAGAGTTTGAACTCTTTTCGAAGTGTCTCAGATTGAACTTTTAGGTGTTCGTATTTTGTGTGAAATTCTGCATTGTCTATAAAGGTGCCACTTGTACAATATAATTCAACAACGGCCTTGTAAATAAACGTATACTGCTCCTGAGATGACAATAGAAAGTCAAATTAAAACTATTTGTGATTTACTACGTTAGTTTACTTACAGCTGTTTGTACCATATTTACTCGTTCCCTTCTCATTTTTCGTACTACTTCAAACACATCTATTCGTTCTCCTTTCAACACTTTTTCTGCTAATTTACTAATCGCAATATATGTTCCAGTTCTGCCTACACCGGCGCTACAATGAACAACTACAGGAGCTGTCGAAGATGATGTATTCAAGTCTACGATTTTCATAAAGAAAAGCAGGGAACTAGGGGAATTTAATGACGAATGATCCATCCACTCTTGATAATGATATTGTTTAATTTTTCGTGATTCTTCCTAAGAAAAAGGAATAAATGAATTAGTTAAAAAGAATAGAAACCATATTATTAAATATTTAAATAGAAACCAACTCCTTTTGTAACTGTGAAATGTCGAACTACAAAATCTGCGTACTGCTGCTCTTGTTCTAATTTTACCGAAATTTTAGCAAATACTAAAGTATCTGCATCCATACCAGGTAGTGCTTTAGGCCAATAGGCAGTTGTTTTTTTCTAAACAATTGATATTTTAAAAGGTTTAAAAGTTTAATGGATAAGATAAACAAACTTACGACTGCATTCTCTACTAAATTTGTTAACATAACAATAGTTTCACAATTATTATCCCATATTAAACGCCAAAAGTGTTCAACGCTACTATCCGTCGGACCTTTTAGATTATAAAGTTAACTTATTGTTTAGAGTTAAGCGCAAAAATCTTTTTTTACCTTGTGCTGCTATGAATTTATTGTAACCAATATTATCCTGCATATTATATATGTAAAGTGTATACTCTATGTAAGAAATACCGTTTAACTTACCTTTAAGAATGAAGCATTATAAAAATCAGTTTCTTCATCTTTGGTAACAACTAGTTCAACTCTATTATCGTCATCTTTGTTTTTTCAATTCACAAAGAAACAAGCCAACAAATAAAAGAATTACATTTCATTTAGGGAAAATGTCTATATATACAGTAGTCCGTAATGGTTTTACTTACAAGGTAAAATGTTTATATACTTGAGATACTTTTTATTCTCTGGTGAACTTCCTACTATATGAGGTATATCTTCTTGCAAGTTTTTTGGCAATTTCTTAATAGTATTTGTACAAAAACAAATCGAAAAGAAAACAACCCTTTGTATATACAGCATATTCATATTAATATTTGTGTATAGTTACCCCATGTTCTTCAATAAGCTCTTCCTTTCGCAACTTATCCTTCAACTCATTAATAAAACTTTCAATTACAAATGGTTCTATAACATTATAATAAATTTTTTCACTAGATGGTTTAGGCGAATGCGTGTTCCCATCCGATTTGTTGCCTTTTTCTTTCAATTTCTTTTTTCTCTGATATCTATTATAAATAATTGTTTCAAATATGTTTTTAACAGAGTCTTCTAAAGTAAAAAAATTGAGCAAATGCAAACATATGGAGTTAATTCGCCTACCTGATAAAAAGAAGAGCGAAAATAAAACAAATAATAAAAAATCCACCAGCTCCGCAACCAGCATAAAGTTCAATTTTAGAAGGTTCTGCAACAAAAAAAACACAATCTATACAAACAACTCTTAATAGCAATACCCATATAAAAAAACAATCTACTATTGAAACACAAAGTTACTTGTATTCTATTATTGATAAGACTATAACAAAAAACAGGAAGGATTGATAACAAAATTTAAAAAAACATGAATTCTAATAAAATAAGTAAAACTAAAATCATCATTACCATTACCAATATTTTCATTTTCTGAAATTCATATCGACAAAATCAATATTTTTCAATCAATTGATTCAATTGAATAATTTACCTATACTGGATGTCTCTGGTCTTTCTAGATTTATATTAGGTGATTTCACTTGCTCACTAGAGTAATGTTCGTTCAGAGCTTCAACTGTGAAATAACCACTGACATTGATATTCAAAAACATTTCCGTAAAATTTTTTGTAATATCTTCAATTATCATTTCATTAACTTCACTTTTTCTATTCTCCACTTTAGAACTTACAACAACAAATGAGACTTGAACACCCAAATATTTATTACAATTATGTCCTCGGCTTCTTGGTTTCTGAAAATCATACAATTAACCTTTAATGAATTCAAATACACAAAAAAAACTGGAATCATTTATATATGTCAAAATACATTCATACATTCCAAGTTATTGAATATAACCATTTATTTCTTTCCGGACTGAATAGAACTTCTGTATACCTCAAACCAGTCAGCGAGTTTGGACCTATTCAATAAAAAAACAAATTTCATATTTACGTACAAACAATTAATTACAAAGAAACCTACGTGAACACGGTGGTATTTCAACAGAAGATTCACTGCTCTTTCCAAGAGACACTGAACAATCTTCCAATTCATTTCTAACTCTAACTTCAACAGAAAGTATCTTAGTTTCATTTTTGTGTCTTATAAATTTGTCAACAGAAAGTGATGTATCATAAATTATAACATTTTCAAATATCAATGTGTCATTTCCCAAAGAGATTTCATAGCCCGCAAAAGCTTTAGTCTTTATTTTCGGATTTGAAAGGAAATTCCCCAAATTAATATGAACAGTGTTGTTTCCCTTATCAAATATTACATTATCTAACTTTCTTTCCAACAAACCTTAATTGCAATAAATTTAATTATTCATGTCATTCATCTATTATAAAAAATCGATATTACCAATAAAAACACATTTTCCATTTGATATTTCATAACCAATTTTGCATTGACAATATTCCAAATTCTCTGCTGAATAATTATAATTCTTATTACAATGCAAAGGACACTGTGTGCATTTTGGAGGAATTCCGAATTCATTATCATTGCAATCTAAATTATTTCATTCAAATAAATTAATTCTCAATACAAAACGATTTAAAAGTGAAACTACTTACAAATTCCTTTTCCTTTAACATAAACTTGACATAAATCTAAACTTCCATCATTACAACGAGTGTTTAAATAACATGTATTATCCCTTTTCCTTATAACAATTCCTCTTGTGTTATTACGAGAAAACGGAACATTCACAGTAAACGCCGAACTATCCATCATTGAACCAGTAAAATTATATATTGTTTTAAGGCGTAAGAACTGGATATTATTTGCATCTTCAATTCGATAATCATATGGAACAAGAGAGATGTCAAAGTTTCGTAATCTTCCACCTTTTTGAATAAAATGTGATAGAAAAAGGAAGTTACATCAATGTGAAAAAAACCTGATTCTGGAATGCTGATTATTTGAATTGTGCTTATTTCATACACATTTTTCAAATCGAGATACCAAATTCCAAGATGTGTTCTATTACCTGTTGATGTATATGATTTTGAACAGTTAATAGTATCTTTAATTGCTTCATTTGCTATCTTGTCTGCTATTCCATTACGATAGGCTTTTCCGTTAATCGCAATATTGTCTTCTGTAAAGAAAACAGATGAAAATCAATGAAATGGCAGGTTGTTTCAATGTAAAGTGTTATTATTACCGCAATTTTTCCAACAAATACAAATGTTGTGGTTCATTGTGTTTGTATTGTAACATTTGTAATTATCAACACAATTACAAGATTCTGTGTAATAAGTTCTTTTTTTATTAATTCATTATTTTGTAATAGGTAAATGTAATTACTTTCAACTTTTTCGCCCTTAATCACTAAATTACAGAATTGAAATACTTGTGTTTTCGAATTCAAAGTGATGAATCTTCCAATTACATTATTTCTCTTTACTTTACAATCAAAATAATGTGAAAATATTCCGCCTTTCGGTATTGTTTTAGAATTTCTAAAAGTATAATCATTTTGATACGCATTTGTTTGCCAGATGTTGGGCAGATTCGCAGAATCATCATGAATGAAAATATCAAAGGAACCCAAACTATATTTGTTTCCATTAAAAATAGCTAAATGATGAATTTTGTAATAATTTTGAAGATCAACTCTCCATATTTCACCAAATTCTGTCAAAGATTCACTGCATTGAAAAAGTGGATGGGTAACCGGAATTTTACTGATTGTGTCATCATTCGAAACAACCTGCGTTGGTTTATTGGCAGCAATACTATTATCTGTATTGAAGAAAGACGAGTTTACAGCTTGAATGCATAGTAAAGAAGATTTCATAAAAATATTAACATGGTCGAAATCCTTCAACTATTACTTCAGCAATTATCAATTCTCCTCCGTCCTTTTGAGAAGGATCAGCTACTTTCTGATATCTTTCAATTGCTATATATTTTGATATTTTAGAAATTACATTATTTGTATATATCTCAGCAAATGATTTATTTTTAATGACATAATCTATATCTCCAACTGGTATGTAGTTTGTGTGTTCTGTTAAATCGTCAGCAACTGATGTAGAATTTTGTACAGTAAAAACTTTTAAATATGATAATCTTTTGCCTGAAAATGAAAGGAAAACGATTTCGATAATAATTTAGGTTAAATATGTGAAATTTGTATGAAAAACAATGAAATATTTTATTACTTCTTTCTTTTTGCTGATTCAGTATTAATATTCTTGAGATTATAGCATTGTATGATAACTCAATTCTTATTCTTCCGTATTTATCAGTGGATTTTGTATGAGCATGTTGAGAGAAATTCCCATCTACAGCCCTGCCAGCAAATTGTGTTTTATGTGTTCCCTGATATTGTTTTGCATTTCCATTTAATGCCATATTATCTATATGATTAGAATTAGGTAATGTTGAAGTAGATGATATGACGTTTAGAATGACTGAATATATAATGAATGTATTACCAATATCACAACAGGGTCCAAGTTTTGCATTCAAACAAAATTCTTCATTATTTTGACCATTTTTTGCGTATTGTACTGGATATTGACCTAATCGAGAAGACATATTTATTGTATATAAGAACGTTTGTGATGTTATTACCTTTTTGAGTGAGAATTGAAAGATTTAACATTTGCAATATATAGACAGTATAAAGGAATGTCGACTTAACCAAATAGTTTACCATTGCCTTTTATTGATTGTGAAGATCTGTTTGGTAATATATGTAGTCTTGTTGAATAAATTCGTGATTTTTTTGTCAGGGAATCTTAAGTGTCGATGAATTACACTGTACATGCTGTTAGTTTACTATTATTGTTCTTTGAACTTTTGATAGTGTTAGTATTTGTTGAATGATATTTATGATGTCAAAATGAATTGTTGTGATTTTGTTTTATAGAATATTTTGATAATTGCTTCACATATTTGTCTAGAGATGGTAGTATATTTTGTAATTAATTAGGTCTTGTACCTTTTTATAATTTGTAAACGAACTGATATGTTATATTAAAATTGCGACGAAGAAGGAAGTAAATTCAATCACAATGCAATTTTTAGTATTGATGCCAAGTAGTATGTCTAACTAAATAGCATACGTGTATTGAAAAGTGTGTTTAACAGGTAGTTTTAAGACTGTGGTTACGGCTGTAATCATTTTTTAATTATTTTTATGTATTTAACGATGAAAAGAATGAAGAAAATTGTGCTAAAAGGAAGGCTGTGAAAAAATTTATATTGTATTTTACCTACTAACCTTGCTAATCTGATTTAACGTTTTGATTATTAAGATTTATCCGTATACATCACTAAAATGTAACGTTTTATTAATATTTCTTCAGTCTATCAAACTTTTGGCGTAGAAAGAAACGATTGAAAGGAGTTTTATTTCAACTGTTCATTTTGGTTATAATAAAGTATATATTGGCCAGAAAAACTATTCATAAGCAAATAGCAAATAGTTTTCCTCAACTAGAAATAGGAAGTTAATTTTCAATACGACTATTCTATTTATATTTTTATCACGAATTGAGAATATAAGGGAATTTTTTCATTGTGCTATACATTCTCATCGTTACAGGTTGGTATTTTATATAGGAAATCTCGTATTTTTCATTCAACTAGATTATCCTTTTCTAACGATATACGTAATATAAAAAGCCTATATGTATTTTAAATAACTGTTTAAAACGTTAATTCAGATAGTGTTTTAATATTTATTGTCATGGATGTACCTTTAAAATAGTCCTTATAAAAAAAAACAGTCGGCTAGACGGAACATTTGTTTCAGCACTGTATATATCAATTTAGATATTCATAAATACTGTATATATTTAGATATGCAATACAAACACCATTAACCCTCTTTTTCGCTTATACAGAAAGGGAAGCATAAAGACAGTAGTCAGAGTTGTTTACTATGGTCTACAATAAACTTTAGTTCATTATAATATAATTTCAAAATGCTAAAAATATGTATATAAAGATAAGTAACTGAAATTGTAGGTCAATAGAAAATTTACACAAATATAAATTTATATAGATAATAGCAAGGGAAGCAGTTCTTTAATGTTGGCTACAAAAGAAAGGCTTAAACGAAAAATGTATAGGAGAGTTGTGATATATATCTATGTATTTCATATTAACACTTGGTCACAATGAAAGAAAAGCAAATAGTTAACAACTATTTTTAAAAGTTCTATTACTGCATACAGCAAGGAACTTATCACTTTTTCTTATGACATAAAAAATATGTTTATAAAATTAACAGAGAATACCAGAGATAATTTTAAGAAATCAAAGGATAAGAAAAAATAACTTGTGTATTTTTTAAACTATTGTTTCAATAGCAGATCCTTAAAGTCTAATAATCAAAAATGGTAAACTATAAGGTTAAGTCAACATTCATTTACACTGTCTATATATTGCAAATGTTAAATCTTTCAATTCTCACTCAAAAAGGTAATAACATCACTAACGTTCTTATATACAATATATATGTCTTCTCGATTAGGTCAATATCCAGTACAATACGCAATAAATCGTCAAAATAATGAAGAATTTTGTTTGAATGCAAAACTTGGACCCTGTTGTGATATTGGTAATACATTCTTTATATATTCAGTCATTCTAAACGTCATATCATCTACTTCAACATTACCTAATTCTAATCATATAGATAATATGGCATTAAATGGAAATGCAAAACAATATCAGGGAACACAAAAAACACAATTTGCTGGCAGGGCTGTAGATGGGAATTTCTCTCAACATGCTCATACAACCTCCACTGGTAAATACGGAAGAATAAGAATTGAGTTACCATACAATGCTATAATCTCAAGAATATTAATACTGAATCAGCAAAAAGAAAGAAGTAATAAAATATTTCATTGTTTTTCATACAAATTTCACATATTTAACCTAAATTATTATCGAAATCGTTTTCCTTTCATTTTCAGGCAAAAGATTATCATATTTAAAAGTTTTTACTGTACAAAATTCTACATCAGTTGCTGCAGATTTAACAAAACACACAAACTACATACCAGTTGGAGATATAGATTATGTCATTAACAATAAATCATTTGCTGAGATATATACAAATAATGTAATTTCTAAAATATCAAAATATATAGCAATTGAAAGATATCAGAAAGTAGCTGATCCTTCTCAAAAGGACGGAGGAGAATTGATAATTGCTGAAGTAATAGTTGAAGGATTTCGACCATGTTAATATTTTTATGAAATCTTCTTTACTATGCATTCAATCTGTAAACTCGTCTTTCTTCAATACAGATAATAGTATTGCTGCCAATAAACCAACGCAGGTTGTTTCGAATGATGACACAATCAGTAAAATTCCGGTTACCCATCCACTTTTTCAATGCAGTGAATCTTTGACAGAATTTGGTAAAATATGGAGAGTTGATCTTCAAAATTATTACAAAATTCATCATTTAGCTATTTTTAATGGAAACAAATATAGTTTGGGTTCCTTTGATATTTTCATTCATGATGATTCTGCGAATCTGCCCAACATCTGGCAAACAAATGCGTATCAAAATGATTATACTTTTAGAAATTCTAAAACAATACCGAAAGGCGGAATATTTTCACATTATTTTGATTGTAAAGTAAAGAGAAATAATGTAATTGGAAGATTCATCACTTTGAATTCGACATCACAAGTATTTCAATTCTGTAATTTAGTGATTAAGGGCGAAAAAGTTGAAAGTAATTACATTTACCTATTACAAAATAATGAATTAATAAAAAAAGAACTTATTACACAGATTCTTGTAATTGTGTTGATAATTACAAATGTTACAATACAAACACAATGAACCACAACATTTGTATTTGTTGGAAAAATTGCAGTAATAATAACACATTACATTGAAATAACCTGCCACTTAATTGATTATCATCTGTTTTCTTTACAGAAGACAATATTGCGATTAACGGAAAAGCCTATCGTGATGGAATAGCAGACAAGATAGCAAATGAAGCAATTAAAGATACTATTAACTGTTCAAAATCATATACATCAACAGGTAATAGAACACATCTTGGAATTTGGTATCTCGATTTGAAAAATGTGTATGAAATAAGCACAATTCAAATAATCAGCATTCCAGAATCAGGTTTTCTTCACATTGATGTAACTTCCTTTTTCTATCACATTTTATTCAAAAAGGTGGAAGATTACGAAACTTTGACATCTCTCTTGTTCCATATGATTATCGAATTGAAGATGCAAATAATATCCAGTTCTTACGCCTTAAAACAATATATAATTTTACTGGTTCAATGATGGATAGTTCGGCGTTTACTGTGAATGTTCCGTTTTCTAGTAATAACACAAGAGGAATTGTTATAAGGAAAAGGGACAATAAATGTTATTTAAACATTCGTTGTAGTGATGGAAGTTTAGATTTATGTCAAGTTTATGTTAAAGGAAAAGGAATTTGTAAGTAGTTTCACTTTTAAATCGTTTTGTATTGAGAATTAATTTATTTGAATGAAATAATTTAGATTGCAATGATAATGAATTCGGAATTCCTCCAAAATGCACACAGTGTCCTTTGCATTGTAATAAGAATTATAATTATTCAGCAGAGAATTTGGAATATTGTCAATGCAAAATTGGTTATGAAATATCAAATGGAAAATGTGTTTTTATTGGTAATATCGATTTTTTATAATAGATGAATGACATGAATAATTAAATTTATTGCAATTAAGGTTTGTTGGAAAGAAATTTGGATAATGTAATATTTGATAAGGAAAACAACACTGTTCATATTAATTTGGCGAATTTCCTTTCAAATCCGAAAATAAAGACTAAAGCTTTTGCGGGCTATGAAATCTCTTTGGGAAATGACACATTGATATTTGAAAATGTTATAATTTATGATACATCACTTTTCGTTGACAAATTTATAAGACACAAAAATGAAACTAAGATACTTTCTGTAGAAATTAGAGTTAGAAATGAATTGGAAGATTGTTCAGTGTCTCTTGGAAAGAGCAGTGAATCTTCTGTTGAAATACCACCGTGTTCACGTAGGTTTCTTTGTAATTAATTGTTTGTACGTAAATATGAAATTTGTTTTTTTATTGAATAGGTCCAAACTCGCTGACTGGTTTGAGGTATACAGAAGTTCTATTCAGTCCGGAAAGAAATAAATGGTTATATTCAATAACTTGGAATGTATGAATGTATTTTGACGCATATAAATGATCCGAGTTTTTTTTGTGTATTTGAATTCATTAAAGGTTAATTGTATGATTTTCAGAAACCAAGAAGCCGAGGACATAATTGTAATAAATATTTGGGTGTTCAAGTCTCATTTGTTGTTGTAAGTTCTAAAGTGGAGAATAGAAAAAGTGAAGTTAATCAAATGATAATTGAAGATATTACAAAAAATTTTACGGAAATGTTTTTGAATATCAATGTCAGTGGTTATTTCACAGTTGAAGCTCTGAACGAACATTACTCTAGTGAGCAAGTGAAATCACCTAATATAAATCTAGAAAGACCAGAGACATCCAGTATAGGTAAATTATTCAATTGAATCAATTGATTGAAACATATTGATTTTGTCGATATGAATTTCAGAAAATGAAAGTGATAATGATAATTATGATTTTAGTCTTACTTCTTTTATTAGAATTGATGTTTTATATAATTTTGTTTAATGACAGATTCTTCAAAGTCTATTCCTTTTTGGCCTTTCATTGTTGGCGGTGTTGTTATTTTATTGGTTGTAGTGACTATTGCATTTATTTACTTCTGTTATAGGTTAGTATGATTAGATTATATTGGCAGTTATTGATAATTAAGTGTTTTAAAGAGTACATAAAAAAGTCGTTAATGAGCGAAAGGAAGAATTACCATCGCAAAACGAATATGTTAACAATGTAGAGGAAAATACTTATTGCGAAGTGAAAGAAAAGCCATTTTATGTCAATTTAATTCATTTAAAATGTTTTAAAAAAAACAATGAGTAGTAATATTAAATGAAAATAGAATTGGATATTAATGTCATTGCTTTTCATTTAGTCTTTTACTTGAAACAATTTTCATTGTGTTATTTTCTTTAAAGAGACTTTATTTCTTGAAGATAAGAGATTACTACTCAAAATGCAACTGTTATTTGTCAAAAATCATATCTTTTACTTTTTTTGTCTGTTCATAATTTAAATGTTATTTACTAATCAGCTTTTTTCCTCTTAATTATTGTTCTTGCAGTAACTGTTCTGTGATATGCAAATATTTCTGCATTTAACTAATCTTTTGAAATGTAACTTATCCCTTCACAATAAACAATCTTACTATTCATATCAGGCATATTGCGAGCGAAACTGTAAATAAAAAGTTTTATTACTCATTATTGACCTAATAGAAGTGGAATCTGAATAATGACATTCTCGTTTAATCTAAGGGATCTTTTCAGTGGACAACTTTATCACCCTACTTTTATTGATATAATAAACCTCCCCCAACTCATTTTCTGGTATTTTCTATATCTGTACGTACTTCTAACAGCAGTTATGTCAATTCGATTAATTGCGTGTAGAGGAGACTTAAGACCGTTTTCAGACGCTTTGCGATCTTTATAACCATTAGACTATAATCATCAGAAGGATTGTTAAGTGGAAAATTTTGAATTGATGCGGTGTTTCCCTTCACTCTATCAAAGCGTTCTGTAGTCATCAAATCATACCACATCTCATTCAGAATATTCAGCCTCCTCACAAGCTTAGTACCAAATAAGGATTTTATGTTACTCCCCGGTGGCAGGCAGTACTCATTTGTGAAGCGGTCAAGTTAAATCCTTCTGCCTATCCAAATCCATGGTTTCTCGTTGCAGATTGAGAGTTGTAGAACATTCGTTTATGATGTCCAAACTTTTTTGACTGTATCTAACAGTTATGGATTATTTAGTTTAATATATGAGATTATGAACTTTCTCCCAATATCATAATAAAGAATCAGAAAGGCTCAAAAATGTTTACTATTTTATTAGCTTCTCTCTGTTTCTTTTGGCCGTAAACGAATATATATCGTTAGGTGTTGGATAGCATAAAGACCCACATATAATCCCTATCCAAGTGACTCGTCACTATAAACTCTGTAATAATACACTAAAGGGCTACTCTGCTAATACGAAATATAATACAAATATAGACGTTTCTATGTTTTTAATAAACAGTAAAAGTATAAGAAAAGGTAATATTTTTGTAATCTATACAATAAATATACAGTAAAGGTAACATAAAGAAAGGGAAAAATAAGAAACGTTTATGCTTTTATCTATAATAAATTGTTACGAAAATAGTCGCTCCCTTAATGACTTTTTTTTTTATCTTCTTCCCTAAATTAGTTATTGATCATCTTTACGTTGGAAATATTCGATTTAATCGATTTTTTCATCTTTCAACTAATCAATAAAAAACCTATAGGCCTAAAAAATAAACAAGAACATAAGACACTTACTCCAATTTTTCAATTTTAATCCTAATGATATTGTTTTAATTGGCAATAAAATATAATATTATCTGAGAGATGGCGCCACCAATTTGGGAAATAACAGACGTTTAACCAAGTAAGATCAAAGAAGTTTCCATAGGCGGTGTGAGAAATATTTTGATAATCTTTTTAGAATCTTTTCAGCATAGTATTAAAGAGACTTTAATAAGATAATCCAGATTTCTTCAGAATAAAGAGAAGGAAGCTGGATAGAAAGATATATAACTGTATATTGAGGAAGGAGAAGATTGAAAGAAGGAAAAAAAAGAGACAAGTCTGAAAAATCAACGTAGGCGTATAAAGCTGCCGGGAGACCGACAATTTTGACACTAAATGATAGATCATTTAAGAGAGAAAAACTAAAGATATCGAATTGATATATCAACGTCGAATACAAGTTGCTTAACAATTTATACGTATATTACCTGAGATACTCGAAAAAAGGACCATTTTCTATAAGAATCCTTAAATCAATTATAGGACAAGTATATAGAGAATAAAGAGAAAGAAAAGGCTTATTTTACACGTTTTTTACGACTAAAAAAGATGTTGGTTAAAGCTAATAAAAATTTATTGAAGAAATGTTTAAAAAATGTTTCTTTATAGATTTCTATATAATTTCATCTATTTCTGCGTCTCTTTCCTCAATTTGGCTGCTTTTCCTGTCTTTTTTTTCACACTTGTAAAGTCGTTTATGATGGATTGGCGATAAAGAATAAAACAAGCCAACTTCTTTTAGTTGTAAAGAGAAAACTTATACGACAACCAATTTTCTATACAAAATCACGAGTCATGAAAAACCTTCAGAAATATCCTTTTAAAAAGATCTCATTATAACTTTGATTGTACAGTTTTCATAGGCAAGAGTATATACATATATAAATGTATTATACATAGATTATATATACAGTATGTGTTTAGTCTATCTATATGTATTTCTACAATATAAATACGTACTGTATATTGGGATGGACTGGTATTGATATTTTTACTTCTTAGGCTTCTTTCCTAACTTGGCAATATGTTCAAAAAATAGGCCACTAGCTTCATTAGTTTCAACTCCTTAAAAAGACCGATTACTATGTTTATTGAACTGTACCCGAGAGCTTATTATTATTATTCTGGAAAGTCGAACGTTACAGTTTTCTTCTTCTCGTTTGTCAACGACCCATTTATCTAGTAGGAGACGGATTTAATGATTTTTTCTTCCCTCTTCAAAAATTCGTTAATTGCACTTGAAAAACGAAATGAAAAGGGAAAGATAGCAAAACATTTTCTTCTATAGCAAATAACTTTTCTCTATTTTAATGTTACGTAACAAAAATTGATAAAACTGTTTAGTTATTTCTATTAAATTTGTTCTTTTTTTAATCCTTTTCATTCATTGATTCGTTCATTCATCCATCTATTCATTTATTCTTTCTTTCTTTCTTCTAAATTGTTGTTTTGTTTCTCTCCTTCTTTTCTACAATCTTCGTTTCTGATATTGTTGCGTAATCGAGCTTTTAGCTTCTTGGCAGATATATCTTTGTGCATAGTGAAATTCACTTGCCTTACTTTGTTGAGCTGGTCTGACAAAATCAGGGACATGCGGCTTTAGCCTTACCTCCAGATAAAAAGGTTCTATTTTTCTATTTTACCTTAGTAACTGTAGAAGGTAATGAACTACCTTTTAACTTATCGTTAAGATTAATTTGAATAGAGGTTAACTTCAAATGAGAAATGTACTATTCAATAATACGTTTCTTTCCTCTTCCTTTCCTTCGCTTTTTCTTTTAACGGGCCAATTAAAGTTAAGTAGGCTATTATCGTTCCAAAATATCGATTTAACGAACATTCGATACGTGAGATCAAACATTTGACAAAGAAATGAACCGAAATCTCCTTTCTCTTCCGCTTGCTATCTATCTCTCTCTCATTCCCTTTAATCCGTCAGAACGATTTTCTACCAACAAAGACTATCCTTGTATTTGACAAAGAGCGAAACTATAGCGGATAATCCTCAAATGATCAACAGTATTTGGTTATTGATACGAGCTACGAAAATGTATGGAATATGGAAAAAGTATTTAAAATTGACAAGGTTAACAGTACTCGATGCTGTACGATTCGTATATACATAAAGCCTCATTAAGTGAAATCTCAATTACCAAGAATTTTATGTCTAAAACATGCTTTCGTGACATGTTCTATCATTAATATGCTTTATAACTTTTTTTCTTCTTCATTCCCAATCTTTTATCGTGAAAAAAAATGATAAAAAGGAAGAGAGAAAAATGGAGATAATAAGGAAAGAAAATAACGAAGAAAAGAGATGGAATAGAAAGCCTAACAAACAATTCGATAAATACATTCTATTACTTGTATAAATCTTTATAAATATTCTTTATTCTATATAAAAAAAGAGACCGGATAAAACGTTTTATTCAATTGTTAATTACCTTAATTAATCAAGGGATAGTCATATGCCTGGAATAAAAGGATTTCAGTAAGTTGGATATCTGACAAGAGAGAGGTTAAAGGAAAAGATGAAGGAAGGAAAAGAAGAGGAAGAGAGAGGAGATGCCAGGATGGGGAAGAGGAACAAGGTTGACGAGGAAAGCGAGGTGAAAATCCTTTAATGTAATCCTTCTAAAAACATATATTTTTTTAATTTAAAAGATAAAAGGCTTTATGGAAAAAAAAAGACACGAAATGTTCCTATCATACAATACCAGAGTAAGAGAGAGAGAGAGTGAGAAGGGAACCGGGAGTAGGTGGAGGGGGCGAGCGGAGGAGAACTAAGAGATAGAGAAAAAGAAATAAATTCTCATCAGAATAATTAAATTATCTTTTTTCTTTAATTACTTTTTGAAATAAGAAAAAACTGTGTTCTTTGGAGAACGTTTTTATATTTTGTCTTATATAGATAATATTTCAATATTTAACCTCATCTCTCATTGGCTAAAATATTGCAATAGTTAAAAAGAGAAAAACACATTGATTTCGTAAAAGCTACTCTTGGAGTAAATGCGTATACAGTATAATGTATATATATACTAATATACAGTATATATAGAAACTTTCCCAAGTCAATTTTATGCTATCTTTTCAAAGATTCTATAGATAATTAACCAGAAAAAGGGGAAATTCTAAATAAAAATGATTTTGTGCACTCCACCAAGTAGACTCGACGTAATAACTTTCGTAATTATTGCGAACAAAAATGGTACATCATTAATAACTAATCAATAAAAATAAAAGGCATAGAAATAGTAACGAGAGAGTAACTTTGATTCAAAAGTCACGTCAGGATAGATAGAGGCCTTGTATTGTCATGATCCATCAGGACAAATAGACCATCCAATTGATTGTCCATTTTTTTCTGATTACGTATCATTTTTCTATCTTTTTACTCATTTTTTTTATTATTTCTCTTAGTAATAATGTTAAATTGATACCACAATCTCATAAATAAATTTCAAGGTCACACGAAATATACTTTTCTTCATATTTTCCTTACAAAAGGATTATATTGAAGCGAAAAATTGGTTGACCTAATTTGTATTTCCTTCAAGGTAATTCAAATCGAAATTCGTTAAATATACAGTATATAAATATTTATATGTTTATAAATAGCCCTTAACTACCCTGATTCCCATCAAATTAATCGAAAAAAAGGCAACTATATAATATTCAAATTCTAAGGGTTTTCTTAAGCAAATATCCCATTTTTTCTTTCTTTTTCCTTCCTTATCATCCGTTTATTCCTTTTCTCCTTTTCTTTTCTCTCTTCCTCTTTCTCCCACCCCTCTAGTTGTCCTGCTTCAATATCTTTTGAATAAAGTCAACTATATCCTTGACATTGTCCCCTGATGACAGTTGGTATTTCGAAAAGATCTACAATGAATAGAAACCATATTGTTATTATTTTTTTTACATTCGTAATTGTACGTTGTGTTGCCTGCATCTTTTCCATTTGCAAACTATAGAAAAAGGCGTCCCGTCACGTATGTAAATCATCAGCATATTGTTAAATATAGACGTCTGACTATATATTCTGCGTTAAATTTAGACCTAACACGATTCTAAACTTTAATAAAATTGAATTTATTTCTCTTTAATCGATACTATTAACTAGTACAAATTTAAATAAAACAACATTTCTTTCGCATAATCTTTACCATCCTTTTCTATTCTTTTAGCCAACCTTTAATTTTAAAGCTTTTAAAAAAATAACACCAAAGTTGTCATAAACCTTCTTGAGCCTATAGGTCTTTGTTTGTTAAATATAATGTTAATAAATTATGAGATTTTAAAAGGGCTTGTTCGATTTTTAGACTTTTTAGTAGGATAAAACGTCGGTTTATCCTTCTTCTTCATATAGAAAAAGACCTAAATTTTGCAAAAATATTAAACAAATATTGTTTAACAAAGCTTTCCTTCACACTCTCCATCTCTCTCTCTCTCTCTCTCTCTCTCTCGTTTTATCTTCTTCAAGGACAGCTATAAGTTTACTCAGAGTGAAAAATTTTGAAGGAGAAGACATTTTAAATAAAGAAAGAATTTAATAAATGAATATACGGTATGATCTGAAAATCTGAGATAACGTTAAGAAGGAATAATAATCTTTATAATCGTTTTTGAGTATAAATATTCATCATTCTCACATAGTTGACATTGAATAATTCTTTAGTAATTATAAAAAAAAGAAATAAGACCTTTATTCTCTATGTACAATTTGTTTGTTAAAGGCTACCATCAATTATTTACGCTGTGACCTTTCAAATGTCAATTTCTTTTCTTTTTCTCTCTTGTTTTTTAATCATAAAGATTCTTTCAAGGGAAACGAAAGATAAAGCAAAAAAGAAAATGAAAGATAATCATATCTATATTATTCAACATATTCTAAATAAGATAAGAGATAGCAAACAGAACTTTTCAATTCCAGAGTCTTTTGTATTTATAGAATAACTTTGTAAGAAAACAGTTGGAAAATTAATCTTTACCCGTTTTCCCAGAATGAAAAACGGTAGTTTACAACTCGATTAAAGCCTTTGAGAAAGCTGTAAATGTCAAGCTTTTACATTTATATCCAATATAAAGAAATAACTGATATGAGATATGTGACGATGTTTGCGCTTAATTAACTATGCAATTCAGCATCCCTTGTGGTAAAACCGTGGGGTTTCTAATATAGAGAATGCAACTCTTTACAGAGTTTAAACACCTTCAAGCTCTAATTTTAGTGCTTATGTAATATAGAAAGAGCAGTATATAATTAGGTTATTTATATGGGTCAAAGGATAATAAAGAGAAAAGAGGTTAAAAAACAATTGATTCTATTTTACCTTTAAACTTATAACTCTGGAAAAAAGGGAGACAAGCGATTACGGATTAAAGATAAAGAGAAAGAAAGAAAGAGATATCTATAAATTTTACCGTCTTTTATTTCTTTAAGGTTTTTTTTCGCTCTTCTGTTTTATTTCTTAAATTTACACCTTACGACAAATGACAATATTAATTCCAGATTATTTGATATTTATTAATAATTACCATCAGATTTTTACTCGATTACTAAAAGCATCAATATAACTTTATGTTTCATTTATTATGAATGTTGATATTTACTCACCATAGAATGAAGACATATATAAAGGTGGACAGACAGATAGATAGATTTAGAGCAAGGGTGGCTAAACATTTCAATAATGGAGACAATTAATATTTAATATTACATGTATCTATGCATTTATCTATTATATATATATATATATTGTATATATATATTCTATTTATATATTTTTAGTTTTTGATATCTAGATAAACGTTTACACTAATAACAAGTATGATAAAGGGAAAGATAAAAATTGGATTGAAAGCTGCCAGAAGTATGATACGTTCTCCAATATTTTTAAGAGTTTCTTAAAGCAGTAACTGTTTATCTGATTTGAAAAAGAGGAATAAAAGAAATAAAAGGGAAAAGATGAGATTTTGATTGATATTCATTATGAAAGAAGAAAGAAAAAAACACGCAATACACATAATAGTATATTCTATTTAAACTGCAGAAGATTTTCAGACGTAGCTAATCTATTTAGTTAATATTCGTCTATTTCGTATGTACATCAGTAAATCATATCGTTTCTGTTTGAATATTAAATTTTTACATAGATAGAAGTTAAATCTTATTTTCTCTTTTTAGTTTGGCTTATATAGGGCTAATGAAAGTTGGAAAGGTTTAAATTTCTATTCAGTTATGGACCAGTTTTAACAAACTTTTTTAAGGGCACTGATGTTCGTTCCCTGTATTCGAATGAGAATAATTATGTAAATTTGACGAGAAGAGGAGAATTATTCCCTTGTCGATTTACTCTCCACACCCTCATCTTCTGGACTCATTTTTTCAACAGGAATTTCAACAATGCATTCGCATCCGGGAAACGGAGGTAGAACTAATTCGTATTTTTTGGCGAGATCCGGTGGTATGAACCTTCCACCCAAAAAGTGTTGTCGTCCATAAAATTTCTTGGCGCATAGTTTAGGTGCCGTTAACGATATCAAAACTTCGGATTTAAAACTTGGCCTCTCCTCGACTGGTCCTGTTTCCACATCCCAACCACTCGGTATATCTATACTGGCTACAGGTAGCTTACTGGTGATCAATTTCTTCATTATATCCGGAAAGTCACCCCTCATTTCTCCTTTGAAGCTGTAGTACATTGAAAAGTTAATTGTTGTAATAAATTGACTCGATACTATAAAACTACACTTAAAAAATGAGGGTAATTTTATAGCCTCTGAGGTTAACCGAGTAAGGACGATACATTTTATTGAAGGTATTTTTAATGATTTAAAGTCTCTAGGCGTCCAATAATAACCTCATAAATGTGATGTCACGGCGCATTTTAACTAATTAATGAAAATATCGAATCCCATTGGAGAATGGTCATTTGTCTACAACCCGTGAAAGACAATCTACCAATTTATATAGGGAATTGCCTAAATCCCCCAATTATTATCTCTTTGACTCTCTTAGGAATGTTAAAGCTAAGACGAGTCTTTATTTAAGGCAACGGTTCGTAAAAATTAACGTAAGAAAACAAACCTAAAACCAAAAATGGCATCAACAATAAGATTGTACGAATCGTGTATAAGTTGTGGATCTGAGGGTAGATAAGATAGAAAGGGAATATCCATTTTCTCGCATTGAGTAACTAAATTCTCAAAAAGAGTTTTCTTCGGTCTCTTCGGATAGTAAATAGTTGGTTTATAACCAAATAATTTTAAGTGTCGGGCGCAAACGAGCCCATCTCCTCCGTTATTGCCAGGGCCGCATGCTATTAGAATGGCTCCTTTTTCTCTTGTTAATGATTCCTTGGGAAAAGCCTGAAAGAAGATGGCATTGGGACCTTGTTATAAGGTATTAGATTTAATAGAACACAAAGAAAGACAACGGTTTGTATAATTGTAGATAAATTTCAATTAATTATTACGAACTCGTCCATCCCTCTTTGTTTTCTATATATATACGTTATATATATATATATATATATATATATATATATATATATGTATAGATATAATTTATATATACTATATAAATCAATTGTTTTTATACCCGAACAACGGCGTGAGCACAGCTTAAACCGGCTAACTCCATTAACTGGTCAACGGAAAAGGCGAACTCATTGAAGAGGTCTTCGTCAATTTGTTGGGCCTCTTCTTGGCTATTAAAGAAATTTTTAAGGAATCATGAATTAGATTTTTCATTCGCTAATAGTCCTATATTAAGTTTAATTATTACTCCTATAAAACAATTGAACAGGGGGAAAGGGGGCTTATCTTCTATATCTTTTTAATATATTTACTATATTAACCTCTTCCTAAATTATTTTTAGAGTCACTTCCCGAAATACAAAAAAGTAATAGCTTAGCCTCCAGTTATGTTAAAAAAGCACCTCACGCCTCTCTTTTTTTAAGTCCCAAGTCAATTGTGCCAGTTACCAGCCTGGCTAACTCAGACCATAAATGAGGTTTGTTTCAGAGAGATTACGTAAGTCTGTTATAGATAGAAGCTAGAATGCCGTTTTAGAAAACCTCATTTATTCCGAGATTGTGGTTACGCATCTCTCTCTCTTTTGTTACATTTCATATTCGCAATGACGAAATTGTTAATTATTAAGGGATTTGTAAACATAGGCTACTGAGAATTTCATAAATGATTCATTATAGTAAAACGCTTACTGCCAAAGGAGGTTATAGGAGAAAATATTACAAAGATTATAGTGTAAAATGAACAGGATTCAGGAACAAACAAACTGTAACGTTAACGTATACGCTTCGTAGTAATCAAATTTCGACTTTGTTTGAAGAGGTTAGTAGATGACAAACAAACCACAGAAGCTGTAAAGGTCTTGGTATATAATATAACGCCTTATTCGTTAAATAGATCATCGAAATGAGAACAAATCAAAAAATAATTTCATCCTTTACTTATACTGTATTTAGATGATGTTAGGAAAAAAAGGACAAAGTTTATAAAGAATACAGGTTTTATACATTTTGGTCAGCCAGCCGTCTCAAGCAAAGCGACAGGCAGAAAAGCTGACAAACTTCAAAAACTAGATGCCCAGAAAGTAATTTATTTAAAAAAGAAACTAGATAGAAAGCAGGAGAAAGAGTGAGTGAGAGTGAGAAATGGAAAGTGTGGGAGAGGAAAGAGACGGATAGAATTAACCAACTAGCATATTTAATTTATTCATTGTTATATATATTTCTAATTTATAAAAAAAAAAATTAGGCTACAAAGTTTTATGATAAGAAAAATAAAGTTTTAGTTTTACATATAAGACGTAAGCATTAAATACAGCTTGGAGGTCTACTTGAAGGGTATCAAGTAACAATTACAGGGAGTCTGATTACGAGCAAGTGAGCAAAAGAAGATTACAAATTTTCTAGGCTTCATAATTGGGTGACAAATTAAACTGTTGTATACATAAACACCTATATACGTATACAGTAAATTTATTTACAGTATAAAGTGGACTTCATAAAAAAATGGACACTGTAAATTTTGATAGGCCAACTTTTAATTAACGGTTAAAATTGTTTTTTTTAAATAATTGTTAATTTCATTTATATTACTTTATTTTTATTGTACTAATTTAAATATGACGTGGAGTAAAGACATAAGGGAGCTTGTATTCAAGAAATACAATGAATTACAAAAACTACGAGCCACAGCAAGAGCTTTAGGAATGGCACCCTCTTCTGTTAGCAATATTTTAAGGTATCAATCACCAGAAGAGGAGAATAGAGGTCGTCCAAAGAAACTTACAGAGAGAGATATAGGCAGGATGAAGAGGGCTATACAAAAAATGAAAATAAATAAGGAGAGGGTGACAGCAAGAAAAATTTTGAAAGAGTTAGATGTAGATGTTAGCCTATTAACCATACAGAGAGAGCTAAAAAAACAAAAATTTAGGTATAAGCGAGTTAGGCAAACACTTGATCTTACAACAAATAATTGTAAGAGGAGAAAAAGTTTCTGCCTCCAGATGATCAGTGATAATCTAGACTGGTCTAAAGTAATTTTCACTGATGAGGCTAGATTCTCACTGAGTGGGCCAGATGATTTTCGTACCTGGACCAAAGATGGTGAAAAAGATTTCAGGGTGACGAAAAACCTGGGCAGAGGTGGAGTAATGGTCTGGGGACTAATAACCTATGACGGAATATTTGAAATTTGGTGGATAAGGAAAAGGCTTAATGCTGAAAATTACAGCTGTTTTATTGTGGAAGATGTCCTCCCTGTTATCGAAGAGATTGAGGCAAAAATGGGGAGGAAATACATCTTCCAGCAAAATAATGCTGGGTGCCACACAGCAAGAACGACTAAAAGAGCCTTTCAAATGAATGATATCCATCCTCTTGATTGGCCAGCAAAGAGCCCCGACCTCAGCCCAATCGAGAACATGTGGCACCTTACCAAAAACCTGGTATATGATGGTCCACAATTCGAATCAGAGGACGAATTGTGGAAAAAAATAAAAAAATGCTCTTATGAGCTTATAAAAGAGCAGCCAGGGTTGTTACCATGTCTATATGATGGAATGGGGCATAGAATCAGGCAATGCACCGAAAAAGAGGGTAGTCAGATACAAAAGTAGGAATAATAGGAACATTTTTGTTGGTGTTCCAATTATTATGAAGTGCAGCGAAATAAGAAAAAAAAATCAATAAAACAGTACATAATATAAACAAAAAAAATGATATAAAATCTTACCTAAATCGTATTTGAAAGAAAATTATATATAAATTTATAATAAGCTTCATCTAACATTTTATGCAGAAAAAATTAAAAAAATATCTCTTTTCTTAGTGAAAAACATTTTTAATACGTTGGCCTATTCAAAATTCGAGGTGTTCCAATTTTTATGAAGTTTACTTTATTCATAAAAACATCCTAATTTTGTGACTGAAGAATGTAATCAAAAGGGAAATTGACAATTGGGTAAAATTATCATCTAGTACGTTTTTTGAATTAGCATTATAACTGTACAATTAATTTTAAAGGCTTTATTTACCTTACTAGTTATCATCTGAAAAGACTATATCTACAAAGTGGGAGGTTAAGAGAAGAAAACTGGAAAAATTTATCAGTCAAGTAAGTGGGTCAAACTATGAATTCGACTTTTAAATATGACTAGTCACGGTTTGTTTGCTGATTATTTTAGGTTCGCTTCAGATTGAATTTCTAGACGAGTCTAATATTTAAGATACCCTTATCGAGATCGAATAAAGATTAGCAAATTAAGAGAATTCTCTTGCCGTATTTCTAAATATAACGTATACTCTTGTATAGTATATAGTACTTACATATTCCGTGCATTGTATATATAAAAGCCAAGTCTACTTTCTATATCGTATACCAAACTTCGTTACCGGCATAGTATGTGTTACAATATCTTCGTAAGCAAAGAAGTAATCGAATGAAGTATAAAATAAGTATCGTTTTAAAAGTATCTACTTGTATCATCATCTTGACAAATAAAGGCGAAGAAAAACTATAATAAGGAAGGAGAAAACAAAACAAGTGTATAGAGCACACCTTGAAAATTATACCATTCAAATAATTTCTCTTTTCTCATTTGTTTATTATTTTCTAGGTATCATTACTGAGAAGAGAAAAGAAATTCAACAATACGCAAGTAACGATTCTATCAATCGTAATTACACTAATAGGAGTGATACTTGTTCCACAGATCTATCATATTTGTCTAGAAATAAGTATGAAAAGTAAAAATGATTTATAAGTCCTTTATTTTCTTTCTCTCTTGTTTTTTATCCCTTCTACCTTCGTAAAAAGTGTATACTTAAACTAATATCTGATAAGATGGATAAAAAAAAGAAATGGAAATAAAATTAGAGAATATCATAGAAAGGAAGCAAACTGATCTATAAAACTTTTTACTATGATTACATGGAAAACAGTTGCAAACGGTTTTTTCAATTAATCAACAAAAGAAAATATCAAATCCAGTTGTTAGAACAAATAATAGGATAGTCTTATAAGAAAATGAGACATTCCCCAGGTACCTCTCTCTTTATGGACACTAGAAAATAAATTGTAGAATAAATAATATATATATATATATATAATAAAAGCTATTGTGATTACAGCGATATTTTTAACATAGTTTTCATGTATTTAAAGGCGTTTGTATGAAGAATTCTAATAGTACTACTTTTTAAAAATAACTAACTAGCCAAATAATTCAAGTTTATTTATAATCTAAACAAGTCTCTGACACTCAAATCAGGTGGGAGTCGGAAAAGAATTTGTTCGTCATGAGAGTCAAATAAAGAGCATCTTTCCTTAGCTAATTAAACAGTAATTAATCAGCAACACAGTTACTATGCTCTTAATCAAGCAAAGAAACTGTTACAGTTTTGTAACCGTGGACAAGTGGGTCTAATAAAAAAATAAACAACATCTTGATGAGCGGTAATAATTCTCCTTTCAAATGAAAATACACGAAATTAAACTCATTAGAGTGTCTTTCACGAGCAGAGATGGACACCTTTGCTTTCTCTCTGTTTTCTACTATAGCCCCCCCTCCCATTTCTTGCTGTTAGGAAATGAGAGTAAAACTAATGATTAAACTGACCAAGATAGAAAGCAGGATAAGATTGGTCATCGGATTGCCACATTTTAAAGAGATTTATAACATAGAAGACATTCTATTTTAATTAAATGTGTTTCCATCAATTTCCAAAGTTGTTGATTGCAATCTTAAAAAAGGCAACCATAGCAAAAGAAGGAAACCAAAAAACAGGAGGATAAAACAATGACAATAAATATAACTATAATAGATCATTAGACGAAATGGGTTAAACGATAAAACGTTAGATTATATATCCAGGCTTTGATTTTTGTCAGAAATCGAGACAAGGATTGAACCGTCCAAGAGATAAGCACCAACCAATATACAATTATATTTTGTTTAATAGAAAAGATAAAGTCCTAGCCAAGAGGAAAAGCAATTTTGTTAATAACCCACCATCAACGTTATTAGGCATGAATAAATTCATAGATTGTCTTTTTTCATTTACTATCAAATATAGCCTTAGAAAAATATTATGAAAAAGGATTTCCTTAATTTTAACTACGCAATTTATTATATGTCTATAGATATTATGTATTTAAACATATCTATATATACTG